AAAATTTCAAGTCCGACCTCTCTGATTGACTCGATCCACTGTGCTACGCGCCCATTTCAGAATTACGTGACACAGTCCATGTCAAGGAGCACTCCCCTGGTATTACCATAACGTACCTGGGATTTCAATACCCCCACTCCCCTGTAACGCAAGCTCAGACCCCTATTCCGCTTCACGGAGAGCGTTGCGCATCGAACGAACGGCCCCAAGTATCAATTATTACTTACAACCGAAAGTATCGATAAAACATCCGACATTCCTATGTGCGGAAACGGACCTGGAATTCCATCGCAAGGCTTATGATAGCGACGATGCGTTCGATGGCCGAATGAAGACATATCGAACGACGCCGAGTTCAACGAATGGGCGTTGTGCGAATTGTTGGGCGTGTAAATTGTAAAGCTCGATTATCAGTGCTCGAGCCTTCGTATCGGAATGGTCATTGAATTGATACGGACGCCGAACTCTCCGCGCAATAAAAGTTGTGCATCTCGGATGCAAATATGCTCCTCTGGCCTTGTCGCGCACAATTCGAATCACACCTCTTTCTCCTCCCCCGGCTGCGAGCGACCAATCTTTCCATTGCGTTGCGATGACTTGCAACGATCACTCTTCTACGTTTGTTTCATGGTTCGCTTTGTTTGACTGAGTTCGCACCTAATAATCGTGCGCAATGTTACTACATGATAAAATTCTATTTCCGTGTTGAAGATAAGTTAAGCCGATTGACTAGTAGGTCGAGCCAAGTGAGATCCCAACTTGGAGACAATAAGGGCGGTTGAGAGTCAGTTACGGTCAAATGCGTCAACATTCATTAAATTTGACTCAAAAGGAGAGTCAAAATTAACTATATAGATTTTAGATCCTGTGACTTCGGGAGAAGAAAAGTGTCATTTAAAAGTTCAGCTCTTATCCGTGTTTGTTTGCAGAAAGATGAAATCTCAACAGCGATGAAACGCATACTCTGAAATTTGCCGCCTGGGGTGATTTTGCCCAGGAAAAAACCTTCGTTAAAAACCACCTATAGCCTCGACGCATATGGCCCACCAAACTTCTCAGTATATATAATCAGGTTTAAAGGATATAGAAACCTAATCAAATCAAAGGTAAAGAAATCAAATTTATCGGTTCCTACAACGAAATTTCTCGATAAATATTAAAATTCTTCGATGATGGCGATGATGTATAAGGTAGCCGAAAACTAGGGTGACCGTAAAACTTATTCGTTTGAATCGAAGTTCAGTTTCGATGGTCAAAAGGCTCGATTAGTAGGACTGAAAATTCTTGTGGGCTACATGAAGCGAAGTTCAGTTATTTTAAACTTAGTTTTTTCCACCACCTAGTGCTCGAAACAGCGTGAGTGATGTGTCGAGCTAGTGTGCAGCTCTAGCAGAGATTTTTGAAAACTCAAATGGTGCCAATATCACGTGAGAAATAGTTATTTTAAAAACATATTGTACCTTACCAAACTGAATTGTGAAAGAGACAAGCAGCAGACATTACCTGAAACAGAGAAAGAAATATTAAATACTGTGCCATTTACGTTTTAAAAATGAATCGATATACACTAACTAGACGTCACACAAAGCATTACATTTCCTCCTGATTCAGCGAAAAAATCTGGTATTTTTGAGAAGCTTTATGATGAAGTCTTAGGATGTTTTACGGCCGGTTACATTGCAATGAACAAAAATTTGTACTTTTTAGATCACTTCAAGTCTACGGCTGGCATCAGAGACAAAGAATTCATTTTCATAAAAAAATATTCCAAGAACACTCTCCGTTGTCCATCATCACGTCATCACGTCTATTTTCGAAAAAACCGCCTAACTTTCGGGTCGTATTTTCATGTTCACCGATCAAGAACAGTGTCTCATTGCTGGTATCACAGGGCGGGTGGCAGCTGGCAGAGAAGGTAATAACAAAAGGGCGGCCGATTAATCAGTATAATTTTCGACGGAGCCGATGATTAGGTGTTTAGGGATGGAATATGTAATAATCCGATGTGCAGCATTTCACACCAGAGTTTCCACCTGCACCACGCCACGCACTACCCCAATGCGATTCAAGGCTCACTTCGCAAGGTAGATACGCTTGTTCTGCCTTAAACCGCTCCGCTGAGGGTTCGTGTCGATCGTGTGGTCGGGGTCGGTCATCTTCCGTGCTAGGCAATAACCACGTACCTCAATTGTAAATAGAGTGGAAATAAGTGGTTTTTGCTCTCGGTCACGTCGCCTCGTCGCGCGTCGCCGGTGCAGCAAATTGAATGTTGCGTGTTGCGGTATAATGCGAGCCGGCCAGACAACAAATTACACGGTTGCTGGGTTTAATGAATAACGTCTCTATTTCCACGAGGGTTTCGATGCTGTGCACCGGTTGTTTTTTTCCGAGTACGCCGGGCAACTTCGATTCGGATCGTGCGATAAAATTGCAGCACCTTGTGGCTTTTTCCCGCCGCGAAAACCGCCTTTTCGCCGCGGTTTTCTGAAAGTAAATACGATGACTTTTGGTCCGGGTTGGCTATGCCTCGTCTTTGGATCCTGGGAGATGGAATCGTGGCGTCTGGACGGACGCTTCTCTCCTTATCTCACTGAAACCCGACAAAATACTTTTTTCGGTGGAATTTGCAACAAGCAGTTCCAACGCCAAAGCGTTGGAGAGCGCTTCTTTAACACTGCGCATGCGAGGAACGTTTCCATACGGCCAAGCGAGAGTATTGCGGACGGACGATGTATAACAAATTGCCTACGTGAAGGTGGTCCGGCCGCAACATACCCGCCGCTAGTCTCTGGAAAACAATAGAAAATAGTAGTTGCGTACGTTGCCAGCGAGCGCATCTGTTTCAATTACCTAGCATCGAGTCGGACCCGGAGACAAGAGACCCTCCACCGGCCTCCTAGCGACAGGTGGAAGCTTTTACTTTCGGGGTTTCAACAATTCCTTATGGACAATTATTAGGGAGCAACAGTCATCACGCTAGTTTCGGCTGTTGACTTACCTACATGGTCGATGATGAGCTTCGGATGACGTCATGAGCCAAACAACTTTCCCAAACGTCGGCCATTTTCGGCTTGTTTGCAAAACGAAACTGCCAACACGTTGTTGAACATCAACCATGTAGGTAAGTCAACAGTAGAATGCTGAAGTCCCGAAAGTAAAAGCTTCCACCATGGCCAAAATACTAGTGGAGGGTCTCTTGTCTCTGGTCGGGCCTCTAACTTTCTATTCTCTCTGACATAACCTTAAACCTTCAACCCAGAGCCGCAAACAGCTGACGCTTGACGATGGTTTTTGCGTTTGGCCCAGATATTCCAGACCAAATTTTCATCAAAAACCAAAGTCTGTCATCGGTGTCAAACTCGCTCCTAATGTAAACAAACGAACGGCGACATAGTCCGGACATAAACAAAGCAGACCCAGAGCGGACTTCCTCGAGATGTTCCAGACTCAATTTCTCAGCATCTCAGCGTTAGCGTTTCTTCACCTCGACAAAAGAAGTTTCGTCCGCGTCCAACATTTATCCCTTTCGTAAAATCAAATATCAGTTACCCCGTTGATCTGTTCATGGTGATTTCAAGTGAAATTGCGGCGAGATACTCCAGACTCCTAATGTAAACAAAGCGGCCTGTGCCTGGTCGAGATGTTCCGGACTCATTTCTTCATTTACGTTTCTTCATCTCGACCAAAGAAGTTTCTCGCACATTCAAAGTAACATTTTCCGTTTCCATTGTTAGAGAAGAAACAAGTCATTTTGTTGTAAGTTAGGATAATATTTGTGTTGATTAAGTGGCTTGAGCATTGGACTACCTGGCTGCGCCTTTCATAGCTGCCTCTATATCAAGATAATTGGGAGAAAAGCTTACTGGTTGATGTGCGAATCTGAATCCTAAATCCCTAGGAATGGTAGTTGTGAAAACCAGACGGATGTACAATGCTAGGTACCTTGCTCCTCACTCACTTTCTCATGGATGTTCGCTGGTCTCTTCAAGGTTCTGGTTTTGCGATGCGTTGAAGCCAATGCTTTAAGTTTAGCTATAACAACCAGGCTTCGGAGATACTAATTAACAATCCTAGCAGTCACCAAATTCTCCAGCAAATCCGCATAGTTGTCTATTAACAGCTGAAGAAGCAATGGAAACTGTATTTACCTATGACAACAAGATTTTTTCCGTTGGAACTCTGATAGTAAGTATGAGGGGGAACTATCACCTTTAAGGCACGTTTCTCCATGAATTTTCTTGTTTTTTGGCATCAAACTAAGTAGAATTCAAGGAAAATGAGGCAAGACTTTACAAGTTACCATGTAAGGTTCATCTGCTGAAAAAATAGAACAAAGTCTAAAATTCCTAATGAACATCACCAAGATGGTTCTGCCACCAGCAGTTCATTTTTTAAGGCACGGATCAAATACTGTGGTTATCTATTATTCTCACGGTGCCCATCAAATTATAGGTAAGAAACCTAGTCCTGTAATAATAATGGCATGGAATGACGGGCTCTAATTGGTGACTTGACCATCCCCAAGAAATTATCGAAAGAATTTACTTCTTAAAAGATCCTTTGCGAATAAAGCCAAGTAAATATGCGGATAAAAGTCCCGTGTGATATGTGAAGTGTACTTATTCAAAGTAATTTCAAAGGGAAGGGATGAAATGTTCAAAAGGTAACGTCCAAATTTGCAAAGTTGTGGAGGCGCTAGGCACAAATTGGACAAGGTGCCGCTAAGTAATGATTAAATGAATTTTTTATTGTTATTAATTACGGAAAAGAGGAAAAGAGAATTCTGAATTAGGCCGAATGCCAAAATTCGAAAAGTGTAGGGTGGTGTAGGAGCCGAACCTTCTTCGAGATTACGGGCGGCAAGCGGCAACCTGATTGGCTACGAAGATTGCCGAGCATGGCCGAAGGCCTACTCGCCGCTTGGTAGGTGTTGACGGCGGTTTGACAAACAGCAGTTTTTGGTGAAATGTGGTCCGGAATATCTGGGCCAATCTGTTCACTCTCTCTCTCGTCAAAACAAAATGCTTCGCTTCCATCAAACCTCGATATCTCCTCCAAAAATTCTCTGTAATTGTCATTTGACATGAGAATTTGTATTTTAAAGTTTTCTTTGTGGAGTTCCAATTGCATGTTTTCGTTTCAGTAGTGTATAAATTATCCTTTTGTGACAAATTCCTACATTCTGGTAGAAGGTAAGTTGGAGTTTTTCTCATTGTTTACATGCATTTGGAGGTTATGCTCCAACACCGGTTATCTTGCCGTAATTCATGTTCCTTGCTTTCAAAATCTCATCCAAAGATTTTTTAACAGCAGAATTCTTCCTTTCACTTCCGTCTCGTCTGCTGAGTAATTATTTTCCTTACATGTAACATCTGTCAAAATGACTTGTTATTCTGGCGCTGGTCACAGTGAAGCGCTAATTGTTTAACGCTGCTTCACTTTTTCACAATATTGTAATCAGGAGTGATCTCCTGAAGTTATAAGCATGATCATGTGTTGAAAAGTAGACAACACTTATTTTGTGTCGCAGATATTAGGAAGGAACAAAGTCCTCCTTAATTTAAGTGGAGTGGCGCAATTGGGACAAGACCATAAAAGTGTAACACTATTTATATTCAAAACAACTAGAACCTCTTCTAACTACAAGGTTTGTAGTACAATGTGATGTCATTTACGTTGCTCTCTTTTTCTGCGCTGAGCCAATATCTGTAATTACACAAGCTGTTCTTAAGTGCTCTAGCTGCACAGAAAGAAAAGAGAATGGTATGCTATTATAGACTGATTCAGTGGCCATGTCACTTGTTTTATATCGCAGTCCAATGATTCCCTCGTCAACAGTTACATAGCCTCGCAGAATTTGTGCGATGGTGGTCTATCCCATCTAAGTGTTTCTTGCAACTAAAATTTCCCCAGTTTATGGTGTTATATGAGGACATATATGTAACAACAGCGGTCGCTGACATCCGCCATTTTTAGGGCAAACGCTTTTTTCGAATTCTGGAATCCTCAAGAATGCCTGTGCAAAGTTTCAGATTTCTAGGATAATTTTTCGGCAAGATATGAACTGAAAACCATGTTATTTCTATAAACAGCGGATGTGAGAATCCACAGTTCTCCCCTGCCGGCGCGGCAGGACATGGTAGAGATTCGAATCCACTTGCGATGACTGCCTGCGCACCGTCTATGGGCTATAACTGACACTCAAATTATACGTATTGGGACAGTCTCGCCAGAATGGTTGATTTTTTAACTGATTTTATAATTTGTTATGTATTTTTGTTCTAGAAGTCACAAACTGTCTAGTTTTTTGTTCAATTGTATTAAATGACTCAGCATTGACTTACTTTTGGTTCATTTCAATCGTTTCACTAGCCTTAACCCTCCTGAAGACTTTGTTTCATGCATAAAAATACGTTATCAGTAAAAACAGCGGATGTCACATTTTTTCCAAATCGCTGTTACTCCTTCAATTTTTCACTTACATAAATTGCAAAATGTGTATTTTTTACAGGAAGGGTTGCTCTTCATGAAAATCTTTATAAAAATCCTCTCGGTTCTATGGGTGGCAAAGTGCAAAGCTTCGAAAACTTCAAACGCGATTTTCTCACAGTGTGAAAACTCGAAATCCGCTATTGTTACTCCTCATGTACGGTTCATGACCTCTTAATGAGAAACTCATTATGAATCAACACAAGTAACTATTCATATATTTTCACGGTTACTGTCGTATGATTGGGTAGTCCCATGTTGAGTAAAATGAAGAAGATCATTTAATTTAGTAGTAGACATTAAACATATATATTCAAGGCTTAATGGCTGCTTTATTCTTTTACAGTGCATTCCCTGCCTACAGCATCCACTGAAACATGGGACCCGACTTTGATGTTGTCGACTTCTGTCGGAAGCTGAAAAGCAGCAAGAATCCACCTTACACATGTCCAATTGTCGAATGTGGAAAATCATACAAAAGTATGTGTGGATTTCAATATCACCTGGTCCACTTTGACCACTCTGCTCCTCCTCCAACCACTCCTGTGGGTCCGTCTCTATCCAAACTGAGTAAGAATTTCTTATTTGTCAATTTATTTATTCTTTTATTTCTTTCCTTATTTTTTGTGTCTTAAGCCTCCATTATATTACTTGATATTTAGGTTATGGCAATACATAGTAAATTATTTAAGTGCACAAATGAATCCTCCACACTTTCACGTGCCTATCTGTTAGCTTTTCCAATTATTCTCATTGCAAGATATCTGACCAATCTCAAAAATGATGACCTTTTTCTTCTTTTTTCCCTAGATATTTGACTTTTGACCCCTAAAAATTTTCCCTCAGTGTACAGTTACAAGAGCTTGCTGGGGGCGACCAGATTTGAAGAATGTACATTGTTGATAGTGTATAAGCAGAGAAAGGGTCCTTCGAATGAATAGCGTAAGACCTTATACAAGACTTCAACTATAATGTTAAGGTTGAAATTCAGTCTGAGTCACTGAACAATTTTTACAAATTCTTCATTTCTTTATATTTTTTAGTTTTATTAGGTTCCAAAACTTGTGGGAAACTATAATGACTTTGGTAATTGTAACCATATTTATAAAGATTATTTTTTGGCATGAAATTGTAAGTTTGGGATATTTTTTATCATCAGAAAGTTGTGGAAGGTCCACCTCAGAGCAAACGCATTTCGAAATAAATTTCTTATCACTCTTTATCTAATCTGCTAATTTAATGCTACGTCCCCTCAGCATTTAATCTAAGAAAGATCGCATGAGTAGAAAATTTGTGATTTTATTCAACAATTTTTCTAATTTTTTTCTCAGTATGAATCTTGCCGCAGCTCTGAATTAGTGTTTCCTAAAAAGTTTGTGTTAATTTAAGGTATTTTCTTACTTGATTTATATTCAGTTAATGAGTTTCAATGAGTTAAAATGTTAAATGTTACATCTATCTGCCAAATGAATTTGTCCTCTTTTAATTATAAATCAATTCCTAGAGATCATATGGTAAAAATATGGTGCAAAAAATAACCAATTTTCATGAACAAAATAAGGATCAGGTTTTGCTTTAAAAGGTTTTGCTAATTTTAAGCAGTTTTGAAAATCTCAGAACAACCATATTAAAGAAAATGTTTATGCCTATCATTTTAATTTGCTTAAAAAGATATCTTAAAAGGATCATGAATATCTCTTTCTTCCCTTTGCTGTGCAAATTTTGGAAACTGTACCCAACCATCTCGACCTGCACCATAATTGAGTCTTCAACATACTGAAAACAATAACTGGAATAAAAATAACCTCTCTTAGGAATATATTCTATTCTCTTATCTTTCATCCTCACAGATAAAAAGAAACGAAGAAACTCAAAATCCCTACCCTCACCGGTAGAAGTTGTAAGCCCCCCGCCAAGAGAAGCCCTTACATATGCTGAGTCGCAGATGATTGTGGAGTTTGAAGTCAATGGGAAATTGAGGCGAGTCAACATAAAAAGACCCATACCTGTGATTTCTAAACAAGGCTATGAAGAAAAATATGGAGTGCCACCTGAGGTAAGTCTACTTCCAAACATTCTTCCTTTTTCTATAATCTAATAGGGTGAGTTTGAGAATCATGGGCCTATTATATGACCAAGGAGGAGGGCTTGGCGCTGACACCTGGCCCTCCTTAAAATTTGAAACAGTATCATTTGGCCCCTCTAGAAAATTTTGGCTTCGAACATAACCCTAAATTTTTACTCTGCACAGTGCAAAATGAGAAAAAAAGAAGAGAACAATTTTATGAAATCACAAAATTGACAAAATTTTTGTTACAAATGATTGTTGTCAGGGTAGCCATTAAATGCAGTCAGTTCAAAATTTTCCAGGGGTGACCTCTGCGGGTTCAAAGAGGCATTGCAAATCCCCCCGATGAGTGGGGCCAGGCTGGGGATAATTTTTCTAGAGGGGCCGGTCCTCCCAAGAAAATAATCTTGTTACGCCTATATTAAGATGTAGACCAAATTTGAAATTTTTCAGGAGTCATGGCTTAAGATATTCATAAGATGCTTGTAGTAAGTATTGATTTGTCATTGTAATTAGAAATATTCGTCTTTTATTTTCCTTCTTCTCTCGTAATTTTGATTAAACTCTTGGTTTTTCCCTTTTGAGCAGATTTCATCGGTAGCATCAGCAATTGAACTTTCAAAGAGTCAAGAAGCTATTGCAAAACTACCTGAGCCTTGTTTCCAAGAAATCTCTGACTATAATATAGCGGATGCTCCTCCCCAGCCAAATGCCTACATCAGGTAAGATCCAGTCCTGTATATCTGGAATTTATCATCTGCGACTGTCTAAAAAGAACAGTTGGATATTGTAGTATGATCAGAATCATTTTTCATGTAGCTCTGGATTTAATGTAAGCTTGAGTAATCTCTCTTTCCCCTATCATTTCAAATACCGCTGTTTAGAGGAAGAGTGGGACAATAACATCCTTACACGTCAAATTTCTTGAAAAACTCGAATTTTCTTGAGATCTCATATTTGCTACTGCAACTAAGATCCCAGGGTTTTCCCTTGAGATAGTTGCTTAATCAGAATCATCTCCTTTTCAAAACTGGTACAGAGATTCGAGGATTAAGCTAGGGATCATCTGGAAGGGTTTTCATCTCTCTACTTGGCTGTTTAACCTGATTATCGCAAATAGTATACCAAAAAATCAAAATGATAGTAGCCATGAAGTAACTTCTTGATTGACACATCTCAAACATTGACGTATAATACAATCTAAACTGCGCATTAGGAAATTTCGGCGAGTCAATAGGCAACTCGGATTGCAATACTTACCGAGCCAATGAAAATGCCAGTCTTGCCTGTGCCGTTGCCTGGTACGATTCGTATATCCGGCTGTATCAACTAACCTGAAGGCGCGTCTTTACCCTGATTTACCCCCCTAGCTGTCTTACCTCCCCCGCCTAAAGTCGGGCCTATAGTGCGCGGTCTAGATTGTGTCATAAGTCAATGATCTGAAATGGTAAGGCTTACCTTTTGTCTAATGAGAACCAGATTTAAGATGACCATAGTCAATTAGAATATTACTTTTTACCTAGTATTGAATGCTTTGAATAATCTGCTGAGTTCCTTAATCCCAAAAATTGCATCCTGCTATCACGAATATGTACCCTTTTCTCAATCTATCCCAACACTATTTACTATTGGAGGATAACATGAAATAAATCATCCCTCAAGGTGTGTACATAGCTTTTTGTTGTACCTTTTTTAAGGTTAGTTAGGGAATATCGGGAGAACCGGGGAATGTCAAGGAATTTTAAAAAGTTACGGGAAACCTGGAAATGCAGGGAAAATGACAAAAGTGGCAGAGAAAATTGTTAAACCATCATTATTTGCTTCCCAAAATGGGTTTGATGTTTCAACTGAAACTATTTCAAATTATGTCTTTGTAACCATTTGGCATTCTTCAATTATCAGGGAATTTTACCAAAATGTGTCAGGGAACTTCCTTTTTTAAATTCTGTGGTATCTCTGCTCTTTACTTTCTGTTTCTTTAAATTGTGATAAAAGATAGCAAGAGCAACATCTCATGTGGTGTGATTTGCATAGGTTCATTGAGCGCTCTGTAGAGGAGTTGGATGGAGAAGTAGAATATGATCTGGATGAAGAAGATGCAGCATGGCTGGCCATCATTAATGAACAACGTAGTGCCAACAGCTTGCCAGAATTATCTGTAGACTCTTTTGAACTTCTTATGGACCGTCTCGAAAAAGAGTCCTACTTTCAGGTAGTTGAATCCTTATCTTTTATTTTCATTACACTTAAACATGCTACCTTTTCCTGACACCACTGTGTCCCTCTCCCCCCCCCCTTCACCCCCAAAGAACAAAAATCAGAAGGTCAGTGGTGCATTCTCTAGCTCCAGCCATGCCGCGTCTGAGCCTTAAACGTATACAGGACTTTAACAACTGCTTGAATCGTAGAAGCCTAGCAATGCAAGCGACCGCATCCCATTCAAAATGACTAGCAAGAAGTTTGCAGAACCCTGCATTGCAGGCCGGTGCAAACGGTGTGGCAGGCAGTATGTTAATAATTTCTTCCTTTGTGGCTCAAGCAATTCAAAAGGTAGCAAGATAGAAGATTAGTTTTTGTGAACTGGAGTTTCTTAATTACTAGGCCTTGTCCACACAAGCAAGGTTTGTGGAACTTATTTTAACTCAGCTATATTTTATTCAGCAAAACCTCAGTATGTCAAACTAATTCGCCCATAAGTTCTGCAAACAACGCTTGCATGGAGAAAGCCGTATTCTGATTCTGTTCCTTTTCTTACACTATTAAATGTCTAAAAGACGAAAACCATCATTTTTTCTTCTAGGGTTGGTATGTATCAGCTATCTCAGAGGCAAATTTTCCTGTAATCGAAATGAATTCGATGAATAATGAGTTTTCTGATAAAAAAGAAAGGTCATCTTTGTCATAATGAATAAAAAACTGAATCATTCGTTTTCAGATGCAATCAAGCCAGATTGATAAGCCAGTTATTGATGATGATGCAGTATGTTGCATCTGCAACGATGGAGAATGCCAAAATTCTAATGTCATCTTGTTCTGTGACATGTGCAACCTTGCTGTTCATCAGGATTGTTACGGCGTTCCATACATTCCTGAAGGACAGTGGCTTTGCAGGTAATTTAGAGTGTTGATTTTGCTTATTGCTTGCTGCTTTCTTATCATTAAATTCATTTCAAAACATTTTCACACTCTCACCAAGCTCGATAAAATGATTATGGGTTCTTCCAGCCATTTCATGTAGTGCTATACAAGTTATTTAGTGGCTAGTACGTTGGCCATAGCATTTTACTCCATCACTTTTTGATTTTTTGGTCCCTCTGTTGAAAGATTTATTCACCTTATGACAGAATGTACACCCTGATCCATGAAAAGAAGGAAAGAAGTATTTTAAAAAAACGTGAACTGTCAGCAGCTATCGATATTTGAATGCAAGAGTTGTGTTTAATCTTGAAACAATCAAACTTTGCAAGTAAGATTTTACATCCGATATATGTTACAATTTTTTAACTTAATGAAAATTCTTAAATTCACATGTCCAAGAACTAAAAAGCAGGGCTTATAAGAGATCAGTTTTAAAAAATTTTGCCAGAAAAGTCTTGCGGACTAGTTCCATATGCAGGTACCCCTCTTAATGCCTCTTTCTCCAGCAGCACTCCAACAGAGGTGAAGAACAGAACCTTGATAACCCTTATTATCAGAACAATTCTTTTTTTTTTTCAATTATTTTGTATCGATGCATATCATGTCAAGCTTGACAATGTTAAAATCCTTGTAAGTAAGCGTGCCCAACAGCTAAAATTCTATGTCTACATCTGAAATTTTAATTACTATTTCAAATTACAGGCTTGTAAGTTCTGCGTTTACTAGTTATGTTTCAGTCATCAATGTTTTTTAAGAATCGGATGATTTTTCCAGGCGATGTTTACAATCACCATCACGAGCCGTGGACTGTGTGCTTTGCCCAAATACAGGTGGTGCTTTTAAACAAACAGACAAGGGGCAGTGGGCTCATATCGTTTGTAGTTTGTGGATTCCGGAAGTTAGATTTGCCAATACTGTATTTTTGGAACCAATTGATAGTATAGAGAACATTCCAACAGCGCGGTGGAAACTGACTTGCTACATTTGCAAGCAGAGAGGGGTCGGAGCATGTATCCAATGTCATAAAAGCAATTGTTACAGTGCATTCCATGTCACTTGTGCGCAACAAGCGGGCTTGTATATGAATATGGATACTGTCAAGGACACCATGAACGGTAAGAAAATCCTGGATGGATTTCCCAGTAAACTGTCTATTGAATAATTATCAGAAAGAAGCGAAAAGCTTTACCCTTGATTACAGAGGCTCTTGTGGACAATAGGGTAGTGGATCATTCTTTTATTGCCACTATTCCTTAGAATCATGATGAATATTGAGGGCTAAGCAACAATACTGCCCAACTGACAATATTGGCGAAAATAAATTAGTGTTTTTGCCACATTTTACAGCATAAAATATACAAAGTAATGTTTTTAATTTATTTCCAATTTGTATGAGAGCGCTGTATTGTATCAAAAAAATTGCAAATTGAACCTCAGCATTACAAAAATGGTGCAGTTTTTTCTTCATCCTGTAAAATCGTCAATTTGCAGGTAGACTGTATTGTTTCTTAGCCATCAATATGCTTTGCAGAAACAGTCAAGCTCTTCAAACCATACTCTAGGCTTTTCTATTTCCTCTAATTTTCCCTCTATCTTTCTCTATGATGGCCTTCTTAAAAGAATGTTCAAGATTTGAATTCTCCCAGGTCATTTAATGCTTTAAAATAAAGGTTTATGTAACCAAATCTGTGGAAAGGGACCTTATCCTCTGAGAGGAAACTTTCATCAACTATTAACAAAGCCAGCCATGTTTTTCTAGAACCCTAGAATTTCTTTCACGGAACGTAGGAGCTAATATCTCCTTCAAGTTTTGAGATTTTAGGTTCAAACTTGGGCCGAATTTTCCGTTCTTTCTATCTCCACGCATTCGCAAAAAATTGATGAAAATTTTCTTGCGGAAGGTGAGGTTCCTTTATCACAGATGCCATCAAATGTACACAGCAGTGGATTCTGTAAGCAGATGGACCTCTTTCGCCTAGATACATCCGAAATATGTTACTAAATTCCAAAACAGCTTACAACCTGAGTATAGTACTTTGTCTAATTCTTGTCTATTTATAACACTAATCTGAGCATTAATTGAGGCATCCACAAGCAAAATCCATTTTGCTAATGAGCCTGGATTCGGATTACGGAAGATTACTAAAATAGACTTTGCTTCAAGATGCCTAAATTTGTTGTCTCTTACGGTTTCTATTTTTTTTATGTATATTTTTTGTTTATTTCTCAAAATATTAAGTCGTTTGGGTTTTTTTTTTTTTTTTTTTTTTTTTTTTTTTTTTTTTTAATTTTCCTCATCTCTACTTTTTTTATGTTTTCATGTATAATTATTAATATTAATCCATGACCATAATTCAATTTTGAATTTCAGAGGCAGGCCCTATGTTGGTTCAAAAAACTGCGTTTTGTGATGCTCACACACCTGCAGATGCTGAGACCCGGCCGATCTTACCACTGCAACAGGCTAGCTCTGAGGAGAAGATGAAAAATGCACGCAAACTACTTGCCAAAAAACGTGTCTCATTACCTGTTATTTCCATACCCACAATTCCTCCTGAAAGGTAACCATTAGTAATCACTTTAACTTTTGTAGCTGACAAAGTTCAAATCGATGAAATGGAACTACCCTCACTAAGAATAATGCGTATGGAGAATGTTCAACCTGGTTTTCATAACTTACTTCTAACATGTCTTTTTCCCATTATGACAAAACCATGGAAAAAGAAATTGTCAGAATTAAGCCTCCCAGTTAAGTTCTCTTAATAGAAGAATCAGGTATCATTGATTTGCGATATTAATGATACTCAAGAAAAAAACAAATTAATCACCCAATTCATGATTCTTTTTTCATAACGTAAGCTCTCTTTGTATGAAAGCAATGTTGCAGTGCAACCTTTAAATATTTTAAGATGTTGACTGCCATGGATTCAAGTGCAAGTTGGATGGTACTTGACTAAGCAGATGAGAAACGTAAACTTATCTTAAATTGGGTCTACCAAAATGGCGCACAGAAACTTCATTTTGTAATCATTAATCTCTATGTGTAATTTTTTTCTGTCCATGTATAGAATTCAAGAAATTGGATCTTTGGTTACCTTGCCGAAAAAATCACAACTAATTCAAAGGCTGATTGCATATTGGACCTTAAAACGACAGTTCCGCAATGGTGTGCCTCTGCTGAGACGACTCCAAAGCTCTCATCTGTCCCGACGAGACCAGTCACGACCTTCGGCTCAGGTAGTTAGTGATCTTGTAAGTATCCAAAATTTTACTGTTCTTTTTTTGTCTTTGAATTAAGTATTTGTTTTATAGAAATAAGAAAATTAATGATGCTACCAAAACTGCTCTCAATCACGGGTTAATAAGAATGTTTGCCTCTAAAACTTAAGAAAAACCAAAGAAACTTAAGATTAAAAATTTTAAACACACCAAGGAAGAGTGAAATGAGGGATAGGCTTTATAGAAATAATAATTTAAGAAGAAGAAAAAAAGGAATTAAAATTAGAAAAGGCGTAATGTCCCAATAGGTGCATTAAACAAGAAATTTTATCACTAAATGTACAGATCAATGCTGAGAAATAATCTATCAAGTAAATGTGCGATTTCAAGTTAAATCGATTATCGATTTTTAACTGTAGCTATTATAAAAAAAATCACTAGTTCTATCGCCCAACACTAAGCTGATCATGAAAGTGTACGTGCTAGATGTATCAGATGTTCGAAAAAAAAAGAGCTGCAAATATTTTAAATTTATGCAAGTTTAAAGAGGCTAAGGAATTCTTTCCTTCCTTCTTCAAATTATTCAGCCCTGATGAAAACTGGAGACTTGGGGCCACTGAAGAGCTTCTGACTCACAACAAGCATCAGTTTTTGAATTCTCAAGATTGCTACCATCTCGATAGAATTAAAAATGCAAAATTGAGCAGGTGTTTTTTTTTTTTTTTTTTTTTTTTTTTTTTTTTTTTTTTTTTTTTTTNTTTTTTTTTTTTTGTGAAAACACGCCAAATCAAGAATTCTGGCAAAACTATTTTGTGATAGTGTCACGATATTGTCACGATAGTGTGATGAATTTATCAGCTCTATAATAATATTTTCCTTTGTTCTTTACACATCTATCTCTCAAAGGACTTCCAAAAATTTAAGTATTCTCAAGTTGAATTCCTTTGTTGCATGTTTGTTTCAGCATTTTTTAGTTTTAGCTTTTTTTTACAGTTCGATTTGCTCTTTATTTACTATGGGTGCTATCCACTATGATTCCGTTGCTATTTAATGATAAAAGGTGGACTGATCGTAGGAATGTATTCTAATGAGCAGTGAAAATGTATAAATGAGGGAAATGCATTTTTACCTGGACTAGTCCAAAACCACTAATGGGTGCAAGTTTGTCACAGAAAATATGTATCCCTATATCACAACAGGTCAAAATGTCGGTGAAATAAGAAACCTTTGTATAGAAAGTTTATAATTTATGAGCATTCATTAATCATGGAAGTCCAATGGGCCTGTTGCATGCAAGAGATACAGCCGTGCGAATAGACTTTTTAGAAGTTAAATGACACGAAAATTACGATGGTCACATTGAAAAAGTCTGAAATACACTCCTTACCGCGCAATTTGCGTTGTTAGGAACGCGCTTTTTCAAATTTCCCGCGTCTGGGGGTAGTTTTCTAACGGAAACAATTAACGGCAACTCGCGGCTATTTCCGGTCAACTAAAACTGACAACATAACCTAAAAATATTTTTTTTTTTTTTTATTGAGAGTTTAGTGGCTTCTATTCCTTTAGGAATCTACAGCCATCTATAGGCACTATTTATTGTCCGAAGACATCAGGGAGTTTTGGTAGACATCCATGCTCGGGCTTACAAATTTTCACGGATTAAGGCCGAGCGAATTCTGCTTATAGATCCACTCGTCATAACCTAAAAATATGAGCTCGTGATATCGTGAAATGAAATGTAGAAGGATTGCGTTGGATATTTAAAAGTTGATCGATTTGGTTACCGCATAAAGCGTATATGGACCACAAAAAGAGATCACGTTGGGTTTGTAAACATACTGAAGGAAAAAATAACAACAACAACAACGACTGGGCATCTTCCGGAAATCACCGAGCCCGCCGTTTGCTCGTTTCCGGTGATTAGAAAACTGCCCCCAGACGCGGGAAATTTGAAAAAGCGCGTTCCTAACAACGCAAATTGCGCAGTAACGAGTGTATTTCAGACTTTTTTAATGTGACCATCGTAATTTTCGTGTCATTTAACCTCTAAAAAGTCTATTCGTGCGGCTGTATCTCTTGCATGCAACAGGCCCATTCATCACTGTTCAATTCAGGAGTGCCGAATTTACAAAATGCTGACAGCTTGCCTTATTCCATGGCCTTCTCCTCTTGCTCAAAATCTAAAATCTCCTCTGCGAGTGTATGAAGTCCTATTTTATTTAAACTTAGATCTATCCACATATTTTCTTGATTTAATTTCCTCTCAAAAACCAGAAATTTCCTTCTGAAAAAGAGAGGTCTTCCTCTGAAATTGTTCTCAAATCTCTGGCTTTTTGTTCTCTTAGATCGACAAATCAAAAAATCGGGCATTTTTTACACCTCAAATCCAAATGGTTAGGTTTTAACTTGGTCAGCAACTTTTAAATGGTTTTTGTGCTGTATCGTAAAATTTTTATTTTTTATAGTCTCCATGCCTGCAAAATATTAATGTCAAAACAAATTATACGTTTCCAAGAATTAGGTTGATTGTATGAATTGCAATTTTTTACTTAAAACTTATGAGCTGTGGCAAACACCTCATTTAACACCATTGATTATTGCCACCTGTCTGTTCTCAAGCAGTCAGAAATATAAATTATACGATTTTAAGTAACATCAAGATCAGGCAATTGGCCAACTTGACTTTCAAATGTGAAAATCAAACCAAACTATCCAAAGTCTCTTTCTCTAAATATGTAGTTTCTTTCTGCACATTGGTTTTCTCTTCTTATTTTTATTTCTCTCTTGAAACTTGTGTTTTGTGATTTAATTTGAACTTCTGTGCTGATTATCATTGCTCTTTTTTTACATGTTTTAATTTTCTGGTTTTCCCCCTTTTTTTTTCTTTTTTTTAATTCTGGATAGTCCAATACTTGGTATTATATACTACTGTTTGAATACTTACGGTAATAGTCCATACAGAACAAAATAATAATCAAATTTCTTTTTAGGATGTAAATATTGTGCTCAACAATGAAATGACACATGGAAGTGATATGCACCTTCATATTCGGTCTTTCATTTAATTTTCGTGATGGTAGTACTTTTCCCAAAGGAATCTAATGGTCGACTTTGAGCAGTACTAACCACCGAGCAACTTCTTTTGAAAATGTTTTTATCTCCTACCAACAGAAATAAAATTTGAAAAAGGAAGTGCACAGAGTAGAATTGGGTTTATTTCCATAAATTTTCTGCTAAGTTAAAAATTTGAAAATATTAATTGGAGACAACTAAGTGGGTCCATCCTTTTTTATCTATGTAAACAACAAAGTAGGCTAAATCTTCTCATGAAAATACATGAAGTAATTTTGGTAAAGCTGAGAATTTGAAATTCAGTCGCTCAACCTGTTGAAAAGTTTAAAGCTTTTTAAACTTTAAAAAGTTAAAGCTTTTTAAGCATCGACAATTTTAGGACACGTTATAGATTTCTTCAAGGCGTTCATGTGGAATTTCAATCTGAAACTCTTTTTCACCAGACAGAGATCCTAGCTAACAAAAAAAAAATTGGATTATTTGTATAAATACTTCATTTTTTTTTCTTTCTGCCTAGGGTGAATTAAACAAACAGCTAAAATATTGGCAACATTTGCGACAAGATCTTGAGCGAGCAAGACTTCTCTGTGAGTTGGTGCGGAAAAGAGAAAAGGTGAAGAAGGAGTTCGTCAAGGCGTAAGTCTCTTTTTACACAGCATTTTGACATATTAGATGTAAAAACTACGAAAATAGCCTTAGATTTGTACGGTAATATCAAACTTTCACCAAGTGGTAAGCTTTCGTAAAGAATGAAGGAAAGCAACCCCCTCCCCCTTTCTTGTAAAGAAACTGGACAAATCACAAAGTCGTTCAAAAAGCCATAACAACTGCAGTAAGTAGGAAATAAAGAAGACAAGGACAGAGGTGCAAAAGTCAAGTAAAAGGAAGTAATGAAATAACCCTCTTTTTTTGACCCGAGGCCTTGCCTAGAGATAGGTCATTTTGTGAGCACAAAGGTGAGAATTACCTGCATCAGCTTTTTTTAGATTCTTTGTTAGTTTAAACTTAACACTCTAATCTGTAGTAAAAAAATCTCCATCTTCCGTATAGCTCCTAACATATGTTTCATTATGTCTTTTAATGCGCAATTCTACCTTTAATGCTGAAGGAAATTATTTTTCTCTTAATGATCAAATTGATTTTTTTCTTCTTGCAGGAAGGAAGCAAGTCTACTGGGAACCTTGTGTCCTTTTAACTTATTTCTCCACAGACTGCTAGACATGGTCAAAGCATTGGATGTTTCTGAAGTGTTCACGGAACCGGTCGACCAGAATGAAGTACCTGATTATGGTGACATTGTTAAACATCCGATGGACTTGCAGACAATGTCAGAAAAAATTGATGACATGAAATACTTGACTGTGGATGATTTTGAAGCTGACTTCAAGCTCATGATCTCCAATTGTCTTGCATATAATTCTAAGGATACCATGTTTTATCGAGCAGGCATTCGACTCAGAGAACAGGTAAATGAATCAAAATCCTTGTAGCAAACACTATGGAAACTTTGAATCCCACCTCAGGAATTATTTATTATGAAACTGACTCTGTTTGGCTGAAACTGCCTTAATTAGCCTAAACCTTTTTTTTTTAACTTTTCTTTAAAAGTAATTCCATTCCTCATTAATTATTTTGCTATGCAATGCACACTCAGCTATCTCATAAGCCTTCTAATTGATTGTAGACTCAGAAATTTTAAATTTTTTGAATGCCACTCATTCAAACGTTACAATTTTGTGGGGGCTTTATTTGGAGGATGTTAAAGAGAACAAATTTTTTCAGAATTAACTTTAACGTATCCTCTGTATCTAGAATGTATGAATTTCCTCTTAACCTTGGAGTGTCAGATTTACCAACTTAATCTAATCTTAAATGATAAAGTACATACCTCTACCTTCAATTCATCCTTCTTCCAATTTTTCTCAAAATGCATAGACAACCATATATTTTTGTCCATGCTGCTTTTCACCAAAGGTTCAACTTTTTGCTCAAAAGTTGTAATACATTCTTTGCTCTTATTTCAGGCTGAGCCACTTATAAGGACAGCCAAGAATGATGTTATCAACCTCGGATTAGACTTGAAAACTGGATCATTTGCTAATGCTAAGGATTTAACGGAAACTGTGTCACCAAAAGTTGTAGAGAAACCGACTCCAGCAACCCCTGCAGTTGATGAGAATCTGGCCACCGAAATTGACAAGCAGCTTGCAGCCATTTCTGAATCATATGATTCGATGGTAAATGCAGATACAATTTCTAATTTCTATCACAGCAATGTACAATAGTTACTTTCTTTTGCAGCCAATCAATGATGGAAAACTGAATTTTTTATAATAATGAGAAACCTGTTCTTGCAAAATAGCCATTCTTTGACAATTGTGAATTGCAGGATTACTTCAGTCAGAGAATACTGGCAAATGTTAGAGAATTTTAAAAAGTTAGAGAATACCCGGAAATGACAGGAAAAATGATGAGAGTGTCAGGGAAAAACTGTTAATTATCTTTTTTTGCTTTCTAGAATGGTTTTGACGTTTCAAACAGCAAATTTTCCTGAAAACTATTTCAAATTATGTCCTTTCAAGCATCTAGTATATCTTCAATAGTCAAGGAATTTACCAAAATGTGTCTGGGAAATTAGAGAATTGTCAGAAAAATTTATTTTATAAATTCTGTGACATTACTGATGTTGATTTGGAATTTTCAAGTATTTTTTAATTTTTAATTCTCCAATGATGAACAATGGAAAATCAACTTTTTAATATGAAGAAATGCTAAATTTTGAATTTTATCAGGCAATTTTTGCAAATTATCAAGGATGTAATTTAAATCTCAGTTCTTTTTTAAGAAACTGTAACAAAGCTCTTGTTATTCAATGTGGTTTGCTGTATTTTACAGAACCATGACGAACTGATGTGCAAACTTCTCCAGTTACAAGATCGAAGCCAAAATTTGAAACATGGTTTGGCACGAGCAAAACGATTAAAGTTAGTGAAGATAGAAATCCAAAGACTTCGCAGATTGATGAAATCTACAGCAAAGAGGCCTCGCTCACCAGAAGTACCCGAAGGTAAACTCAATTTTTTTGTGCCATAAAAAATTGCTGTATTTTAAGCTATTTTAAATTGAGCTCTTTTCATGCCGGGATCATTTTGTTTTTAAGGAGGGGAGTAATGACCGTTTTAAGCCCACCCTGAATTTCCTCAATTCACCAATTTTTTGATCATTATAGATCAATATTCTGAGGTTTGCATCATGATTTGGTCATTTTCGGTCTCTGGTCTAACCATGAGTCTGAAGGTCGATTTTGGCAAGGAGCACGGATTTTTCGGCATTCGACCTCAAAGCCCGCATTTTTTGTTAGAATCATCCGTCAGACACATGTTTAGGACAGTGTTAGCCCTGAAAATGACCAAATCATGATGCATTCCGTAAGATGTAGACCTTTAATGAGCAAAAAACGGCGGATTTAAGGAAATTCAACGTCGGCCCAAAAACGGCCATTATGGATACTCCTCTTTCTTGTAATTTGAGTTCGATCATACTTCTATCATGAGGAGGAAACATCAACTTAAGGGATAACACATTTTTTATCCTTCCAACTACTGTGTTGTAGGTGGGCTTTAGCGTACAGGTATGTCTTGGGCTATACAAGCCACTTATTTTTTCCATTTTTAACTGACTCTTGACATACTCTTTTCAGTACTACCCTTTGAGGGAAAGAAGAAACGATCAAGAAAATCAAGGGATGATTCACTCGGAGGCACTCCAGAAGTCAATAACAGTTTTGCATCAGCAGCTACACCTCCATCCACTCCTGACAGATGTAAGTGCTTCCATGATGTTTTTTTTTTTTTTTTTTCTTCATTTCTAGAAAGATTTTAATTTTTATTTATGATGCTCAATAATTTTTAGTGAATTTTAGAAAAATCTAGACTCTTGTAACATTTTTCGACCTGTCTCTGAAAATGTATAATTGAATCACAATTTTTTTTCGAGGCCTTTTCAAAATGTTAACTATCATGCCGAGAAACCTGCAATTTTTCTTCGAGGCCTTTTCAAAATGTTAACTATCATGCCGAGAAACCTGAGAGGGTGTTAAAGGCTCCTCTGCTGCCACAGCTGAGCCACCTCTGCAGACTGACCGATTCAAAGTGTTTCTCTGGTGTCATCAATTACCAGCACCATTCATTAATGCATGTCCTGTGAGTAGTACAGTATGATAAAGATGTATATTTTTTTCCCCTAATTTTACTTGAATATTCATTATTTTTATTTTTTTTCTGTTTTCTCGTTTTTACGTGACCATCGCAGTGGCGTCAGCAGAAGCATTCACCAAAAACAGAGTAGTGGTCAATATGTGAAGCGCTCATGATGATTTTTCTTTTTTTCCTTCCTTACAGAATTACATCATATAAATGGCTGAGACTTGGAAGATTTTGTTAAATGATGGTCTCAGAAGAGCAAACATAATATGAGGGCAATGAGAATAACCAATGAAGCCTATTTTTGTTGCACCTGATTGTGTACTTGAACTCTCTCATCGCTCAAAAGTATTAAAAATGTTTGCCTTGGATAGTTGCAGCAAACAAAAGTGTACACAAACACGCATATATTGGTTGCCAAAGTGCAAAACCACTTATTTCCATTTCAGCTTAATCTTCATACCTGAGCAGAAAATTTTACATCCCTGGTCCTTAGTCTCAAGTTCATTAAAATATTATTACCACAATCTATATTCTACGTGTGTTTAATACTTTTGTGAATTGATTGTATAATCTACTTCCAGCGGAAAACAATTCATGTGTCTCTCCCTCTGGTATTAATCGACGAACAGCTGTGCTTTTTACTCGTAAAGCAGCCGCTGCCTCTCAGCTTTTCAAGAAACCTGATATCCCAACTCCAACATCCGGCATAACGTAAGTAAATTTCGAGGAAGGAGCTGTTTAAAAGGCTTGAATTTATTTTTCTAACAAGGAGACTACGTCTCACCTATTTGCCAATAATGTGCCCATGAAGGTTTCTATCGATTGAAAAGAGATATCAATGTTGAAACTACGATTGCAAGTATCTGGTTTGTGGTGTTTTTAAATCTCTGCTCTCATAGTACTGTTCTTAAAAAGAACAAATCAACAGTCTGCAGTCAAATACTAGTTAAATGCTTCAACTCCACAAATTCTAATGATAGGATTGAAAGTCAACTTGAATTTACTATGTTTTGGTTGCTGCAAGTGTCAAAAAAACTACCAAAATTTAGGAAATTTTATACATACTGGGCAAATTTGTAATGAGTAATTTCTCTTCTCTTTTCTTTCCAGTCCAACACCCGGTCGTAAGAGAGGAAGAAAGAGCACTAAAAATCAAACGCTCGAATCACCTGAACCAGTTCCTGATAGTTTCACCACTTATCGCTCCAGTGCTGGTAAGTCTTTTTTGACAAGGTTTGTTTTTGCAAAACCTTTTTTTATTCTTAAATTTCCTTAATAATATTTATTCTTTATCAGAAAAAAACTACCCATCATGATATTTGTTGTAATGTAAATTTCTACTAAAAAGTTACAGGATTTCTTTTCTAATTCTCTTTCCTCACAAATACAAATAAACTTAAATAATACTCTTGTTCCAAGAATTCCGAAAAATTTGAAGTTTTTTAAGCAGTCTCATATTAATGATTACAAAACCATACCGCCTATATGTAAACTAACAATTTTAAAGGGCAAAAACAAACTTTTGCCATTTGTGTAATTTTAAGGCTGGGTTAACAATTTTTTTATTCATTACAATGCTCCCATATGGGATTGGAAAAATTTAAAAACAGCAGATTGCGCATTTTATACATTAGAATGTGGCAAAGTCACAAACTCATTTTTGCTAAAATGTTCGTCAGGCGGTATTGTTTCTTAGCCCTCAACATGTGTCTGCTTTTGAAAAAATGGACCCCCCCTTCCTGAAGACACAATTTTTCTCAAACACTTGGTAATTGAATTCTCGTTAGAAACTGCTCTGGAGTATCTGAAAAATTAGTTACATGCAGTTAAACCCCTTTATGTGTCCAGAAAGGATGCGAAGGTACATTTTAACCTGACGATTTTGAACCTTGAACATAGCAAGTAGACTGTTAAATCAGTTTTTCTCAAAAATACATTGTTGGAACTGTGAACCTCAAATCACAATATGTAGGGTTTGTTTTGACTCGTTTGTGCCTTTTTCAAGTCAAAGATATTTTTAAATCATTGATTTTTGAATTTTTCAGTCGTAACATTCTTTTTACCATTTTACCATTGACTCTGTCGTGCATTGATGCTGGTAATTTTTTAAATTACAGAAATGCCTGCGGAAACAGACGATGACTCACATTCGGATGAAAATGAGTCAAGCTGTTCTGATTGCTCCTCTCAAGACAGTGATGACTCCTCCTCCACCTGTTCATCCAGCGACAGTGTTGAATGTAGTAGCACCAGTGGCGAACTATCACAACTACAGCTAGTTTGGGCGAAATGTAGAGGTTATCCTTGGTACCCTGCCTTAGTAAGTCCATTGATGTTAAAACTTTATTATTTGTATCATGCAAGCCTCTTCTAGGCTCTGAATTGAAACTGATTGTCCTTTAAAAAATGTTCCTGTATGTTTCAAGCTTCATTGGTAAAATATGAAATGCTCCAGAAGGAAGCGGGTCTGAGCCTACGTTGGGCACTGAGCCTGACAGGTTGGGAGTGAATAAAGGAATCTGATCTGCAGTGTTGCGTACTTTATGATCGGCCCTGTATTGTTGTTTAATTTTTATTTTGTCTAAGTTTTACCTGTTTTTTTTTTTTCTTTTAAATCTTAACCATGTAACCGATTTTATACTAAGATATGCAATAATATGACCAAAAAAGGGAGGACAAAGGATTTCTGAGTTCCTGAGCATATCAAACCGCCTGAATATTTAAATTAGATAGCATTCCTATTGTTCTTATTCATTGGGGCATTTTGATGGGTGAGAATGCTAGCTCATTAGCTAATCTAAAGATCTTGCAACCTCAAAATATATGTATTTCCATTGAAGAAAGGTGAAGCACAACGGTTCAATGGTGGCACGGAAAGGTGGTTCTACTATTTAAAGCACAAACTACTCTTTAGTTTTTTGCAGCTCATAAATTTGTAATCGAAATATTCAGTAAAGTACTCATAGTAACACAGTCAAGACACTGAGTTTTGAGACTAATTTTGTCATGGACAACTGTCTAATTTTTTTTTTATTGTGATGTTCGATGAGGGCTCCTATTAGAAGTACCTACATTCAGTTGTAGATCAGTTTCACAGTGTAGATACATTATGATAGAAAAGTCAATGGAGATTTTAATACTGCTGGTTAGGAACTGAATTCATTTCAACTGTGCATAATATACAACAGTAATCAAGCAATTTTTTCTTTGATTCTCCCTGTAATAATTTCCTTGCTAAAATCTGTCTTTTATTTTGCAGACGATCGATCCAAACATGCCTCGCGACTATGTTCATCACGGCGTTCCAATTCCTTCACCCCCTCTAGATGTACTAGAGCTAGAGAAGACACACTCAGAGCCCGTCTTTTTAATCCTATTCTTTGACACCAAAAGAACTTGGTATGTATTTGTTTACCTTTCCCCCATCCAGTTGTCTTTGGAAAGTCATTGATTAAAAAGCGCAGACCGAATGAGGCACTTAAAAAAACACAACTTTCTTTTTAACATTCCAACATTCTTTTATAACTTTTGATTAGGTTTTTTCGATGATGCTGGTTTTTTTAAGATCTTGCTTTCCATCCCATTCATCAACAGACACTTTGTGTCCTGATAAGGCTTGCTTTGGGACAATAATGAACCTCTTTATTTCAAAAATTTGAAGGCAACGCAGACATCCAGGTATTTTTTAATAACAACCAAAAAGTTATGGAAATTGACCTAAACATAGATCCCTGAAAGTAACTAATAAGTATTTGAAAAGGGTGACAGCTTTCAATCAAAATGCATTTTTATGATGAAAATCTGTTTTCTTTTCTTTTTCGTTTCAACATTTTCTCTCTGTTCCAGTTTTTTTTTTCTCTTTCTCCCCTCCTCAAAGCCTGTTCCTTTATTTTAATTCTGTTCCATTCTCTATTCTAAATTTTATTTGAAAATATTGTAACCACTACAAGAATTATATGCCTTGTATCTATTTACCTAAATTAAATTCAGAAAGGTATTAAGCAACAGAGTAATGATAGATAATAGAGATTATCTAAAAGAACAGGAATTCTGGAATTTTCGGTCTCTTGTTTTAAGAATTTAGGTGTACGAGAAGATGTAACATGTTTAATATTCTACAATTCATAAATACTTTAAGCCTACATATTTTGGAGGATTTCTTTTCCCAGATAAAAATATCCAGAAGCTGGTGAGCAATGTGAAGTCTCTCTATCATTACTATGTTTTTTTCAATTTCTGCATTATTTGTAAAGTTTTGTTTTATTTTCAGGCAATGGTTACCTCGAAATAAACTGGAACTCCTGGGAATTGATAAAGAGATCGACATAAAGAAACTGACGGAGTGTCGAAAGCAGGCTGACCGCAAAGCGGTGCGGAAAGCTTATGAAGATGCTCTAGAATTCAGAAGCGCAACAACTGCTGTGTTGGCTGATGAGTCTCCATCATAGTAGAATAATTTTTGATACTTTGTACCTGTAGATATTTACAATATCTTAATAAGTTGTGATCTCGTGTGAATTATTATTTCGCATTTCAATCCGTCTTTGTACTTTATTTTTAGTAATTGTTCTTTAATAATCCTTCATTAGTTTTATGTTAATATATACTATGCTGGGTGAACTTGTTATTAATTGATTCAGCCAGCATTGTGAACTGGGGGTTAAAAAGGGTCTTCTAGCTATTTTGCTCAATTTACTTTTCAATGTGCACTTTTATTTTTTATTTTATATTCTGTGTTTTATTGCCGAGTAGATTGTATTGCTTACAATTTTATCACTTCATCATGAAGATTTTACTATTTTTGTAAATCTATTGTGCTTGCCAGAAATCAATTTTAACTTTTTAATTTTTAAAGTCTATGAGGAAAAGGAAATCTTGCTTTTTCTTCACCAAATTTTTTCATTTTTCTGGAAAGATGTGTTCAGTTTTAGAACAGCATGTTTTAAATCCAAGTAATATTGGTTTGCTACAATGACCACTTGCTGTTAAGCAATATTATAAATATGGCTAAAAGTCTACATACCTTCACAATCCCTCTAAAAATCGTGTCTATTGCAAATTAAAAATTAAATTTTTTGATGTGTGTAAATACTTTATTTACCAAGTTTTTCCTTCTTTTTCCTATTTTAAGACAGTTGTTACACTGTAAAATCATGGTAACTAAAAATATTTAACTGATTGATAGCAGGCACTGATCTCCTTTTTTAATTTTAAATTGATTGGACAGCATTGACAAGTAAAATGTAACTTGTTTTTCCTCATAAAATTTTGTCATGGAGTATTCTGCTTTTATCAGAGCCCATGCTGAAATGTAAATGTTATCGACCTGCTCATCGCTGTCCACTTTGTGCAAAAATTTCTCATACAACTTTTCAAAGCTACTATAAAGTGAAAGCAAGTTCTAATGCCAAATATATACACTGAAAATGGGATTCATTAATGTATTTGTCAAATAGTTTTCTGAGATTTGCAGCAACTCGCCCAGTTTTCAGCAATTCATAAAGTCGAGAAATGACGGTTCTCAGTTTTTCTGAAATGTTTGAATAGAGTTGGGTTATTTAGAGAAATAGAGTTAATGAAGTGGCGTATCTTGTAAGCGGTTTATTGCAGGAGAATGGTCTTATGTGGATATTCTGAAATTTTTGTCCATTGTTGCCATGTTGGCATAGCTCAAATGCTCAGTTTTTTACATCTTGAGCTGTGGCGTTGAAGGAATCCTATGAAAAATAACGAAAAAAAATTCTCATTATAGTAGACCATCCAACATTTTAAAAGAAGCCCTAGTTTACTCCGGAAAAACGATTTACTGAGGCATAATTATTTTTCAAAGTTGATGCCGTGCGCGGGGACCAGCCTGTGGATGTGGGGTGGCGTGTAACGTAAGAAAGAAATGAAAGATTGGAAATTTCAGTGAAATACTTCATGAAATTTCAAGAGGCTGTGAAATATATCATAATTTTCAGGGGCGAGAGTATGCAACCCGCACTCAAACACACAAAAATAGAAGAAAGTCAAAATGCTCACACTTTGCAAAACATGAAGGGAACTGGTATTTTTCAATATCTTTCATAAATTTCTTAAATTTCATGAAATATTTCACGTGTTTCAAGATTTTATTTTCCATGAAATTTTGCCACCCTGCGTCGCATTGTCATTTCTTTTTTTATTAGACTTGGCAGCAGTGAAATCGCGCTACTACTTGGCGCATGCGCAGTGGCGTGTTGTGGAATTGCGATGTTTTGTTTTTGATATTCTCTGTGATAACGTATTTTGAAGTGAATTCAATTCAATTGAACTGAGAATTGTGCTGATTCGTTCGTTACAGAGACGAATCCCATCAAACGTCATTTGTCATTTTAGTACACAGTCGGAACGTTCACTTCATATCATCATATCCTTTGTTCGCCTTCCGTTGGCTTTATCTGTGCCTACCGTCTTCGTGAATTTTGTGACTGATCTGCTGGGTAAGAAGCTGTGAGTGGATGCTGAAACTGGATTGAAAATGAAGATTTATCTGATTGCGGCCCTTTTGGGTTTCGCTGGACTATGTAAGTGTTTTTACTTTCCACCAGAGTTCAAGGTTGTGTAATCATCAGAACTCACGTTATTTCCCATGTCCATCACTAACTTATCACATATTCTTAGCTGAATTTTTTTGAGTTCCAAGCAAAAAATTCAGTCTTAAAGATGAGTTCTAATTGAAATGAAGGCTCTAAGCTGTATGTTAATTGCATATAAGTTGGGGCATTGCTCTTCTTGTTCTAAGCTGAATACTCTACCTTATCATTCTCCAGCCCTATCTACATCACCAAATATCAAGAACTTTTGCGCCTTCAAGACATAATCATGTACACTCAGTTTTGAAGGCCTAAGAATTTTCCATCTTTCAGCCAGGGTTGTTCCTTTGTTCATGCATACATGCAGAAGTAAATTCTAGCAGCGATGACTCATTGGATGTGTATCCAGTTTCAGGCTGAAGAATAAGAAATCGCAGTGACTCGGGGAATTCAGAGAATGGGATTGTATTCCTATCTCGTGTTCTGACCATGTCCATTAAATACCCTGTTGGTGCTAGTTTTGTTGCTCAGTTATCAACTGAACTGACTAAATCTGAACTCTGTCTTGAAATATGTCTCTGTTCACAAGACTTTTCATCATTGAATACTCAGTAATGTCCTTTTGGCACGGGCGATCATTGCTGAACACATTTCGTTACTGATTTACTATTACTTATACTTCAGACAAAGAATCAAAGTAGAAGTAATTTTCTTCTATGGCTAATGTACTTACAAAACTAATTACATTCCCCTAAATCCTACTAATGGGCTTTTTTGTTTAATTTATTGATGCTTAAATGCAACGAACCGTAATTTAAATCCAAAATCTAAGAGAGAAGCAAAAGATTATTTCAGAATTTGAGCTGAACAACAAGTACCTCATTTGTGAATGAAAAATAAGGAAAAATGCTACTTAATCCCCAGGTCAACTTAATTTTTTTGTAACGTAGGTATTACAATTTATGATATATTCCAATATCAGTGCATACACATGAGCTGAAGTGTCGACCTTGAAAAATAGATACATCTGAGTGGTACAGTTAATACACTGAGGCGTAATATACGATATGATATATAATAAAAGATCAGAGATTACATGCAAAAAGACACCAAGGAGTGTCTATATGTGAGGGCATTATTGTTGTCATTAGGCTTTCATTGACGAAAGCAAACATAGTGATAGCATTATCAAAGGTTAATGTTGATTTGATACAGAGAAGTTGCCAGATAATGGAATAGTGAGCCAAAGAGTTATGGGAAGTATATTCTGATAAAGAGCCTGCCTAGACTCCAAAGATCAAATCAAGTTGGGATGAAGATTTTCAGCCTAAGTAACAGTATGCAAATGAATGAGCGCATGCCACCATCAGTTGAATGATATAAGTACATGTTTATATCGTGAGAAATTAGGAGGATTACATCTGAAAAAGAACTAGTTTTCTTTGTCATTGCTCATCCTTCCAAAATCCAAATTCTTGGAGAAACACGTATACATATCCATTACTCATTCACTGAGCTCGAAGTTACTGTTATCTCTGATCATGAGTTGTTTCAACATTATTCCACCTTATCATGTTCGTCATGCCTCGTTCATTACATAAGTTTGATGCATTGTTTTATGCCTAGAAAACTGGCTCATCATAATTTAATCTTTTGATCTATTAATTACCTTTGAAAATAGTGCAGTTTAATGATTAATGCTAAGTCATAGAGTAGCTAGAAAAATTAGGTGGGGAGGGGGGCAAAGGCACCCCCCCCCCACACTGCTTTATCAAAGATCCCAATTCAACCACATGAAACACCTGTACATGATTGATCGTCCCTTCTACAGAGAATTGATGATTAATGTTCTTAATTTATTATATTGCAGGTGTTAGAGCCAGTCCCACCTCCAAAAAACTTATGAATGGAGGCTTATTAGTAGGAGCCGATAAATGTACTTGGGGACCCTCTTTCTGGTGTCAAAACTTCTCGTAAGTCTAAAATTTATGTTTTTCAAACTTAGTTTGAATGGCTACTTAGTTTGTACAGTTAGATGATGGCACAGTGTAAGCGGAAAGACCCCAGGGCATAATATGTAAATAAATCATCAATTAGCAGCTCATTGGTTGCAGGAAATTTTATTCCTTTTCTTTTTATTATCTTTATGTTTATGTTAGCTGCTTTTCCAAGCGTATTTCAACATCGAAAACTGAAGTCCAAACAGTAATATGGCCATAGGCGGTTCTAGACCTTCATGCTTGGGGGTGCCCAGAGGTGGATAATGTCGGAGATTGGCCCCGAAGGGGACGGTCGCTCAGGGGAGGACTAAGTTTCGGCCCTCAAGTTTTAGCCCTTTCCTACCCGCCTTTCTCTTTGTCTCTCCTTCCTTTCTACTTGAATACCTATACATTCAATGTAGAAAATTTTTAGCAAAACTTTCCATCAAAACTACAATCTTACCATAAAAAAACAGTAGAATCTTTGTAAAACACGGCTATCAATATTGATTCTGTTTAAAAAATTTTCAATTAATTGCTGGGATTTTTTCTCAGTGTGAGCTAATACAGAATCTTTAAAAGCAGTGATTTGGTCTTTTTTTAATTCTATACTGGTTAAAAAAGCAACAAATAGAGGTGAAGGTAGAAGATAAAAAAGTAAGACAGAAGTGAAGGTAATTATATTTATTCGTGCACTTCAATTTTCGAGGGAATAAACTATGTACGTATTTAAAAATTCACGAAATAAAAATATTGCCAATTTTTTGCGCTTCATAATACGATTTTTTCTCAACGTTTTTACTTGCCCAAAAGCCTCTTTCACGGTTTTGGTAACCAGACTTAATTTTTGCTTGGGGGTGCCCGGCACCCACTGGCACCCCCATAGAACCGCCTATGAATATGGCTCAATTATGACTTTTATTTTTTTTGTGCAGCTTTGAATTTTCATCATTTTTTCAGTTCTCAATGCTCAATCAAGTCAATTTTTCTAATAGCACTTACTGTTGAAATAACTCTAAACATTTTGAAGTATTGTGAGCTTCCGAAGGTAGCATTCAAAAGTAACCTCAGCTTCATGTCTGTACCTAGTATTCTTTCCAATTCCAGAATATCCCCTACAGTGATGAAAGTGAAAATAAAAATTGTAAATTGTAAGTAAAATTGATGATAATTGAAGTGACTGTGATGATGCCATTATTTCTACTCTTGATAATTGTCCCAATTGTTTTCTCTCACTGACTAACACTCACAATTTGTAAAATTGATAGTTCATCTCAGATTTTGAACATTTTCTTAAGCACAATATTCTTCGAGGTCATAGATCTTTTAAATGTTTGATCAACGCCATTTTTGAGCCTTGTTTTCCTTAATCATAAAAAAACCTGACTTTTAATTACTACTGCAACACCACTCAGGTCAGAGTTATCCATACTCTATTTACATATTTTTCTTTTTGTAAAATAATGGACTATCATACGCATCAGTAATGTTGTAAGCTCAAGATGTTTCTTCTTTTTAAGAATGAAATTTACCCTCAACAATTTAAAATATTTATCCTTAGATCGGCAGCTGGTTGCCAGGCGACCAGACACTGTATCCAGACAGTTTGGGAACATCAGACATACCCAACTGATCATGATGATGTCTGCACGATCTGTAAAAAAATGGTCAAGGAAGCCAGGGATCAGCTCAACTCTAATGAAACAGAGGTATTTTTTAGTGAAATGTGTTTCATTAATTTAATAATTTTATTACGTTATCATAATATGATAGTTTCATTAATTTTGGATACTATGTCACCAAGACGTACCATATGCATTCATTTACTTTATGTATATAATATCATATTTACTTCTTTGGGTGAAAAACGAACACTTTTGCCTAAACACATTTAGGGATGCAGAAAATGCCCGATCACGCGCCTGGGCAGGGGCGTAAAAATTTGGGAAAGCCCCCAAACTGTGGAAGGAGGGAAAATTTTGAATTCATCTGTCAAAAGTCAACGAAGAACAGAAAAAAAGGTCATCTTTTTTTAAATTTGTGGGAAATTTTGTGGAAAAATGATGAAAAAAATGTGGAAAGACAGCGGGCAGGCGCTTGAGAAGCTTGAAAGATTCTGCACCCCTGAATACACCTTCATATTTCTAGCCTTTCTCATCATCATATGATAAATTCTTTAGAGTCCTTTAAATGATTCAACTACATCATTTTTCCAATTCCTTTCAAGATGACAAGTTCATCATTAACTCGCAGAATGAGTTCAGGCTATTACACTTATTTTCAGATATATGCAGACTCATATTTATTCCATTTTTTCTCAGGAGGAGATAAAACAAGTATTCGAAGGGTCTTGTAAACTGATCTACATCAAACCGATTGTTAAAGAATGCATCAAGATTGTTGACGATTTCGCTCCTCAGCTTATCGATGCTTTGTCCTCCCAGATGGACCCCAACACTGTTTGCTCTGTTGCTGGACTCTGCAACAGTGCAAGAATTGACAAATTGCTGGAAGAAAATAAAGAGACTGAGGTAGCCTTTTACTCACATCTTACTCCACGTAGTGCCTCAAAAATTGCTTGAATTTTGTTAAGTTATTTTAAGTCCTTGAATATTCTTGAATCAGGGCCGAACGAAAGCAAATGTGCTGAATTCGCAAAATTTCTAAAATAGGTATTACATCATAGAATTAAAATTCTAAGGCTACAAAAAAGTTCAGACTCATTATTTTTTTGTGTATGTATGGGAAGAATCCAAGAACTCAAAGAGAGACTATACTTTTTCTTTTGTTGAAATGCGTCAGAATTTAAATGTTCAGAAGATTCCCGTCATAGTTCATTTCAAGTTTGATCTGAACAGACTCATGAAGCCTTTAGTCATTTTGACGTCATTTTTGTGTTTTCAAGGAATAACATTTTTTTTCGTTTCCACAGATCAAATCACCTGATCTCTTGCATGATCTAATGACTCAAGATAGTCAGAGGCAGAAGTGCACCAACTGTGTATATGTCATGAACAAAGTTCGCAATAACCTAGCTGAAACCCCTGAGCCATCCTTCATCAAAAAGCTCCTCTCCAAATGCCGAGACATGGGAAGTTTCTCAGACTCATGTTCCACCTTAGTCGTCACACATGCCCCATCTTTTTACCATTACCTTCAGGACAAGTTGAATGAAGAAGATGCCTGCTTTTTGGGAGGTCTCTGCGTTGGCGTGAAGCCAAATCCACTGGTAAGCTCCTGTACGCTTGTGTATTGAAAATCTTGTGAGAAAAGCATATTAGACTACACTGAGCTGCTTTATGTGTATGCTAATTTCTATTATCGGCTTTGAGATGAAATACTGCAATTACCACTTTTTATAGAATATGTTTTGACGTTTGATTCTGGTAGTTTCATGGAAGAATTTGTGGAATATGACATTCATTGTACAAAAAAATGTATAATTTTCTTTTGAAGAATTCCAATTCTCTTCAAAATAGGTAGTAAGAGGAAAAGAAAATGAAAGAATTCTCTACTTTTCCTCCATATGTTAAGAAAAGTCTTCTTTGTCTTATTTCAAAACTGAGAACAAGAATTAAGTAACATCTTATCCTAGGGAAGTTCAACAACTTTCCAAACCACCCAGAAAACTCTCTTTTTGCCAAGGAAGTACTTTTCATTTACGCGTAGAGTCAAAGAAATTTCAATCTTTGTCTGTGTATTTGTATTCAGATTTCTTTTCTATTCTTTTTTTTTTTTTTTTTTTTTTTTTTTTTTTTTTTTTTTTTTAGAAAGAGTAAGCCTCAGAACTAAGTTAGCCAGGAAAGAGAATTCTCTACCCCTGAGCTTTGATTTCTGCCAACTCAGCCTGAGGGTCATAATTTTTATTTAAGAATGCGTGATAATGGTAATCAACAACGCCACCGAGTTTCAGACATTAAAAAAGTCACAATTTCGCAAAACTCTTCAAACTTTGAAAAAATTTTGAAAAACGAAATACGCAGCAATTAAATGCACTTTGACAACGCAGAATATGTATGCGTTTGATAATTGCTGCTTTTATGTTCGTTTTTCAACATTTTTTTAAAAAAAAATTTAAAGTTTAACAAGTTTTGCAAAATTGTGATGCCACTTGAAATCAAGAAGACATTTAAAAAACCGTAGACATTGGCACAGTCATGTTTGAGACAATGCTTCACACAGAGACAGTCATGTCGTAAATGCAATACTGGGTCCAAGGTCCAGAAATGATAGTCAAGAGAATCCTCTAGTCAGTAGCCATTCAATCACAAGTTTTTGGCTATTAGCTAAAGTGCTTGACATTTTTAATCTTGCTTATTCTTTTTTTTCTGTTGTAGATCAGCGCTGTTGAAGTTTTGCCCAAAGCTGTTCTCCGCACAGACGGAGAGGAATTCATTGAAGGTGACATTGCCTGCGACATGTGCGTGGCTCTAGTCCAACACTTCAAAGACAATGTTTCATTGAATACAACAGCGCAAGAATTCAAGAAAGTTTTGCTTGGCATTTGCAGAAACATGAGGTCCTTTAACAAAGATTGTCAAAATCTTGTAGAAGCACATTTTGAACAGATCTACGATTATCTCAGAAACGGATTAGTCCCGAAAGAAGTTTGCGATGATGTTGGAATTTGCCATGGTTCAGTAGCACCTGCTCTGCAAATCTCAGAAGCAGCCAAGGTAAATCTAGATTTTGCTTCGTCTTAGACTTTAAGTTTATGCTAGTTTTCTCGGCTGTCAGAAACAGTTAGATTTCCTAGCTTCGATATTTGATACTGATGGAAAAATTCTGGAACCAAGTATATTACAGAATCTTTGCATACATTGTCAAAGGTCTCTTCCTATACCATGCAAATCTGATTATCATCTCATTTAAGCTCGGTAATTTTTCTTTGCTCTACACAACCGAGTTGTAGCAAATCAAAAGTGTTGGAAAACAAATCAATAACAAAGCACTATTTTTATCATTGTAATTATTATTCCTTGTTTTTAGGCTGAAGACATCAATGTTCATTACATAAATGCCCAGGTCAAGCAGCCACTTAACCCGATGATCATTGGAGATGTCCTCTTACCTGCAAATTTGGATTTGAACTTACAAGACCCAGACAAGAAATCGTCCAAACCCAAGATTCACTCAGTTCCTCTTGAGAAAGACATTATCGCTGGAAGTAAGTACCCACTAAATATTCCCCTTGTATCTGCTCTTGTTTTTCCTTATTATTCCTATTCCCTAATTATTTCCTTATTCCCAAAAGACGGTTAGAATTCTCAAATTTTGATAATTGCAATGATGCCAGGTGTGGCAGCAGGAATATCCCAGTTTTAGTATTCCTCTCTAATTTTGTTCTTAATTTTCCTTCCTTGTTTTTCATCTATTTCAGTACCACAGCATGTATAACTATGCTCAATTTTTTTCAGGTTTACCCGTTGAGCTTTACTCTCCTCATGCTTTCACACCCAAGAACCAGCCTTTGTGCACGTTCTGTGATTACTTCCTCCACTTCATCCAAGTTGAAATTACGGACCCCTCGAATGAAAAACACATCAAGGACCTAGTCAAGGGGTCCTGTAAAAGGATGCCTAATGGTCTGGTTGATGAGTGTCAGCAGTTTATTGATCAGTTCGGCGACGCTGTTATCGCAATGTTGGTGCATCAAATTGATCCTTCCCAGGTACTGTCCGTTTGAATGCGCACAAATCTACCTATATATTTAATTCAAGTTATTATCTATCAGACAATTGGCACTCATTTTTGGCGAGGGCCCTGTTTTTGCATGGTGAAAAATTTCAAAGTTGATGGAACAAGAAAACTGCATGAATGTTTCATTTGCTTTGAAATCGAAAATGTAATATTTTACAGAGCACACATCAGTGGATGTTTTAATTTTTGTTTCTATATCTAAAATTTTATTATACTTTTCCAGATCTGTCCCAGTCTTCATGTTTGTCCTTCCGAGATCAATGTTGAAGGAAAATCATGTCCTCTGTGTCTGCTTGCAGTAAAATCTATCGAGGATAAATTGGAGAACAACAAAACTGAGGTAAAGATATGAATATTCTCTTCTTTTTTAAAACTGAGTGATGGTCTCATTTGAGGTTTAGTGCAATCTCAATGGAAGTTAAAGTACGTGTATATTTGCACATTTGCGTGTGTTTCAGCACATAGTTGTAAAGAACATCTATCAGAATTAGTTTATTGTGATTTCACACATTTAAAATTTCCTTTGTCCCATCTCCGACTCTTTCTGTTTTTATAGTGACAATATTGTTGTTCTGTTTCAATTCTAAAATTTTGATTGTTTTTTAATAGGAAAACATCAAAGTGACTTTGGAAGCTTTATGCAGTCACCTTCCAGGCGACGTCAGGAAAGAATGTGATACTTTCATTATTGAATACTTTGATGACTTAATCGATATGTTGGTGGCTGATTTCACTCCACAAGAAGTTTGCACGTATTTGAAACTCTGCACTCCACCGAAACTCCCTGGGGGAGATATAAGTAAGTGTTGTTTGAATATTTAATTTTATAAAATTTGTAAAAAAAGGAAAGGGTAACCTTTGTTCGTTGAAGTGAGGCACGGCAATTTGACAGAATATCCGAACTGTAATGCCATGTTTAGTGGTACTATATAAAGTATGGGCACAACCGACAAAAATCACTAGTCTTGGTTGTAATCCCGTTTTTGTCAGCAAAATGTTAAGTGTGTTCTCAGGGTGAGGATAAAAGTAATGGCAAATATCGCTTGAAAGGGATTGTGGGAAGTCTTCATCAACAAGATACATCTAGCACGTAATGTAAAATCAACTACAAGGGCGCAGAACATCCTCGACCGGCTGGTCATAGGTCGGACGCTGGAGAAATAAGAAGGCTCTTACAAAGGGGAAAAAAATCTTGAAGGAAACTATCAAACGCCCAATTTTTTGAAAAAGAATCTCCTAAACACATTTACTTTTTGTGAAAAGAATGGTGTACTTAATTCGCTCTTTTATCCAAATAAAATAGTGATAGGCCATTGTTGATAGCAATGTAAAAACTACCCCAAAAAATGTAAAGGCAAAGAACTCACTGCATTCTTGATTAATTAGCTGATGTAAAATTAAGTGGAAAGCAAGAAGATTATTTAAATAGAATGATCGGAATCAGCCTTATGTAATTTCATCCTGGTTTCCTTCATGTTCTGTCCTAGCTACAAATGAAATATATGATGGCAGTGACTTCAAATCGTTTAAGGAATCTATGTTCAATGAAATATCGAAACCTCATAGACAACTCAGTTCAGGAGAAGGCTGTTTCTTCTGTACTCTCATCATGAATGCCCTGGAACAAGCTGCATCGAACCGTGATGTCGATGTAAGTTCTTTTTCATATTTTCTCTCTGAAATTCTTACATTTAAAACCTAATTTTTCAACTCAAGCATTTCTCACAGCCTCAAAGTGTTTCAGCAATATTATTATCGGCGGTGGAAACATGAAATCATCAGTTCTCACTATCAAAAACTTTGTGGCTCATTCCTTGAACAGATTTCTGAATGAGTTGCATCAGAAAAACTGAGAACTAAAGAAATTAAAAACACTTACAATTTAGAAGTTGTTTTAAGTCCATTTGCCAAACCGTGTCCTCAGACTTGGTCAGATTTTTTCATCGGAGGAGTCCAAGGACTCAAGATAGACCACAAAACATTGTCAGAAATCAACTGCCGCAATGCAAAGTGTCTCTTCCAAGTTGCATGCAGCATGTATCTGAATTTTGTGAAATTAAAAATCCTGTTCTTTTTAGGGGGGACGTAGGGGGGGGGGGGGAGTTGGAATTTTCTGATTCTGACTTTAACAAATAATGCTATCCTCTCACTCTCGTAGTCAAGAAAAAACTTTTTTTTTTACATATTACGACTTTTGCCTTTCTTTACGGTCTCACAAGCAAGAACACATTGAAGGGAGAAAGTAAACTCTTGCCAAAGTTTTATTTGAAGTCATATTTCTCAATTCATTTTTCAGCATATAATTTGGACTTTTTATAAATTGTATTTTTGTGGTGAATTACTTAATCAAAACTTGAATTTTTCTTCAGGAAAAATTGAAGCAGGATATGATTAAAGTGTGCCAGGCTTTGCCAGATCCAGTCGGCAACTCGTGTAAAAACTGGCTGCGGAAGTATGGTGACATCATAATCGACACTCTGAACAATTTCACTCCAAAAGAAGTTTGTCAGAAAATCCAAGCTTGTACGACACTGGGTGGACTTCTTTTGACACCTGAAATGCATATGAATTTAGCACAACCAGAACCAGCACCAGCACGTATGAGGAATTCTTTTAATCTCCTCCTATCATTCAGCGTTGTTGAACTTCTTATTGATCTTAAAGCCTCACTCTTACGCCCTTAAAAGTCCAAAACTAATTATGTCAAAGACTTGATCTCAGTCTTATTTTAAAGATAAAGTCCCACACCATCAATTGAATGATCATCTCATTTGTTTAAATATCAACTAAGTTACAATGTCTTGAAGGAGAAAAATAGTCTCACCCAGGAGTTTTTAAGAAAACTATTTTTTTCATCAGAAATTTGTCAATATTTATTTTCCAATGCACTATCATGACCAAAAAACACTTGAAACTACCAAATTTATTGTTGCCATATTGCCTGATTGTCTCGCAATAACTGCTACTATCATGGTAACCAAAGAAAGTTGGATGATCCTTGCACAGATCGGGTGCATAGTTGCGACTCGTCAGTAAGCGCAAGTAGAACACCAGTTTTACGTCATTATAAGATGTGTTTGTATGAAATGTTTGTAACAGCAAAAGGAATGAGGTACAATCTTTTTGAAAAACATGTTTTGAACCCAGAAAGAAGAGTTTTACTACATGAAAATCAGAATGAAAAAAGGGAAGCATATTGACTGATCTTCGTAATCAGATAAAATCATATCCCCCATATTAGGTTTGAAAGAGATGCATTAGTGCAAATTTCCTCTATGTCGTCATTTCTCACATCTTTACTGATGTTGTCTCTTTCGGAACAAACTTTTGGAGTTTTGTTGGAGTTCTGTTTTACAAATTGTTCCTGCAAATTGTTCCTGCAAATTGTTTATTCCTGACATTGCCAATTTGTATTGTGTTTGTGCCAATACTGAATTATATTTGTTTGTCCTTTTTCAATCAGCCGCGAGCAATGATTGCCCCATGTGCAAAAGAATCAGCGCAGAATTAAAGAAAATGATTGATAATTCGGACGGCTCAATAACTGTGGACGAGGCTCTGAAGTCCGTGTGTGCCCGATTACCACTAGCCACTGCTGCTCATGTAAGTATTCTTAGGTGGTTTTGCATGTGCTGTATACTCTCTAGAAGTGGGTTCATGTCCAAGAGAATTTTTCAGTCCTGGTCACAAGAAAATATTGCATGCTCGTGCAGCATGCATCTAAGGGGAATTTTTCATTGAGGACTTCCCTGAGGAAAGGAAAAATTTTTTTCATTCATGAAGGTTTTTATAAATGCCGATAAATCAGCATTTGACCTAATGTCATTGAACTGTTAGCATGTTCGATGGGATGAGAAACCCTTTTTCGCAAACAGCATTGTATTTCAAGAAAAAAAAATTTATTATGGAAAATGATATTTAATGTAGTATTGCATTCCTAATCCACAAAGAGTTTCATTTCCTTTCATACAAAGTAATCTTCAATCTACTTTTTGCGTGTTTCTTGTTCAAAAAGTGGACCGCTTCAAACTTAATTTGAGTGGTTCTAGTATTCTAACCTCCTGAACAAATGAGAAAATATCTATCTATTTATACCTCGATTATCCAATGAACTGTGGCAAGAGCCCAAGCAAACACATTTAACAAAACAGATACTTTCAAGCATAATACATAAGAGCCCATGAAAGCTCATGATAAATGAATGAAAAAAACAAGAAAAATTTCGAAAAATGTTGTGTTCTTCATCTGTTTCCGTGCCGGATAAGCAATGAGCAGATAACAAAGGAATTTCCGCATTTATTTATTATCGCATGATATTACGCGCATGCTGTGCCTCCTCTTTCTATTTTTCTTTAAAGCTCTCAAAGAAAAGGAAACGCTGAATTTCAAGAGGATTGGTAGTGGTTAGAATTGACTGAAATTTTGTTCATATCTTTCTATGAATTGGAGTCAAGAGAAAAATTCTTGTCAGTTCAATTGTTCAAGACTCAGTCTCTCAACTTCTGGTGCAGCTAAAATAATCAGTGCTACTTGTTTTTTTAAATCATATTGTAATCGGTTCCGCAAAAACTTTTTTGTCTGGTCAGTTTTACTGTTGAAAATAACAATGATCTCATCAGTTTGTCTCTCTTTCCAATCTCGTCTATAGTCGTGCTCTCCTCGTCCTATTTACGTCTCACCGATTCTTTGTGACGTCTTTTGAAATTTTTAAAAGGATTTTCCAGTAGTCTGTGAGAATCCAACCGATAAAGAATGTCATCTTTTAAATCCTGTGTAAAACCACCCAGAAAAGAATTGATCCTTTAAAATTCTCTTTAAAGAAAGAGCATATGTATCTGACATGTATCTGGTCCTTTATTTTCATTTTCATTATTTTAAATTAACCTGCAGTTTCCCTTTATGATTCATCATTCAAAAAGAGCATCACTCAGAACATTCTTTTAAATTTATGTAATAGACCTGAGAACTCAATTCAATTGGTAGGCGCAATAAAAATAATACTCCTTCTGCATCATGAATCTAAGATCTTTGAACATCATCCCTCAAGGTTTGAGATAATGAAAAAACTGTGCTCTGATCCCTCAAATTTCCTGCGAATTTTCATATTATCTGCATCCTCGTCCCTTGTTCAATGTTGTGTTGTTCATGTCTATTGTTTGTCCCTGTCAGTGTAAGGAGGTAGTTCAGTCTTATGGCCCCAGTTTCAAGAACATCCTCATGGAAGACCCAAATGCCAACATTTGCGAGGCAACTGCACTCTGTTTGAAAGAAGAGCAACCTAAAGCGCACCTCCTTGGTGGCTCCTCCAACAAGTGTCTCTACGGACCCGACCACTGGTGTGCATCAACGGCTAATGCAGCTGCGTGCAATGTAAGTATCCTTCCTTAGTATTTATATCACATGATGAGACGCTTTTAATAATTTGGCGTTGTTGAGATGAACTAGAATATTTTAAGAAACTCCTTGTGGAGTTTTTTTCCTGCTCATTATTCTCCAAGAGAAATTAGTTTGTTCTGGAAGGAAAACTAACCTCTTTTTGGGTATTGAAGAGGTCTCAGTTTTATGAGTAGCAGTGTTGGAATCTGATAGATGCCATGCACAAAATGTGTCTAAATATTTCTTTCCGGCGCCTGAATGATTGTAACAGTGACCAAAGTTGATGCATAAATATTGTCAGTCAGCTAACAATGTAAACGCTGGAGCCTACAGACAAATTTATTTGATTGATACTTTAATCTGTTACGGAGCCTTCAGGTAATGGAAAGGTGTGAAAAAATGTGATTAGTTAGAAAAAACCAGATTCTTAGGTGTCAAAAGACAACTGATTCTGATCGTAAATTATTTTGACCCCTAAATATTGATCAAACAGGCTAAAGTGGCTCCTTAATTTCTCAAGAAGTTTCGAACACTAATGGGCAGTATTTAAAATGATCAAAAATTTGTTGTATTTCTGAAAGTTTCATCTTTAAAACCTTTTTTGTGAAGGATTAATGAAGTTGTACTTCATTTCTAATGAGTGACCAAATTTGTGAGTTCAAGAAAAATATCTATCCGCACTAAAGACATAATTTTGAAGCTAGTCTCTGAGTTCATTGGCCGGAATTTTTCAGTATTTGAAAAGATTTTGTGACACATTTTGAAAAATAGTCAGCTGGAGCCTAAGAATGGAAAAACGCAGCAAATGAGAAACTAAAATCGTGTAAATTATGATTCTATATCTTGCCAGTTTATACACAAAATATTTATATCGGTCAAATGAACTCATATTCGATTTTTGAAATTCACAGGACTTGTAATCATCCAAATCCATTCACGATGAATTTACTTTTTGTTTTCAAGATGTTAAATCACTGATAGTGGTTATTTTTCTAACATTAAGTCATTATGTACCTCAATGAAAATTATAAAACCGACCACTCAAATTGTTTCTCGTTCTTTTCTGTACAGGCTATTTCATTCTGTCAAGCTAAAATCTGGAAAGCTGAAAAACCTCAAGCCAACCATTCTGCTAAAGCATGGAAACATTTCCAGAGGATCATGATGCAGTAAACTTTCGTGACTGCCGTGTAAATTGTACACTTTTTTTCAAACGGTTTTAGAATGTGTACTGCAAACTTGGCTGAAACTACTGGCTCTTTCCAGCAAGGATGATACTGCTATATTAGAAAAATTCTTTTTTTTCTTTTTTTTTGAATTTCTTTTTAAGTTTTTGATTTGTGCCTTGTAAACTGTTGGTGATTTTCATCAGGAATAAGAGCGATGAATTCTATTTAATTTAATAGATCAGCTGATAAATGAAATTTAACTCCAAAGAGAAAAATATGTTCAAATTAATAGCAGTGAGACAAAATTAGAAATACCAACAAGAATTTTTATTTGTCATTTGAAGGTCACCGTTTAATTGCAGTCAGTAGTCTTATGTAATGAAATTCTCTAAACAAATTAAATCTTAAGTTGTAAAGTAATCGTACATCAATTTTTCAATCAAAGTTAAAAAGTAATCAAAGCAATGAGCCCTACTTTACAACTATCGCTAAATACTCATTTTAGGACTGGTCGTAACTTTTAAAGTCAGTGGTATGTAGATACATTAGTTTTTAGCCCGCTCGTTTTAAGACTTCTATTTTTATTGCTCTTCTCCTCAATGTACAGACGTTTTTTTCATTCAGCCTTGTAAAGTCATTGGTAACAAGGCAGTTTATCAGATGTGAGAAGTGAAAAGGAATACATTTTAAAAAAAAAAAAAAAAAAAAAAATCAAACCTATTGTAAGACATTTTTACATTTTATCATTATAATTTTTACAAAAACTAACTTTTAAAATGATTTATCATTATGTACTGACAGCTTGTAGAATGCAAATCATAAGAACGTTCTCTCAATTGTGTCTTGAGTTACCAATTTAAATTTTGTCTTTGGAAGTAGTATTGTAGGTTAGATGTGATTTCAAAGTGATAGCCTTGTATTTTTCTTAATTTCTGTAGGGTATCATGTAAGACCATTTTTACTTTTTTTATGTTCTCGTCTCTCAGTTTGATTTATCAGTAAGTAATGACTCTTGCAGTTTTTACGTACCGTAAACCTACTTACACCAATCCTAGTATGAGTTTCGTTTGTCTTTTGGGTATCTCTACCTATCTCTACGAAATTCAACCTTTATTTTTATTTATCTATTTTCTTTCCTTTTTTTTCTTCTTTTTTTTTCTTTTTCTTTTCAATTTCTAGTGACTATTTTTTTGCATTTCATTTAAGACAGATCATTTACTAGCATGCATGGTTGTGTGTTTATTTCTACTCTACTAATGATTCAATGTATCTATCATGGTTTTTTAATCTAATAAATCTTTCAATCAGTTTATTTTTTTAAAGAAAAAAGTCTTGTGATTTACTCATTTTTGTCAACCTTAATTTAAATTTTACTGGTACTAATGTTCAAAGGAGGGGAATTGACAAAGGCTGTTTTTGGCATCTTTATCCGAATTTCCTCCTCTCTACAATTTTTTGCTCATTGAAGGTCGACATTTTTCAGAAAGCATCATGATTGTGTCATTTCTGGTCTCTTTTCAGGTCTAATATTAGCCTAAATACAGGGTGATCCAAAAGTCCCTTCCACCCCCCCCCTAACTTTTTACCTAATTGAGGTAAAGATTTGAAACTTGGGGGATGTTCCTAGGTCAAAGGGAGCTACTTTATGGCCCCCCTAAAATTTTCAGGGGGGCCCCCCTTGGGGGGGGGCAACGGCCCCCAACTTTTAATTTTCAAATGGGAAGACCCCCTTTGTGATAGCTCGTTCGAAAGAGCATAAAAAAATAAAACTTTTCGCGCAAACCCGAAGTCAATATCTCAAACCGTTTCAAAATGGCGGCCGGTTAAAGTTCAAAATGGCCGAAAATTCACACCGGTTATTTGTCGATGGATTTGCGCGAAAATCGGTATGTAGGGGTATTTTGACACGAGAAAAACGAATTTGACGTAAGATTTTCACAAAAAACCTAAATTTCCAAAATGGCCGCCGGTTAAAGTTTAAAATGGCCGAAAATTGTCACCTCGGTTTTTTGCTGATGGATTTGCCTAAAACTTGGAATTTGAGAGTATTTTGGCGTAAGATAAACAAATTTGAACTAAGATTTCTAAAAAAATCAATTTTTGGTCATTTTGAACTTAAACCGGCGGCCATTTTGGAAATTTAGGTTTTTTTGAAAATCTAACGTCAAATTCGTTTTTCTCGTGTCAAAATACCCCTACATACCGATTTCGAGCAAATCCATCGACAAATAACCGGTGTGAATTTTCGGCCATTTTAAACTTTAACCGGCCGCCATTTTGAAACGGTTTGAGATATTGACTTCGGGTTTGCGCGAAAAGTTTTATTTTTTTATGCTCTTTCGAACGAGCTATCACAAAGGGGGTCTTCTTATTTGAAAATTAAAAGTTGGGGGCCGTTCCCCCCCCCCCAAGGGGGACCCCCTGAAAATTTTAGGGGGGGCCAAAAAGTAGCTCCCTTTGACCTAGGAACATCCCCCAAGTTTCAAATCTTTACCTCAATTAGGTAAAAAGTTAGAGGGGGTGGAAGGGACTTTTGGATCACCCTGTATGGGCCTGGAGGCCGATTTTGGCGAAAAATGCGAAATTTTGGCATGTTACTGCAAACATGCTAAATCCACATTTTTCGCAAAAATCAACCTCCAGATCCCTGTTTAAACAAGTATTAGACCCGAAAATGATGAAATCATGATGCATTCTGTAAAATATAGATCTTGCATGGGCAAAAAATTGCTGAGTTGAGGAAATACAGAGTGGGCTTCAAAACAACCCTTATCGATACCCCTTCTTCTAATTAAAGTCCTGTACAATTTACCAGTTACTTAAAGATTTTTTCAGATTTCTTTTAGAGATAGTTTAATCAGAAACTTATGTAAGTAAATCTAGTAAGTGTTTAAGTAAATTTATTTGTAAAAGAATCGGCGCAAATGATTATGGGTTTGAAAATCAAACTTATTGGTTTGAAATTTGGTAGCCCGTTGAACCATGAAGTTCTAAGTATCTCTGTCAATGTTTTTTACTATGAAAATAAGAAAGCTCATTCCAACCCTGATCTTTCTTCAGCTACTAGAATACAAGAAAGTGAGTTTAAATTATCAAATTTTAATTTCTCAAATTTAATTCATGACACAAATCCACTGTTTATAAATTGCTACTCTTGTTGGTTTGAGTATTCATTTTCAGAACCCAATTCTTGGTATTTTTTTATTTTGTGTGAAAATATCCCCTTTTCTCCGTCCACATCATACTTTAAAAAGTCAAGTCTGCTTACTTGAGAGCTTCATCTAAGAGGTTTTCCTTTAACGCCATATGAAGCGCATCTGAAAAAGTCCAAGAATTTAGCAGGAATTGGCAAAGCATCAATGGCAGATTTTGATTCCAGGCTTTGAATTTTCATTGAAGTAATCCTAGACTTATTGAGTCTACTTTTTTTTTTTTTAAACCAGAAAAAAACCAAGATTTCTGAAAGTCGTCTAGGAAAGGAACATTTGTAAACATTCCTCTTTTTAATTAGTGCAGCATTTTGAAACTTTTCCATGTGAATGTTCAGTTGACATATTTTAGAAAATTTCTTACCGAGATTAATACTTGTACCATGTAATTTTTTTGTCAACCATCTCTTTTCTTTGTACCCACTGCAAAAGATTTGATTTAACTAGGAGGGTTGCTACAAACTTAACTAAAGTTTTCACTGTTTCTCTGGATGCATGCATCTGAAGATGGGAAGATTAAAGTCTGCATAATTTTTCTTGTCCTGTCCTGTTCTTTTTCTAGAATTTACCCTCGCAGTGGAGTATTTCTTGTGGTATCGTTCAGTTATCAAATTTATTTTATCATTACACGCATGATTTGGGATGTCTTGTTCAAGGATAACTGTGAGTTTTCTCAAAACAACTGCCTTCCAGGTAAATAGAGAAGGATAAGAAATTGGAAGGGTAAACTCTCCCACTTTCATATTTGAACTTACCTTCTTGTTTATTTTGGTCCGCCTATGTGTCTCTGTTCCCGGGAGAGAGGGGTGTATTCAAGCTTCTGAAAATCTGCATATAAAAGGTATTATTATTCAGTACTTGGGATTCTTATCTTGTGTACCAACATTCTCAAGCTCATAGGTGTGGCTTTATGCGGTGTCGTGTATAAAATGTTAAAAAAAAAAAAATTAAATTTTGATTCCATATATTGAAGAATGCTTGCCCATATATTGTTATCTATTGTATAGACGCTGCTTGTCACCATGTTCGTTATCATAATTTTTGAGTAATATGCAACACTGTTATCAGTTATTACCTTAGATACTGAAGTAATGTAGTCTTCTAATGATGAAGCAATCAATTCAAAATTATCGGTGTTTCTTTTATCTAAACAAAGTTTTCTTTACGGAAGAATTCAGACTAAATTTTGTAATTATTTGATATGATACTCTTTACTATCACCTTTACATATCAATATTTTAAAATGGAACTTTCTATGTGCCAATGTTGAGAAAAGCGAGGTTTATAAGTGAATTTTTTTTGTATACATGCACGAGTTTTCTTGTACAGAAGTGGCATCCTCAATGTGTGCCTGTAGTGCCGGGAGCTGTCATCATTCGGAAGGACTTGATTCTTTTCATTAGTTTTTTCTTTTCAGTTAGCAAAGAAATATATCTTTTCTGCAATCACCACCCTTTTGCGACATTTTCTCAATAAAGTCTTGCAGAAGTGCTGAAAAATTCTCAAAATTCTTTTCAGCCCAGTCATTCCCGAAAGTGGAGCGTAGAAATTTTTAACACTTGTCGTGCCTAGGAGGCTCTAAAGAACATCATCTCAAATAATAGTGAAGTCTAGTTGTCGCCAAATCCCTCGGTTTTTTGCACTGGGTTCTTTAAGTTATTTCGGTCCATTTATCAGACCTCGGCTCTTGAACAACAAATTAATAACTCTGTCCGAAACTGATCTGACTAGATATTGGATTTTTCAATTACCTAATCAATCATTTTCTTCAACATTGTTTTTTGTTTTTGAATTTAATTTAGATGCTGACGCTTGATGAATATGGAGAATGGATGAATGGTGTGAATGCATTAAAAGAGCCCATGTCACTGAGTAGTGCCTGTCAATACTTCGTGGATAGCAAAAGCACAGACATTATGGATGCATTGGCATGCAACTTTACGTCTGAAGAACTGTGTCTTTTCCTGGGCTCATGTCCCCTTGAAGGCCAGAAACTTCAAAGAGACTGTAAGTACCTTTTGTCTTGATAGGTTTGACTGAAATTAGGGAAAGGGAGGACAGTGTGCAAAAATACTAAGTTTATGGTCTGCTTTGAAGAAATTACCCTTGTTAACTCTTAAAGCCTCTCAGAGGTAACATTGATAACTATTTTTTGTAAGTTTGAAAATTTAAAACATCGATTTTCAGAGAGGAAGCAACTTATCAGTTTTAATTTTTCATGAAAAAGATAAATACCAAGAATTAAAGGTGTGAACTAACTCCTTTAATTTTATTCAAGTTTCCCTCTAAAGTTTTAAAACTCTCGTATCCTTCTTTTCAGGACGGTCAAACTTTCATGATTAAGAACACCAATTTTAGAACATGTAAGTTCGGTAGATGAGTATAAACTATTTATACTTATTCATTTAAGAAAAAAACCACTAAAAATTGTCCTTGTTTTCCCCACAGAATATTGTGTACCCAACAATTCCTACTTTACCATCCTGTTACTTATTAATTGATTGCCAATAAAAAAACTTTTACCAGATGCTTACAAAAGGGATTAAATTAGATAGTAAGATGACCAAGGAAATATTTTTAGGTTGGAAATTCTTCATTTTCTCTGTAATTACTTTCATTGCCTATTGCAGCTTTAAATAAATTCCATGATGGCAGTGACACAAGATCATTCAAAGAGTCAGTGTTGACAGAAGACATGAGACCACATCCTCGACTGAGCTCAGGTGACAGTTGTTTCTATTGCACCCTAATGATGAATGCCTTGGAAGAATCCTTTGTGGACCGCAAAGTTGATGTGAGTTCTCTTTCGAATTTTGATTAAACAAATTATAACCTTTTTAGGAGGAAAAAGCGAGTCTGTCAATGCAAGGGTCACCGAATCAACTCCTCTTTTTTTTGGCTCATTCATAACCATTAAATGAGAATATTCATGAAAGCATTCGAGTTTAGAAGACTTCCAAACATGAACCCAAAACCAATTAGTAATAAGTCAAGCAACAGCACCTTTAGTACACGGCAGATATCAAGTTTTAAAAATTGAGATTTTTGATGGCTCAGCAAAGATTTTGAAAGATACTCATAGGTAAATATCTGTTAGGACATCTGGTTGAAACCTAATGATTCACTTGTTTATCAAAGTTGATAAACTTCGGTGTGTTTAATATTTTCTTCAAGTTTTAATATAAACTTATCGTCACACCATCTGTTTAAATATATCAACAGGTAGGTTAAAAGGTGAATAGGGAGCATTCAAGCAGAAATATAAAAGAGCCTGGAGGTGGGAGTAAGAGGCATAGATGTCATAGAGTGCCAGAGTGTGTCATGAAATAACTTTTACCCTGAGGTAAATTTCCTAAAGACTTCCTTTTAATTTTACTGTTTGTTAGAAAATGCTTTTCTCATTTCATTTTAAAATTAATGTGGCTAATTTTATACATGTATTTGTGTGTATCCAACTTTTGAAAAATATTTGAATTTTTCAGGAGCAAGTTGAGGAGGTCATGATGAAAGTGTGCAATAATTTGCCCGATCCCACAGGTGATTCATGTATGGATTGGCTGCAGCCGCACTTAAATATGATGATTGACACTTTGCACGATGTCCCTCCAAAAGAAGTTTGCAGGACAATCAATGCTTGCACTCTTGTTGGTCTTTCTATGACTCCAGATATGTACTTAAAATTGCGTAAGTATTGTTTTTATTCATTTCTTTGATGAAACAAGTTTTAGCAATCTGGGTTTGATTCCAGAAACTGCATTATATGCATCCCAAAATCCCTGATTTTTTTTCAGACAACAAAAACCATTCATGTTGCTATCAAAAAAGGGATATTCTGTGAAGTGAAGATTAGTCTTTTCTGGAAACATATTACGTTACAGTAGCGAAGTAAATTAAAAAAAATTGTTGTTTCATTTTTTCAATGAATTTATCGTAGAGAAGATGCCAAAGAGGGTAGTGATCTTTGTAAAATACTAGTAATAATCATATAATCTAAATCTCATTCTATTTTAAATCTTGTTGAAATAACGTAAAACAACCCTGCATATAAAACCTAAGGATTCCTTCGGTACCGGCTAAATTTTGTTATTTTTTTTTAATAGTCTTCAGGGTATTTGGGAGTCTCTAGTTTAAAATTAACAAAAATTTATAAAAGCTAGTGCAAATATTTCTCTCATGAAGTCCATCCATATTGAAGAGTGGAGGTAGTATGTGTTAATGTTTGCATTTGCAGATGACACTAAGATGAACAATGTGGGTCTTTCTCAAAATAACGTCAAATCTGGGAATCTCGATGGTAGCACAAAATCCTCCTCTTCAAGCGGTAGTGGCAAATTGAATATTGATGGGATTTCGCCTACTGCAGCAGAACAGTTTGATGAGGGAGAGTGTAAACTGTGTTTGTTTGTTGTGGGGAATGTCAAGGAACAAATTCCCAAAGCAAGAGGTCAAACTGAGCCGGTAAGTATGATGGCATGGCAATTCAGATATATTCTGAGATCTTTAGTGCATCCCAAAAATTGAAACATGTCCCTTAAACTTTGCAGTGTTAAAATACAAGCCATGAAAATAGATTGAGTATAACAGCTGCTCGTAGGCAATATTTAATGTATTCCACTGCTCAACTTCTCCAATGCTTTCAATAATTCGTCCCATTAGAAAGTGTAACCAAATAACCAACCCCATGAGAAAGCAGGGATACTATTACAGTGTTTTCAATGAGGGCATACTTTCACTGTAATTACTTAAGAATATCAAAATTATATGATGAACGTAAACTCATAAATTTGTATCAGTGGACTTATATTTTTTCTTTCATGGCTTAAAATCAGTCATTTAACCAATGGAAATTTGCTTTATTTTTCAGGCTGAAATCAGGAGATCATTAACAGGTCTTTGCAGTTACCTTAAGAAGCCAGAGAGCAAGAATTTATGCACAAACTATGTTGAGGGAACTGGTGAAAATGTTATAGATGAGCTTGCCAATGTAAAACCACGAGATCTTTGCATTCATATCCTAGCCTGTCCATCCTCAAAAGTCCTGCCATCTCAGTCAGCCCAACCAACACCAGGAGTAACAAAGTTCAACGAAGATCCAGGAAATCTTAACCTATTGAGAAAAGCTCCTCATCATTACCGCAGGAATTTTATTACAGATGTCTCTTCAACAATGTCTGATGATGATAGAGAGTCAAATTCTGAAGATGATCTCAATTTGAAAGGAGATAAATCATCAGTCAGTTTGGATCAGCATTCGCAGTCAGCTAGTTTTGATAAGAAGGCAGATCATGAGATGAGTGAGTGTCTCTTTTTAAACAACTTTAAAATAATTCTTTTTTATGGTTGACAGATTTTAATCATTTTACTTAAAGTATGGATGGTCAAATTCATCAAAGAAATACCTTTAAAAACTTATCAACAAAACTTTCTCATGACTGAAGAAGCTAAAATTAATACTGAGCTCAATTTGAAAGAAATTACCCAAACTTAAAGTGAAATGAAAAATTACTGAAATTTTTTTATGCATGCGCAAACAGAGAAGGCTTATAATATGCCTTAGAATACCAAATGCTTTTGAAAGAGCTAATTCAATCATTCATTTACAACTTTCTCATCTTTTACAGGCTCCTGTGAACTGTGCTTGCGGTCCATGTTTTCTGTGGGACCTCTAATGAACGATGCAAATTTAACATTTGAGCAGGTGCACAACACCCTCACCAATTCCTGCAACACTTTCTCAGGAGAAAGATATGAACAAGTATGTTGTACTTAATTCTTTTTTCAGATGATTATTTTTGGACCATTGATTAAGTGGAACCAAGTAGGTACTCAGTCTTTTGAGCCCATGAAAGGTAGATCTCTTTGCAAAAGCAAATCTTGATCGATTTGGCTCAATTCTTTATTTATCTGGGTACACCCAAGTACATATTTTTCTTCAAGGGGGCTCTTATCTGTGTCTGCCTTGTTACTTCAGAGCTAATCCAAGATCTACTCACCAATTATCAGGCAGCTTTAAATTAACTGTTTGTGTAATGGTTTGGACAAAAAAAAAACCCTGCCGCAAGCGGGGGATCGTAATCTCCTTGAGATTTTTATTTTCTAAGTAACTTTCAGAATTTAGTATCTTGATTCTGACCTGACTAATTTAATATAAAATGGGTTTTCCACAGATTTATATCAAAGCTGGCATCAGAATCATTATTTACATGCATGCCTCTCTTCCTAGCCATTATTTTTAAATCTCATAGCTAACTTCGTCATCACATCAAACATCAATTCCTTTGATTAATTTTGCAGTTAAAAATGTATGTAAGTAATCGTAATTTTTTACCCTTGTTTTCAACTTTTGTTATCAGTGCAAGAAATTGATGAAGGAGTATGGATATATCATGGCAGCTAAACTGTTCAGCACACCCAAGACACCATTTTATGAAGTTTGTTATGTCATGACGGATCCTCTTTGCTCGGGTGCTTACATGAACAAACACTTAAGAGTATGATAAACATCAATTACCTTACATTTTATCCGATTATTCCCATGCTGTAAATAGCTTGCTACCTCTAGAGAGGTAAAAATTTAAGAGGGAAAATATTAAGACGGAGAGGAAAGAAAAGGAGTTAAGAGGGAAATATCAAGAAAATTAGATAATATATCAGGATTTTTTCCCCTCTTATGTGCTGCATGAAGGAGTCTCTCTGATTCCCTCATGCAAGGAAGCAATCAAAATAAGTGAGGAAAGAAAAGACCTGCTGAATTCGGAGCTGGATTATCTGTACAATTCCTTCCAGCAGTTTTTGGTCAGCAACTTAAGAGAAAAATAATTCAGTCGTAACTCACCCTAAAGTCATCTTGTGAATTTTGACTTTATAATCTCTTTCTTTTACGTCGATGCCTTGTTTTTTAGAGATGTCTATTTGGTCAAAAAATAGTGTGAAAAAAGTCAAGAAAATATTAGGGATCTTGAGATGAATAAATCAGGATAATGACGGTGTAAGTCCGCAAACACGTATCTCGGTATGCGATATTGCAGACTTCCTGTTATATTTTCAAAAAAATTTAAAGAATATTGTCGATCTGTTCACCTTTAAAAAAATAAAATAGGAGTGGAGATTTTAACCCGAGATACGTAGTTGCGGACTTATACCGTCGACATGTGTTTCTCATTCAGTTCACCAGGCAATACATCTTGTTTGGCTTACTTAGCAATTTTTGCTTGAGCTACACTCTTGAAATTCTTACAGTTTGATTTTTAGTAACAAAAACATTGTTCCCCTTTTATCACTCTCTCTTCAGGACAAGTTGATGGACTTATTTCTTTCTGAGTTTCCAAAAAACTTCCGTGGTGATGCAGAAACGTTTGAGTTTGCACGAGAAGTTTCTGAGCTTGTAGCAACAGTTTTATTCTTCAGAGATGATTTGGACTATATCGGAACACTAAATCCTTCAACCAGTTCAACTACAGAGAGGACTACTATAGATCATGAAGAAGTGGATAATGATGATGGTGATAATGAAACTTCAAGTATTTCAGAAAAAGAGGGTACCCGTTTTTTTATTCCACAAATATTTTTTTTTGACTCATCAGTTTTTAATAGAAAATTTCATTAATTTTTGCACAATCTGTATAATTTCTAGGTGAAAGAATTTATCTGCACTAACAAGAAAAGAATGAAAGGAATTATCCCGGTAATCGCTAATGTTAATACAAGGCATGCCAAATCGTGAAGCAGGCCCTTTAAAGATCATTAATCTAGGCCCAAAAAATCACATTTTTTGCTCCATGACATTTTTTCATTGAGTAATTTTAAAGAAAATAACGCCCTCAAACATTTTGTAAAATAATTAAATTCTTAAATTGCAGCAACAACCATCAACCGAATGACATGTAATTGTGTGCACAGGCGCAAGAATATTCTTTGTGTTCTATCCATTTTTGCCTTTTGGTAAAGTCAAGCTGAAGAGAGGAGAGGAATGCGAGGCCCCTGAAGTTTAAGACCCCTCTCCTCCTCCACTTTATCTGACATATATTTATTTCCTATCATCGCATTGACAACCATAAACTTAAGTTGTTGCCATCAAATAATTGTCAACTTTTAAGATAAGGCCGAGCTGGTTGATATATTTATATTTTACCATTCAAATTAGAAATTTTTCTTGATTTTAGTTTTCTTCCCTCCTTCTCTTCTCTTTAATTTTTTTCAGTAGAGGCATACAGTTTTTTAAATTTATGTTGAAAACATTTGTTTTTCAGATGATAGAAATGGGACACAATGTGAGATCTGCAATGAAGTCATAAGGAGAGTCGAGCCATATATTCGTTATCCGATTTTACAGCAGTTTCTACACTCGGAAATCGATAAAGCATGTGATCATATACAACCTCTTCATTTCTCGAAGGTAGGTTTACACTTCCTCGTAGTGTTGTATGAAAGATTAGGACTTATTATCTCTTAAAGAACCACTAGACAAGCGATCTGATTTGTGTGTGTCCTCTTCAAAATTTCATGTAGGAAGTGATTTACGCAACGGAAGTTACTGAAATTCATTCCTGACCAAGATAATATTGTTTTCACTCAGCTTTGATTACTAAGGATTGATGTTTCTTCCCCAAGAGAGGAACCCGAGTCGTTTTGAATCAAATCGCGCACTACAACAGTCATGGCAGGCTTCTTAATTGATCAGTGTTCCTTTTCTTCCCTGTGTCGCTCGAAGTATATACAACTTGCAACAGCTGAGCGAAAAGCCCATGATTGAGGCTGCCATATTTTCATGCCACAGAGGCTGTTATGGTAACATTTAGTGTGTGATTTAACTCAAGTAGTTTATGATTCTCTCATGTTCAGAAAGTTTGATTTTGCATGGAAAATTTTCAATATCTTAATAAGGAGTTACTCTCAATGATTTTCGTTGCACAAATATGTTCTATGTGAAATTTTGATGAAATAACACATACCACAATGCTTAAATTAGCACCCTGTCTAATGGACCAACGTTGCAATGCAACATTTAAATGGTAATGGCTCTACTTGAAACATGTACCTAATTTTACTCTCTGTAGATACTGACCAAACATTTAAGTTAATAAAAACTCTTCCTCCTCAAATAGCTACCCACTACTGGTAGAGATGCAAAAAAAGAACGCAATATTGTGAACATATATAGGTATCTGTGTGGATAGAATTGTACTTTATTAAGTAATTGAATCTTTGAAAGACAAAATCATTTTGCCAGAATGGGTGAAAGAGACCATTGACCTGTCGTAATTTTTTTAATTTTTTAGTTTGAAAATATTCAGGTTCAGACTATTGTTGACCACGCTGAGGGAGAGAACTTTATGAGAGGTCATGACCTCCAAACTCCTCAGGAGGGACACCTCCCTGAGGAGGAGAGGAAACCTCATACATAAAGATGTTATGATTAATTTTTGGAAAGAGCATAAAAAATCAAACATTTTCGGATAAATTGCAAGCCCCTATCTATCACTAGTTCCAATCAGTGGAAGGTCAAAATTTTGAAAAATCCAACTTTATTGGGCTGCCATTTTAAATTTGTGACAGCAAGTGAACTCCGATTTTCTGCAGAAAGTTTTCTCCTCATATTCTTTTCAGTGATATAACTCTCAATGAGGGCTGTTTCAAAAATATCACATCTCCTTCCTATAAATTGGGAAGATTTTTGGGGAACACCCCCTCAAATTTTTTAGCTGCAGATAATCCTAATAGAGACAACCTATGTCAACATATGTTGTTCTATTTTAAAATTTATCGTTTGAAATGCCACCTACCTTTTTTAGTAAAATATATGGATTGTAGTATGATTGATTTAATTTTTTTAGTGTCTGAAGTTTGTCACAAATTACGGCAACATGCTACATGAAACTGCATTGTACAACAGCAGAAATACGGAGGATTTATGCTCTTTAACTGAACCTCAGTTTTGTTCCTCAATCTCACAAGGACCCCCTACAAAAAAATTGCAACATCTTGGTAGCGGTGTAAGTATGATGCCAATATCTTCATCTATATTTTTGCACATCTAACTTTTAAGCAGAGTCCAAGCCAAATGAGTCTATCGACGGTAATCACATAACTCGGTTTGCGACTTTGTAGACTTCCTGTCATATTTTATTTTTAAGCTGAAAACTTCTCAACGGTAATTCTTTAAAACTGTCGTGATTTTTCTTCTCTGTTTGAAGAAACTTTTGAAAAACTTCAAGGAATAATGTCAATTTGTTCTCCTTTAAAAAAATAACAGATAGTAGAGGTGGAGATTTTCAGATACCGTAAACAAGATATGTGATTGCGGACTTACCTCATTGTTATGTGCTTTGAGAGTGTGACAGGAGATCAATTGTCTTCAGATCAGTATCAAAAGTGGATACAAGAATGAAGATAGTGGATCCTCTGTTGCACTCTAAAATTTCTTAAATTTATTTGGTGTGGACTTTACTAGGACTCTTTACAAAAACTTTCTTCTCAGTACCAGATTTTTTTGTGAATAGTGCTACGCTCCTAGAATTGAACAAATGTTAAGATGTTGGTTCACTGTCAAAAATTTTAAGAGCCCTAATCAATATGTATCCTTGAAATAGCTTTACTTACTGTGTCTTACGGCTGTCAGTTTTAAATTAAAATCAACCAGACTTATTCTTAATTTCAAACAGGATAAATTTGATTTTCAAAGGATCAACAGCAGAAATTTTGCTCAAGTAAACACCTCTTTACTGTTACTTTACCATATTCAGCATGTTTAGAATGTTTTCTCTAACAAATTATGATAGCACTCAAGCCTCAAATATCTCCGAAGAGTCCATGAAAATTCTAAAATTGTTTGAAAAATTCTACCATGTAATGTCACATAGAATCATGGACTGAGAAAAAAATGAAATGAAAAGAAAAAGAAAAAGAATATATATTCTGCTATTCAAGCAATACTTTAAATAAAAAAGGGAGTATTTTGAAAATGTAGTTGAAAGAATGAAACTTCACGCCAAGTCTATTTCTTTTTTATAACCTCTTTCCTCTACATTAAAATCCTTCAACTTTTATACTTGATTTTCAGTCCCTCGTGCGAGCAATTGCTTTAAAAGTTTGTGAGCATTTAGTTGAAAAATTACTTGGTCAACTTGAAAATGTATGCCAAACATTTCTAGACCGTCATTGGCCAGAGGAAAATCACTATGAAGGAGATCCAGATTTGATCAGACGTATGTTATTCAGTCCTTCTTTTACTGAAAAATTTCAACCTAAATCGTCCTTATCTTTTAATGTGCGAAAGAAGTATGTAGAAGGCCACAGTGCGACATCATATGTCTCCATTGTAGTGTTTTAAAATGTCTGTCGGAAAGGACTACGAACAGTGTTCAAAACTCACAGGCGCCAAATGCGCCTAAAAAATGAAGGCTTTGCGCCAACGTGGCCCTTAAAAATTGCCCCCTAAAATCTAGATTTTGACAGTAAGTCACATAAAGAAAGAAAAACAAATCGATTTGAATTGAAAAAACTCAGAATTTTCAGCACTACAAGTAAAAGCTTGCTTTTTCTATTCTTCATGATTTCATTCTTAGTGCTTTTGTCTTCCCCAAGTTACAGCTACTTACTAGTTCTGTAACAAAAACATCTTGCATCTAACTTTTCACTAAATGCGCCGTAATATATAGGCAAAAAGTCAATTTGACCCCTAAAAAATCTTTAATGGCGCCTAAAAATCGGGCTTGATACGCCACATGACTCCTAAAACTCAAAGGTGAGTATCGAACACTGACTATGAAGGAAATCACACTTAGTAGAATCTTTAACCTGAAGTAAAAGGTGCGATTGCAAGCAAATGTAGTCGAGAGACAAAAACGAAATTTTATCTCTCTAAGTCATAACTCTGCCAGTATATCCACTCAAAAACGTGACATTTTTACACAGATGTAAAATACTAAAGCAAAAACAAGATGAAAATAATCATACAATGTACCAATGTACATTTTGATGAACTTTCAAGAATTATTACCTTGACAAAATATTAGTTGGCTTTAAGAAAGAGGTGAACTTCCTGAGATTCGAACATGAGGCTCAGGTCAACTTCTTTTTAATTTGTATCTGAAAACATTAAAACATGGCATAATGAAGGTTCACAAGAGTTGTTCCTTTGTCTGCCCTCTGACTCTGTTGAATGAAAGTACTTCCTCAATTTGGAATTTCAATTTTCTAGCTAATATAAGCTATATTTACACGAGGCACAAAACCTATTTTTATCGGAACTTGAGTTGAAAACTAGGAGTTCCAGAGCAGCATGAATGTAGCAGTTCTAGCTCCAAGGCTTAACAGAGACAGTCATCCCTCAAGTACTTGATGCAGTACGTTACTTGACCATGCCCCTCATATGCCACTTTTTGTGGCAATTAAGAATCATACCAATTATTGTTCTGAATATTTTTCAGCCGTTATCAAGGATTGTGATGTTTGCCAAGAAATGATGACTACTGTTTCGTTGGAGAAAAAATCCCACAAAGTTGGCAAATTCAATCTCCGTGACTCCCTCTACGACTCTTGCGAGATTCTTTATGTACCTCATCGTTGGCAGGTAAGTGATATTTGTATAAGTAATCTTCCTGACCTTTTCTCGCACACAATTTGAGATAAGATTGCAGATGCACAATGCACTGATACCTGAGGATCATCTTACAGTGTATTCTACTACCTATGCTAAACAAGAAGTCTCCATTTTTCTTTTGCTATTTTCATTCTAGATTTTGTAAGCTTTTCTCAGATGCACTTCCCCAGACTCAGCTTTCATACCTACGCAATTTTTCTTTCAGTATACAAACATTAAGGTATGAAAGAATAAGATAACCACACTTTCAGCCTTACTTTTTTTGAAGCGCTTGGTCCAGATAAGATTCTCAAAATCTGGAGTTGAGTTCTAACATTTTTGCTAAATTTAACAGTTTTGTAGCGTAAAAATCTGTAGGCAGCAGCTTTACCCCCTTCATTCTAAACCTCACAACTTTTTTCAATTCATAAGCTGATTAAATGATTTTATTCTCCATCGATCAGAGATTATGCAAACCTCAAAACAAAACCGATATTAGTGCAACATAGCTATCCTCGTTCTAGAATTACAGCATCAGTCCAGGAAATATTCGGACACCCTGTAACTGCACGTAATTAAATCTTTCAACTTTTGCAAGTTATCTTGTAAGTACAGTCACTTTTGTTGTAACCTTGAAAATTAATTTGTCAACAGTGCCGAGGTGTTTTAAGGAAATATGGTGATGAAATGGTATCATACGCTACAAAACATCACACTCACCTCATGGATGCCTGCACCAAAGCATCTTTAAATCCATGTCACCCCCGCCGCGGTTTAAATATAGAGGACACTGATGATGAAGGGCAAGATCAAGCAGAAATGAACCAATTGTTTGTCAATATGCTCCTGACTCAAGTTCATTACTACAATAATCCCAATCCAAGGTTGCAAAGAGAACGGCATCGATCAGATGAGGAGTATGAAGATAATAAGTAAACATTGACTGTAATTTTCAACCACAAATTTACAATGTGTTATTAAAACCATAAGGTAACCACGGAAAGTTATATAACATTTTGTTTTATCCGAATAGAATCAACAATTTAATTTGTACAGAACATGCTAACTGATAATTATCATAAATATAAGTTCAAACTTCAATAAAATCAATTAAAGAAAATAAAAAAACTCAGATTATTTATTTTCTTCTGCATTTATTTTTAGTCTGTATCTACTTGAAAGTTGTGCTTAGATGTCATAGCGTTAAATTATTTCTTCTTTTTGTGGTGTACCATGGTATCAAGATGGATGTTTTTTCCTCTAAAAAATTTTAAATTAAAAACATTAATTAATTTTATTATTTTACTTTCTGTAATTCCTTGGAAAAATTTCTTTAGCCTTACGAAGAGTTGGACCGGTATGAATTCACTGTAATAAGCAGGCCTTAGAATCTAAAAGTTCGCAAGCATTTGAGAAATTCCTTGGCTAACTTAAAAATGTATGCCAAATAGAAACTCAGTATTGTATTTGTATTGTTTTTGTATTATTTTGATGCATTCTACCATGCATATTGATTTTAATGGTTTTGAATCTCACGACATTTTAATCAAGACACCTATCTTGTTTTTCTTGATTTCTCAAAGTTTTCAGCGCTCAGGCCCTTTTGCAAGTAAATGGTTAAAATGCGGGCAGCTTTCCATTCTCTTATCATCAGTCTAATACTGCTAAAAAATACACCTTATATGTAGTTCTGATTGGATATTATAACAAGGATAATTGAAAGTGCTTTTTGTATGTACTTTGGCTGGAACCATCCAAAACATAATGAGTGATTAAAAAAATCATGAAACTGAATCCTTGCAAAATTGCTGAGCAGGTAAGGCATTCTTGAAACGGGTTGGAGAGGTAGTTGTTTTTTTTTTTTTTTTTATCCAATTAATCTTCTGTGTGAGCCATAATCAGTTTGTATTGGCTGTTCTGTAATAAATTTCAGTCGATAGAAAGGATCATGAATTATTTTTTCATATACATCAAATCAAGTAATGTTAAGTGAAATACAGCCATGACAATGACTGAAGTCCTATCCCTGGTTGGGCCTTGAAAGAATAATTTTGTAAAACCTATTTGCATCACAATATCTAAGACCAGTCTTCTTCACTTTTTTAAATGATGATGGTATTAGAAATCTATGACATTAATTATTCTGTGTAAAACGGTATTTATTGTTTTTGATCTCTTTAAGTTTAGTTGTTATTACCAACTTGTAAATAATTTTGTTACTCTGTCTTTCTTCGTGATTAAAGTGGTTTTTTTTTTTTTACACACACAAGACCTGTTTTTGATCTCTTTAATTCTTTGTTGTTTTTTATGGCTGCTATTAATATCACTGATTTTTACAAAATCCTAATTTTACAATCTTAGGTACTATCAGACTGCTCTTAAAACCTGCCATCAGGCTGAAAAATATGTACAGTAGAACTTTAGTTTCATGAGATACTTGCCCATGAACAAGACAAAGAAGGGCTTCAGTAAATTTGAACCTGTCTGTCAAAAAACAGGGTTTTCCTGTTTTCTCAAGTTTACCCCTGAATTTTTCATAGATTTTCTGTTTTGGGTACCTTGAAAATAAATCACACTATTGACTATTAACACAACTTACTCTGCTACGCAGAGTACTTCTGCTAACGCAATTAAACAACTATGAACAAACAAAATCATGTTATACGGTTTCTTCTGAATCTAACTCTGCTGCCTTAGCAGTCTTGTATTTAATTAAAGCACCCCATCCCCCTAAAAGAAGCTCAAGTAGTTGAGGTTCCACTATGGCTTTTAGAATAAAAGAGAGCAGGAAAGCATTGAGCACTCAGCAGAGTTACTTTGGAGGATGACAGGTATTCAGTTCAAAAAATACTATTTAGAAATTGGATTTTGATGCAATTGTACATTTTATTAAGGAAAACATAGTTACATGATAAAAAAAATGATAGAAATAATTGGAAAAAAGAGGAAACTTTCAATTTAAAAAACGAAAATAAAAAAAAAAATTGGAGACAATGGAAAAGATTGGGCCAACACTCAGCAGAGGAAAGGAGAACGGAGGACTGATTACTATGAAGAGTGTGCTTGCAAAAAAATTTAAATAAAAAATTGATATCTGGTGGAGTCAGCAATAATAAATTATAATAAAAAATAAAACATAACAACACAGCTAATTACATAGCTCCATTGGGGAAAAAACGAGAAAAAATTTACAGAAAAAGTTTAGCGTAAAATTAACTAACTTATGATAAAATAACAAGACAGACTGACGGATGTTGAGCTGTGAAAACTGAGTTGCTAATCAAAATTCCAGGAGTTGGCTGTGACTGCCGGCTGACCAAAAAAGACTTGAGAATATAAGGAAGCCAGAACCGATTAAATCTGAGGGAAAAAAAACAGATGTCATTAATAAAAAAAAAAAAAATTATGAAACTCGATGAAAAGCTCAATTTATTCAACTTCACAGTTCACTGCATTTTTTTCTGAGTCCAGCTCTTTCTCCATGAGGACAATGTTCAATTCATCGCAATTTATCAGAATTTTTTGAGGTCTAAAGGCAAAATTTTTAGAGGCATGTATTCAGTGAAAAGAAATTTTTTTAGGTACATCTTAACCATAACAGAAAAAGGGCTCTGTAGTTAAAGATACAAAACTTTTCACCAGAAGTGCTTAAAGTTTCAAAATTCCATTTTTAGTTGGGGCATCATTTGAAACTAATTAAGTCAATGCCTATAGTTTCAAGGCAAAATTTAAAAAAATTTTTTTGAGAGAAAACAACAGATGTGTGTGACCCTAAAATCTACATTTCTTGCAACTAAACAAAAATTTTAATTTGTCTGAAAAGATTACTTTTCAGGGTACCGATTTAAGCAGGACACAATTCCTGCTACACAAGTGATTGATGACTAACCAAAATAAGAGCTGAGTAACATATGTAAAAGCTTAAAACTGAATGTTTTCCCCCTGTCCTACAATAGACAGAATAACAGCCTCATTTTTGCCACTACATAGACATAAGAGATTTGAAGAGCGATACAGAATATTCCTTACAGCAATGAGAGGAACAAAATCGAGGTTTAAAACGAGATACTTACATTATCGACCAGGTCACCCTCCTCAGTGTCACTGATTTCATCTCCGAACTCAATATCTTCATCCATACCATCGTCCACGAATGTGACTGTATCGTTGATACGAACTGAAACAAAACAAATAATGCTTTACATGGATGTTATATGGGGGGAGGGGATTCAACCGGAAAATTTCTGTCAAGAAACTAATTAAAACTATCGACGGAGATTCTCCTCCTAAATGATAAATAAAGCAGAAAAATTGTGGGTAAATATTGACACAATGAAATAAAGGTGGGAAGAGATTAAAAATAAGGTATTTCTCTTGATGAATCCTGATTAAATAATATATTGGTTTATACCAACCATTTAAGTCATCATAAATGGGTTGAACAGATGCATCTTTTTTGGGAATATTCACAGTTTTAAGCTCCTTAATATTTAACAAGGGATTTCCAAAATGGAGGGAAGATTTCTTTACGCAAGATATTATTCCAGAATCAAAAACCTTTGAGTAAGAATATTAGTTTCAATGATAATATAAAAAAAAAAATCGGCACCGAAACATCAAATCAGCATTATCAATCAAGAAGAAGTTTTCAAGGATGTGATTTTGAACTAATAATCAATAGAAGACTTGAATTTAATTTTATTTATTTTTTTTTTAAAAAATAGTTTTCTGAAACTAAAGAGCCTCATTTCATTTACCACAAGAATTAATTTTCTTTACTCCACCTTACAGCAGGAAAAGAAAATGGCAAAATAAAATTAGAGCGGAGAAAATGAGTTTATAGTTAAATCCCTTCACAAAGCTTGATGTAAAAACAAACTTCAGGTCAAATTTTTTCACTTTAAATTTTTTTGAGGACATAAAATTTTGGGCAGAAGAAAAGATATTCTGAGTAAACTTTCGCTCAAATTTTTTTGAAAATATCATTTGGTTTCATTTCCTTAAATACTGCTGGCACATAATTCAAAGAAAGGAGCGATAAAACAGGCAAAGAATATAGTTACCAGTTTCTGGAAATTCTCCGTAAGATTTGAGATTCCTAGCCTCATCAGGAGTGTATTTGAGAATCACATCAGCTTTAGGATCCTGATATTCACGCAAACCTATTAGAATGATGTCCCCTTGATTTATCCACACCTGATAAAAGAAAAAATTCTTTCTTAGAAAAAAACATACAGAAGTTCTGATGATTAACTTGTGTTGACACCTTAATACCTCCACCTCCTTGCTGGGATTGTAAGAGAGAAATTTGGACATGCAAGATGAGGTAAGTAATTCAGATTTAAGTAAGACATTTTTGGACGAGAAAATTTGAGCATGGAAATAACAGATCTTAAATGAAAAGATCCTTATATTAATGCATGATGGATCGCTATGAGGTATCGCTGCTTCATAATTCTTCACTTGTGTAAGCCTGATGTAGATTATTATCGAGACTTGAAAAAGTACAAAGGCAATCCAAGAGGTACTGCACTCTTCGTTTTTTGAGCAAACTAAAGTAGATGTCCAGCTGCAGTTTGCATAATCTTGAATTCTTTTTAAGTACCTTTGAGTCTTTGTGGGGCTATGTAAGCCAAAAATTGGCTGATAGAATTTTGAAAATGGCATGTTCAATCTACCCATCCAAGACAGAAGAGAGACATTTGATTAGACAATGCCTCATTGGATGAACTATTAATGCAGACAATATGAATTAAAGATTATAACTCTTTTACGGATGGAGACCAATGTGCTAAGTTGGTCTTCTTAAAAAATTCTGAAAGAATATGAAATACCTACATACCTTCTTTCTAAGTTTGCCTCTAATGTGACACAGCCGTTTAACTCCATCAAAACACATAGCTTCTAATCTGCCATTGCCAAGCATTTTTGTGACTTGCGCATATTCTGAAACAGATGTGAAACAATATAGTCCATGCAGAATTAGATGAAGAAACACTTATCATCACAGGGCAGCAGAGATTGTAGATATTGGGAATCCAATTCCTTGTATTGGACAAAGTTACATTTTAGTGTATGAAAAACAACTTGAACAGGTAAAACAAACAATAAGAGAACAACTTAATTCAGGGAAAGGCTGCTGAAAAGTGAAATAGATCAAATACCAACATTGAATAAAAAAAAAATAAAGACATTTCAAGATACTCATTTTCAAGCGGAAAATATTAAACTTCGATTTGCTGTCATTACAAGGCCAGAACAGTTATGACCTCGTGATTAGGAAGTTTCTGCACCCTCGCTTTGGACAAGAGGCCTCGACGTCTCCTCAGCCTGGGCGCTAGGAACAAGTTCTAACATGATCTGAGAATAGGGACTTAGATAGAAAATGAGAGAATAACTGTAGAAGATCCCTCCATCCACATGGTTGCATCTAGTAGTAATTCTATCAGTGATCTAATCAGTGGTTTTATTTTAAATCAAGAAATACTATCTCAGAAATGCATCCAAAGGAATTGGTTACGTAAAATTGGAGGAGATGCCTTTGTTTCCAACGACTGTTGGTAATCTCCTGACCATCTCTCCTATGTAATTATGAAGAAAGTTTTTGACGATGCCTACAGACAAATCATTCCCATTGAAGCTAACAGCCTTGGAATCAGAACTTAAACTCCATTGTCACAAAACGACAGCAATGTGGTGCAATGTGAACTGAGAAAGTTGATTCTTAACCTACTTTAAACAAATGTGAATTCGTACCTTGGCCGTCGACTTTGAATACAAGCTCACGCTTCTCAGTTTCGTTTTCATTCTTTCCTCTCCTCCGATTCTTACCTCCCTTTCCTGCAACAAACAAACACAGTATTAGCGCGGTAAGGTACGAATGGACCCCTCATTGATCAACTGGGATAAGTACCTTAAAAGATTGTGGGCAGGACCAGACAAGTAAGATTTAGGCTGTAATCAGTAATGCTGTGGAGAGAATGGTTACGGGGCTCTAGCAAATGACGATGATTAGTCAGAATGACTAGAAAACCCTCATCATTTGAGGGCCCAGCGGGACACCATATTAGATGTTATTCAATTTCAAGCTACTGAGATAAGAATTAGGATTTGAAAACTTCTGAAGATTGGGTACATACCTTTGTTCTTCGGCATGATTAAAACGCTGAAAACTTGACACGCAACTTGAATTTAATGATTATTATCAATATGTCAACAATGACAAGAAATAGCCACCATTGCTAGATTCACGAGAAAGGAACTAGGAACTTATACTTTCGAAATCAAAGTAGCTGCTTTGTTCTGGAAAATTCCTCTGACAGAAAATAATGGCACTGTAACGTAAATAATAATTTTTTTACAATGTAAAGAAATAGATTTGAAATTCCCAATTATGGAAGAATTTCATGAGAGGAAAAAATTATTTTAAATTGTCACAAATTGGAATTATTATTCATCTTTACGAGTAGTTGGGATTATAACTTACGTTGTACACGAGGTCTGTAGCGCGCATGTGCACGACGTATGAGTGACGTCACAATGTCAATCTAAATCTCAACCGCGAAAATTCAAATTTGCGCTCCTCCTGTAAATGAGTGGAAAGTTACTTCGCATTCTCAATCAATTTATACCTACCCGAAAGCCGAAAGCGATTCAGCTTTTAATCACCAGCATAGCCAGTGGCTTATTTTCGATGATAGAGACAAATAACCTTCATCTGTCATATGCGGCGAATCGTGCCTCACTGAAATTTGTATATGTACAAAGTCTGCTGAATGATTCTCACTTTATTTCTTAAGTTAAAAAAAGCGACAGAAGTGTATAAGAAGAAAATGGACCACCTACCATCATCGTAGTTTTCTTTATCGATTCGAAAAATTAAGTTCCAAAACGAAACTGTAGCGGAAATACGTATTTACCTAAAATTGAGTTATAATACTTCTTTAGCAAATTGCCACCCCCCCCCCCCAATCAAAAGTGTATAGTTGAAAATTAACGGAAATAAAAATGCAGTTGATATGGGGCAGACGGATAAAGCGCCACACAATTCATTGATGTTACAGAAACAACTGAAGTCGGAGCATCCGCAAGTCTCCATTCCAATGGTTTAAAAATCGCCGACTATGTCTGACTTCTTAAACAAAAAAAAAAATAAAAGGAAAAAAACGTTCTTAAAATTTTCTGTGCGTCTTTCCAAATGAATGAGAAATCTTCAATGTAAATTTTAGGAATAACTGAGAAGTAATAACGGCAGAAAAACGGCATATTTCGAGACGTATCAATCAGAGCCATGTATTTTCTAACTTAATTCATCTCTGGCTTTGCTTATCTCCTTAATTTATTTGTAGGCATAATGGGATGTACCATGACTTTCGCACAAACTCCGATTTTATCGGTGATGCACTAGGTACATAAGAATTTAATGCATGGTGTGTAACGATATATTAAATAAATTATCTTGCTGGCATGATAACGTACAAAGACGGACCATTTTATGGCGAGGATGACCTACAGGACATGGATTGATTATACGTACCCATGTGCATTATGTGAGCGAACGCTTACAGCAGCAGACTTTTACCGGACCACACTTTTGACAGCTAAAAGTTGCAAAGTTTCACGGAACTTGACGCGAAAGTTAAGTTCCGTAAACCTATCTCTGTGTGGACAAGGTCCTTCATTTTTAGGAAATGAACCAAAAAATTATGAAAGAACAAACATAAATGTGCTTTAATAATTTTAACTTCCGCCGCTGTGCCGCGCTGATCGCACTGTGTTTGGCGCAATGCGTGAAGTATTCCTGCAGTCTTGTAGGCGCTTTGCGTTTCACGCCAACGCCAACCGCTCCTGACCGCACTGTGTTTGACGCGATGCGTGAAGTATTCACGCAGTCTTGTAGGCGCTAATATGTGTTACATGCCAACCGCCGCGCCGAGGGCTTGTCTTTTTCGGCGGATGCGGAACCTAGTTAGCGGGCAACTAATTCTACTCAGGAGCAGGTACGTGATGTGGTACCACTCGAAAATGAAGGAAAATCCTAGCTTTTTGGCATGCTTTCATTGTGAAATGCGGAAATGAAGCGCGCAACAATTCGAACTCTAGAGTAACTGTATGACGTATGGTATCACGCGAAAATAAAGGAAAATCTTGTTTCTTCATCCGTCTCATATTACTAACGTTTAAGAATAAGAATGTAGGCAATGACGTATTTACCGGGGGAGGGGGTATTCCGGAACCCCCCCCCCCCCGAGCCCCCAAAAAAGTGAAGAAAAATAAGAGAAATCAAGGGAAAGAAAGAAAAATCGGGTGAAGAGAGATCACGACGATATTTTCATCCAGAGGAACGAGTGGAAGGATTCGAAGTCGGACGAAAAAATGTTTGAACGTAAGGAATTGGAGAGTCTACCTCTAAGTACCTATCTCATTTTTCTTCAGGAGGTTAGTGGATTTTTTCCATCTCATACTTAAAACAAAACATTCCATTTGGTCTTGTATGAACGGTTTTCCATTTTTTAAAGTCTTTTTGGGGGAAAATTGTGGAGAGCCTCTCATCATTTTTCATGATTGACATTGTTAAAAGGTGGGGTTTTACGGGGTTAAAATCCTGAAAATTTTCCGGGGGAGGCCCAACGTTGGGGGGTTTGCCCTCCCCCCCCACCTTATCCTGCATACGCCCCTGAATGTATAGGTTTGATGGTTGCATCGTAAAGTGCGGAAATCAAGCGCGCAATTATTCGAAATTCAAAGTTTGGCCGGATTTACGTGATTTCTACCCCCTGCCTTTCACTCTTATACCGGCCGCCTTCATAAATTGACGCGGTGTAGATGGGAGGGGGTCATGCTGTTCGTAAATGACGTAGGCACAGATACCTCACACCTTCTTCATGCAGATTTTCACTCTTTTTCATCAACAAACTTGCAGTTTCCATAACTCATCATGTTGCACCTTACTTCCTACATTGTTTGCCGTCCCCTTAACTTTATAGGCACATCACGAAATCATCAATTTTAAATTGCATAATTTTTCGGCGAAGGAACCCGGAAACCGGAAATTCATATACCAGAAGCTGTCAAAAAAATTGAAATTGTCCGCCGGTCGCCACCGGATCATAGCAAGCTTCCCATTGGTGGGCATTGTCCACCACTGTTGCAATTTATAATCAACAAAACACAAACACAGTTCTCTTCCAAAATATCTTACCACAGGAACTATTTTGGAGGATGATAATAACTCATGCTATAACTATGAATTTACTCTCCCATGATCTGAGCGGCTGGACAGTCACCGAACAAGTTCGTTGCTGAACAACGATAATTATTTTGATGCAATTTTAATTGTTTCAGAAATATATATATATATATATATATCTGTAAAGCGGCAACACTGTATAGGCGCCATGTGTTTATGTTTGTAATCTCTCTTTCGATGGAGCAAAAAAAGTGACCGATTATTCAAACTGAAGTGAAAATTGTTCTCTTTTTCGAATTTTCCAACATTCCGTACGTATCATTGTAAATGTGAAGTCCATCTATGAAGTCACTCCTGTTTGTGTGCCCGATTAGCAAGTGTATAGCATAGTAAGTGTCTAACAAGACAACATCATGATCTCCAAGTAAGCAATGGAGCAATTAAGCAAGACGGAATATCAAGTGTGGGCAGCGTGGGATGGCGTGAATTTGATACCGTTTAAGCAATTCACTCTCTATCTTATTTGAGAAGCTAACGGACGCAGATCATGACAAATATCCTCAATGTATTCTGCTCAAAATTTCATCATGTAAGTAACGGTCTATTTACTTACATTAATTTGTTTCATGGTTTCAACAGCACATGGCCCGTCACACGGGTCATCTAGATTTAACTGAAAGTCGCCGTTGTTTGTTTTATCAAAATTAGCTGTGGCTTTTACATCCCCTGCCTCAGCTTATTTGAGTTGTAAGAATGAAGGGAGCGCTCTGTCGCCTAAGAGCGGATTGTGTGTTGCGACTTTGTATATTAATGAAAATTATCTTGGTACATTCACTGAGATCAATTGGGGCAATGATTTTGATTGGTCAGACCAATTTCTTACTGTGATTTTAATGAAAGAATGGAGGGAAAAACATCCCCTCACCCTTTAAGACAAGTCTGCTGCGGAAGTCGGCAAACATTGAAACCTTGGTCTAATTCTGCTGAAATAATGGTTCATTTTTATCTCTAAGTCAGATGCCGGAAGGAAAGGTATAGCTATTAACCTACAATCCCAAAATTATTTCATTCAAGTTAGGCTAGCCTCGTTTTGCTCTTAACGTAACGCCAAAAGTGGAAAAAAATGGTCAAGTAACACCCTTACGCTGTATGTTTCGGCAAATGCCTTTTTAAAAATATCTAAAATATCATTTATATCATTATAAATGAATTTATCATTCAAATATCTTAAATCAAATATTATAGTCCTATGAGAGTAATCTTAGAGTATAGCTATTAATATTAGGCAGAGGTAAATGTAACTGAAACCATAGTGCAGCAAATATTGCATCTGTAAAACAGAGCCAAATCTGTGCCTTCGGTTACTTCGGTTCTGGCCCTTGTGAAATTTTGGGGGCTCTCAGGATCTTCTAACCCAAGAGTACTCGCAAAATTTCAAGCCTCCATCTTAGTTAATACTGAAGTTACAGGGATGACATCTGGTGCTTGCAGTACAGGACTTTTGGATCTCCCCGTATACAACTCTCCTTGTGACCTAGGCAGGTACCTCGGTCACATGCATCCAGCCTGTAGTTTAATTATTTTGTATTTTTGTCTTTTCTTCAGGAGGCTCCTTTTGATCTTTGTTCTCGTTTTTTGTCTGGGTGTGAAAGCATCATCAGAAAATTACTATGAGATCCTAGGGGTTGCAAAGTATGCTGATAATCTTGAAATCCGCAAAGCTTTCAAGAAGTTAGCCGTCAAATTACATCCTGATAAAAATCAGGTAAGCTTTTGCTACTTCTGAAATTTTATAGTATTAGGGGAAGTTCATCTTTCAAAGGAGAAGATTCTTGATTTTTCTGGATTTTCTTTCGTATGTCTCTCTGTAAAGTCACTGAAAGATCATTTAACAACCACTTTGACTCAGTTTTGGTCTAGTTTTACCTGGAAGTATTGGCAAGCAAAGTTATTTTTGACACTTTTTCACGACCAAAGGGCTCAGTGCTCCTTATCATGATTACGGTTTTCCCTTGGCTCTACTACGTACAGGATGAACATTGTTTTTTCATTTTTCCTCTCATTTGTAAAAATTTTAGAACACTTGGGAAGATTTTAGTTTTCTTTTTTATTATTCTACTTAAAAAGTTATGATTGGTCAAGTGTCATGCTCTTATTTTCAGAACTTCACACCTGCATATCAGAGCCTAACCCAGAAATCTTTTTATTTTTTTGTAGAAATTTTCAGATTAAAGGGACACATTAGTCAAAGCGATATATGAAAAGCAAGACCACTTACTTACCTCCATTGCAATGATTTAAAATCTCTGCTCCTAATTTATTTTTAAAGGAAAGAAAGTCAATTTTATGGCTCAAAATTTTCACTGAGTACTCTCCCAAAAGAGAAGGAAAAGCAAACTAATTCTCAAAAAGTTAAGTTGACTAGTTTCCCAAAGAAGAAATAAAATATGAAAATGAATCTGCAATACCACCAACAGAAATACACTGTTCGGCACATTGGCCATCGATAGGGTATGTCGACGGTGAAACTACCAGACCTAGTATCTCGGTTTGCAGTGTTGTAGACTTCTCCTTAGTCTTACTTTATTTTACAAATGGGAAACCACCCATCCGCAATTCTTGAAAACTTGAGGGGTTTTTCCTCTTTGTGTGAAGGGAACTCTGTGAAAATTTCAAGGCATGATATTGACTTGTTCCTCTTCAAGTGAATAAAATGTGAGCGCAGATTTTTAAACACTGCAAACAAGGTACATAATCTGGTAGTTTCACCGTCTGTGTGAGTGTTAATCCTCTCCTACTTTTATGGAGGAAAGGGAAGGGACAGGAAAGCTAGACTTCCTTTTATAGTCCTCCAGACCTGATGGTTTAAACAACCGATTTTTAGTATCATGTGGCGAGCGTGTGGGTGGCCCATTGATTTGACCCATTTGCATTCCTCATTTTATCAAAGGTGGTTGAAAGCCAGTTTTCACATAATTCTTCTCAAAATGCCCACCTTAGGATGATCCAGACGCTCATGCGACTTTCATTAAGTTGACTCGGGCATATGAAGTCTTGAAGGATCCAACACTGAGGAAGAATTATGATAAATTTGGAGACGAGAAGCCAACAGAAGTGCCAAAGTATCACAGTTGGAGTTACTATAGTGATGATTTTGGTCTCTACGATGATAACCCTGAAATTGTCACCCTCAGCACTTCAGACTTTAGTAAGTATCTTCCTGCCTTTTTTTTATGATTTAACAAATAATTATTGTGTTGAATTTGCATGTCCAAGATAGATTCTGGTTGAAGGAGCTGCATAGCAACGACATTACATAAAGCTGGAGGATTATCGTTGCATGGAAGGGTAGGGGGATTATAAGTATTTTGGTGTTCGGCTGGCTCTGGTTTGAAAGATGGATTGAGCAATTATTGACAGAATCATCCGAAGAAAGAGAGCTATTTTAATGCTGGACAGGGTTTTCTTATTTATATTTACAGAGCTGGACCCTCCATAGTGTACCTTTTTACGGTTAAAATGGCAGCATCTTTGATTTACTTATTCCCAAATAATATTTCTATTTTTATTTTGGTTGAGTTAGACTCTGCTTTTAGAATTTGTATTCCTGGTAAAAGTAAAAGAATGTAGTAACTCTGCTCATAAGGCTAAAGTGACTGTCTAATCTAACTGTAGACTTTTTAAGATTAAATCATTTAAGAGACCATAAAAAATTTTGATCTTTCATTTCATGTAATTATACTAAAAGAATGCAATTTTTCCCCCTTTTTAGAGGTGAATGTTGCTCGATTTGAATCTCAATGGTTCATCAAATTTTACTCTCCAAGGTGCTCCCATTGTCATTATCTTGCTCCAACATGGAGGAAATTAGCCAAAGAATTGAAAGGAGTGATCAAGTTTGGAGCAGTCAACTGTGAGGAAGAGTGGAACTTATGTCGACAAGAAGGCATTTTGTCTTATCCAACTCTCATGCTGTATCCAAGTGTAAGTAGTATTATTCAGCACTAAGATAGTTGACAATTACTTGAAGCCTAATTTTGAGGAAGGACAAAGTAACATCATGTTATTTGAACGCTATTTTAATGCTGACCAGCCTTTTATTTACTGCCTCCTGGTAGTTTTAATGTCCAACCATCAAATGAATCTGTGACAATGAAAACACACAAAAACGCGGAAACTTAAAAATGCCCAATTTTCATTTAATCCATTAAAGATGGTGCATCCATGTTTACATGGGCCTTCAAAGTGTCCCAAGTAAATTGTCCTTTTGGCACCAAGTAGCTTTTTCTTAGACCAACTTCTTCACCTACCGAGCAGTTATTTGTATCTCTTGAACATTTTCATTTTTCCGAGTTGGTGTGTTCTCATTCTTTATGTAGATTCAATAAATTGTTGCGTTCATAATAATTTTAGGAATTCAAAAGCTGTTCAAGATTAGCCTCCAAAATTGTTGGTAGAAAGTCAAGCCCCGCACGGAAAATTTCATTGCTCTATGTTCTAAGGATCGGCTGTAGTGTAACACCAGGCCAGCGGCCCGATTATTGAAACTATGTCGACCTGACACGACAAGACATAGCCCTATCTTAACCATGCAATATATCGCTATTCGATGTCTTATCGGGCTGCTTTAAACTTTTAATAATCAGCCTGCTGACATGCTCATCTCTGGGGTGCTGTTTCTCCACTACAAATTTGGATTTCTGTAACTGATTTTTCAAAATTTCAAAGATAGGAAATATAGGAAGGTGAACTTAGATCTACAGGTAAAGTAACAAGCTTTTAAAACCAGCTTTACTAATAAATTCAAAATACATTTTATATTTATGTGGAGGGGCTCCGTTCATTTTTAACAATCTATGAGACTGTATAGTGGATTTTTCATTTTCCCTCCTTCACGAATATTTATACATGTATCATAATTTTTTTCTTTTCTTGTTTAACAGCGCATTCAGTACAACGGTGACAGAGATAAAGACACGCTAGTCAAGTTTATTTTGAATCATGTAGAAACCAAAATTATTCATATTAATTATCCAGATGATTGGATGGCTGATGTTCAAGAGAGCAATTCAAAATTGTGGATGTTTCTCCTTTGCAATTCTGAAAAGTACCCTGCCTGTATCCAGAGCGATGAAAGAATCAAACTAGCTGCGATGTTGGTGAGTCTTGATCCAATCATCCATTGATTTCTGGTGCATTCTTCCCACTCTAATTGTTTGAGTATTGAAAAGAACTTTTGGGTTTTTACTTTGAATCAGTCAGGAACTCATCTTTAACATGAACACCAAATTAGTAAAAATCACAAACTACAAAACTTTGCACACATGCACAAATGCTAGAGTGAAGTCCCTAAGAAAGTTATCCCCATAGTTTTCAGTAACAAAGGGACTGAAATACCGTCCCGTCCGTGGGTGGTAAATATCGCCAACCTCATCTAAGATTTACTCTTTACACGTACTGAATGAATGGAAGAAGAGCACAGGGCGATATTAATGCTCATTATAGCATCATTTGTAGTAAGTAGGAAAATTGTTCACCATTACATACAGGTCTGGCAAATGACAAAATAGCGTAACACAGGAATTCCTTTCCTTATCTTGGTTTTCTATGTAATAAATTCAATAATTTATACTTCATCCTAATAAAATGATTTCCTTTTGTGTTAATTTTAGGCTAGTTTTGTAGGCTTTGGTGTTGTTGACTGCCGTGAAGCCGAGGACATTTGTGAAACCCTGAGCAATCATGAGAATTCTAGCTCGGTTGTATTCTGGAATAAAGCCGAAAAGTCAGGAACCTTGATATCCTCCAACGAGCCAGAGGAAATAACTAAAATTGTGTTGGATCTTCTACCACCTGTACCTTCCTTGAATGCTGATACAGTTGAGGTAAATTCATCACATATGCATGATCAGGATCTGAAACTTAAGCCTTTAATGAACCTAAACCACTATTTGAACTACATTCCATCTGAGGAAGAAATCAACAAGTTGAGGTCATTGCTTGTAACTTGAATGAAAAGAACTCTAGGTGATCTTCGAAGATATTTGTGAATGATGACTGTAACTGGTTTCATGCTGCAAGTAGACACTTATCAGTCAGTTAAACTAACGCATGACTCTCAGGAGCAGGTGCGATGCATGAGGTCTAAATTGGAGGGGCGATGTTTAAAAAATTAGGTATGCTTCAACTTGCGGGTTCCTAAGTGAGAGAACTGAAGCCTAAGAGTTGGTCAAAAATTACCTTTTGATGATCTCATTCCAAAATGTGAGAAAGGTGGGAGGCTATAGTCCCTAAAACCCCATAAAATCACCATCAATGGTCATAAGTGAAATTCATCTATATATTAAATGTGGCACGATTTTTTTAGCACATAATGTTTTCAAATCTTTCAGAGTATAACGGAACAGCTGAAAGAGGAGACAAGCTCTCCATGGCTGTTGATTTTCACCATTCAATATGATGAAAAACTGGATTTAGAGTTGAAAGCTTTGCCATCTCTATTGCCGAATATCAATGTTGGTAAGCCTACATTATATTGTCACTCATGCTTTTGCATCTCCTTCAATCCTATTCTGCAAAACTTTCATTTTCCAAAGGTAGAAGGATTTCAGGTATTGCCAAATTCCTTCTGATACAAACCGAATTTTTTGAAAATCTTTATTTTTATATTAATTCTTGGAATTTTTCATGGAGGATTATTCACATTTTAATGTTAAGTGTTTGAAACTTTCAAAAGAAAACATTCGTAACTTTCTAGGGAGTGAATATTTTGTTGGAAGTCTGACATTGATTGAATATTCACAGCAGAATAAGTCCCAATTTGTTGCATTGCACGTGAGATTATCTTTTTTAAAATCCTCAAATGAGCAGACAGCGGCAGAGGAGTGACTAAGCATGCATTGCACCTCTGTCCACTGTTTTGAGGATTCTCAAAAAAATATCTTATGTTTGATGAAAAAAAAGTGAAACTTATTATCTTTTCTCTAGTTCTTGCAGAAAATTCCTGAGAGTCGAATTTTGAAGTTTTCCTCTCTTAAATTTTTTTCTTTTTTTCAGTTGATTGCAAAAAAAGAACCCATATTATTCCCCAAAATGGCAGAAATTTTGGCACAGCCAGATGACTCTCTTGATCGCCCTGAAAGTAGAGGGTATCACAAGGCCTGTATTTTTTAAATTAAGGCTCCTGCTTTCTCTTTGGGTTTTCCTTAACCTATGCAAAACTGTTGACTCTCTGCTCATTTTTATTGTCATCTCAATGTCCTTGTTCATTTCAGGCAAAGTGCACTGTGCCCAAATGAATACTTTTTGTCGGAATTTATTCATCATGCGATACCCTGAATTCATCGTATTCAAACCAGGAGGAGGACATGAGTTTTATCATGGGCATCATTTTGCCTATGACATAGCTATGTTTGCTCAAGAAGCAGTGAAAGCAAAAAATTTTAGAGCAATTTCTTACGAAGAATTCCATGAATCAGTTGTAACGCAAAAGCCAGGTACCTAATGTTTTTATCAGTTCGTAACTCATATTCCTTTTTTGCGAAATCAATACAATCGATCCTTAAGTATAGCTCCTCTATAAACTATGTCTCTGCTATCAAAAATTATTCTACTCCATAATCTTAAGCAACTACTGTGTCAGAGAATGAGGGTCATGGACTTAAACTAAAAGTAGAATAGCCATGATCCTAACCATTTCTGAAAGCAAGACCTTTCCATTGGAGACTGGTACAAGAACTGAAAACAAGATTTCCATTCTAGACAAGCATTGTAGGAAGGACTTTCATGAGTGTCCAAAATTTGGTAGTTGTTATCTTTAGTTTGTGAAACTTTATTTGATTCCTTAACTCTTAAATCACAGAAAAGTGTAGTATCTGCCGAATGAAAGAGTATCAAATAACTAAAAAAACCTCTAATATTTTTCAGACTCTAAATCATCACCATGGGTTGTGGACTTTTATGCTCCATGGTGTCCTCCTTGTCTAAGCCTCTTACCACAACTCAGAGAAGCAAGTATTCGGGTAGCAAACGTCAATTTTGGAGTTGTAGATTGTACAGTTCACCACCAACTCTGTTCAGAGCAGAATATAGGATCGTATCCCACAACAATATTCTTCTTTAATGGAACCCGCAACAACTACAAAGGACCTCAGTCTCCTGATGAAATCGTTGAATTTCTAAATGATATTCAAAACCCTATCGGTATGTATTGATATTCGCTCGTCTCGGTATTTTTAATGTGACTTATTGAGGTTCTCAGCACTGAGAAGGAATTTAAACTATATGTTTCTACTTATAGTGTCAAAGAAAATATTCTCTTAATACAGATTAGATGCGATTCGTTCGCTGCAATAATTTTTTTCTACACAAACACAAATTGTTTTCTGTTAAATATTTTATGTTATTTGCAACACTTTTTCATTACCCATGAGAGCAATAAAGCCAGAAGTGAGGTCAGAAATCCTGTTATGAAGTGTTACAGTTTTGCCGTAACGTCCTCTGATAGCGGCACGATTGTTCCATAGCAATGTTGCAATAACATTGTTACATTTTGCAAGTATGAAATGAATAGGAACAAGCCACTCCTCTTTGACAGAAACTGAATCCGAATAAAATACAATAGGCCTGTTGCAAACTTTTGCTAGAGCAAAAATATGAGTTGTTACTCCTAGAAAGTGTCTCAAAAATCACGATGAGCGCATGGGCAAAATCTAAAATGCACTCCTTACTTCACAATTTGCGCAAGAAATTTGCGTTTTTTCGAGCTTCCCGCTTCAAAAACGATATCAAGGCACAGGTGAACATTTCATAAGAGGAGTCATTCGATCCAACCCCTGCTCACAAGAATACTACGCAATATTCAACATAGCCGATGACAATGCGCTAAAACACATTTGACAGGACGATGATTCTAACCACCTGATAACAATTCGCGTGTTTACATTCACATTTTTCTCGTGTTGTTAGAGATCTGCCTTGATTGACCTTGTGTTCTCCTCAACTTGTGCACGGAAGCGTTGGCCATGTTGAGCAGGGATTGAATCGAATGACTCCTCTAACAAAATGTTAACCTGTGCTGTAGTATCCTTTTTAAAGCAGAAATCTTAAAAAACGCAAATTTCTTTTGCAGATAGTGAAGTTAGGAGTGCATTTCAGAATTTGCCGATGCGCTCATCCGCCGATTTCTGAGACGTTATCTGTAAGGAACAACTCTCATTTTTGCTCTAGCGAAAGTTTGCAACAGGCCCATTGCTGCGAGCTGTTCTGAATTTTAACATTTAAACATTAAGTATGTCGGAAGGATGAAAGATTGAAGAATTATTTTACAGAAGATTTTCACATAGAAATAGCTGAAAGTTGGTTTGCAGTCAGTTGCATTTATTTTACAAGAATAGCAAATTGATTTCCATCACAAAGATGCAATACTTTGTTGAGAAAATCTTGTCGCTTCAACAAGAGTCAAAAATGCATTAATTTTTTCTCATAATTCACCCACAAGAAGTCCATTGCTGTCAAATTACATAATTCATCAATGTATTAATTGTATAATCAAAATTCCATCGTTGATATTCTTGTAGTGATAAAATTGACGGAAGAGACCTTTTACCGTTCAGTTGGAAGAAAACCTAAGGATGCTATTTGGGTCGTAGACTTCTTTATGCCATGGTGTGGTCCATGCCAGCAGTTAGCGCCGCAGTTCAGAAAGTTAGCTAAGGTAAGTTTGTTGGATTTAGTCCTTTAAGTATTTTTTTATCTTTAGTCTGTAATTTTTATTATTCTCTGCCTATTATAGTGACGAATTCCCAAGTGTTGCCTTCGACAAAAATTTTCATAGTGAATATTCTTTTTTGTTTTTGACACAATCAAGAGGCTGTACATGTGTCAATCAGTATATAACTGGTTATAGTAGTTGACAGCGTTCATATTTTACTGCTTTTTTTCTTGTCGTAAGAAGACTAGAAGCAAGGCGTGGTGAAAGGGCTATTCAGTAGGGTGCGGCTTATTTGTATGCTGAAAAAAAAAGTTGGAAAAGTTCAGCTCCCCGGTTTCCAATAGGTGCCAATACATCAGGAAATAATTCCTGTAAAGTTTCAGACCGATTGGAGCATTTTTAGAACTTCCGCCGGTGACGTTTTTACAAAAAAAATCGAGTTTTAAATTTTTGCCACTGAATAGCCCGCCATGTGATCAAAAATAGCTTTTTTCTGCAAGAAAATTGCGTCATAGCAAACGAATGCTTATTTTCAAAATTGAAGACCATGAAATTTTACATAAGAATCTTATTACAGTAAGACCTCGAATTATCGGATCGCGATTTCACGGATTCCGTGATTTAACGGATGGATCCTCCGATCCCTTCAGCGAGACTGACTAGTGCAATTTAGTGGATTCCGCGATTTTAAGCTGTTTGAGCTTGATTTAATCTTTCACCTCTGTGCCAACCTCTTTGGAAAGATGATCTAAGGAAAAATTTATAGAATAAATTCTCTACAATAAGAAGAATAACTCTAGTTCTAATGCTCTGTATGAAAAGAAATGTTGAATGTTGTTTCTGATGCAGAATTGAGTATCAAGTTTGTTCTTTATCTTAAATAAAATTTTTTGTTTTCTCACTTTAGTTGGTCTCCGGAATACCAAACATTTTCTTAGCATCAGTAAATTGTGAAGAAGAAGGTGAACTTTGCAGACAACAAGGCATTAGATCTTACCCTCACATTCGCCTGTACCCCCTTGCAAGTGAAGGCCTCAGCTCTTTTGCGTAAGTTGCTGGTGCATTGCTTTAATTTTTGTTTTAGTCGTTTTAACTGTGCTTCTCATTTAATCCTTTGACTGAAGGACAAATAAGAGACAAAAGATGTTCGTTTCTGCTGAGCCAGTCTGGGATTCAAGTACGAGGGTCATCCAAAAAGTAAGATTCCCTACCTTGTATCATCCGAACGAAAAGAGACGAATCCAATCGGCCCAAGTTTTTGAAAATTGGTCAAAGCGTTTGCAAAGAAACTCACTTTTACTGCGACAACCTTCTGTCACTGCGTGCCCACCTCCGAAGTCAGGATTCCAAGAGAGTTGATTATTTCAGACTCGGGTTTTCGCCGCTGAGCATCATATCAAAAAGGCCATTAAAAGTTTTTAATGAGTAGACCTTGTCTCACTTTCGATGTAGTCTCCACCTCTGTTTTGACATTTCTGTTATCAATCTTGCAGCTTTTTTATGTCTTCCGCATAGAGGTTCTTGTTTTGGCACTGAAATTAGTCATTGACAGTGCTCTGCACTTCTAAATCAGTCGGAAACTGCTTTCCACCGAGGAATTTCTTCAGCTCAGGGAACAGATGAAAGTCACGTGAGGCTAAATTGAGAGAGTATGGAGAACAGGGAAAATTTTCTTAGGCAAAGCAACTGATTTGGAAATGCAGAGCGCTTTAAATTACTGGTTTTGGTTATGGTTGTGGTACCAAGACAAGAGCTCCTACAAGGAAGGCATCAAGAAGCTGCAAGATTGATAACAGAAATGTCAAAACAGAGGTGGAGACTCCGTCAAAAAGTGAGACAAGGTCTACTCATTAAAAACTTTTAATGGCCTTTTTGATATGATGCTCAGCGGCGATAACCCGAGTCTGAAATAATCGACTCTCCGGGAATTCTGACTTCGGAGGTGGGCACGCGGCCACAGGAAGTTGTCGCAGTGAAAGTGAGTTTTTTCACAAACGCATTTACCGATTTTCAAAAACTTGGGCTTGTTTCAAAGCTTCGAGTATGTCTAATAATAACGTGTTTACCAATTTGATTTATCTCTTTTCGTTTGGATGATACAAGGTAGGGAACCTTACTTTTTGGATGATCCTTGTATTAAGTAACTCATTTTTAAGACTTCTCATTGATTTAAACAACATTTGGATCATTCCCTGACAGATGGTGTCACTCCTCAAAACTCAGACAAGTGGTAAGATCCTTTTAGGCTTTTTTTTAAACTTTTGTGTTGCTCAGAGATGCAATATATAGGTCTAAAGAAAGCAAATTTAATGCACTTACTCAAGTCCCAAAGCTCTTCATGGCTATCATGCAAAACAACAAATCTCTCAGTGTTTCAAAATTTCCACTCCTATTTTATTTTTTTGAACAGACACAAGCCAACTTTATAGCTCTATATTTATAAAGCATTTCTACTTACAGAGGAAAAATTAAGGAAGTTTTCAAAAAATTATGTTCACTAGTTTTCTAAAGAAAAAATGGAGTATGACTGGGAGTCTGCCACGCTGTAAACGGAAAGACATGGTTTTGCTCTTTGGCCATCGATAAGTTATCTGATGAATTTCTGATAAGAAATGGGTCATTGCCCTTAAAAAATCCAGCCACGTGAATGCATACACATTCTGCTGGTCGAATTGCACGAAAATCATGGTGGTCACCTAAAAAGTTTGGAATCCACTCCATAGCGCGCAATTACTGTATTTTGTGACATGATTTGTATGATTTCAATTGTTTTCAAACTTAAGTTTCATTTCTCTTTCTTCGTTCTGAAAAAAAAGAAGCTTTGAATCTATTGAAATTTTTGTAAGGAGCCATTCATCAAGAAGTGCCTTTTTTTTCACATTGGAACTGGTTTAAACTTTGACTTGTGTGTTGAATTTTCAGTATCTTCAGCGGTCATCAAAGAAACGTATTAACACTAAGAGTTTGGTTACTCAGTTTCCTTCCGTCGGTCGTGGAAGATCTTGACCCCAATTCATTTCCAGCCAAAGTGGTCGACTCCAATGATCTTTGGTTAATAGATTTCTATGCTCCGTGGTGTAGCCATTGCCATTCCTTTGAGCCAGAATTCTCTACTGTTGCTCAGGTGAGTCAATTACCCAGAAAACAAGTGTTGCCTTCTCAAAGTATGGACTGAATTACTCACTCTCATTTTGCTCTGTGCCAGTTCAATACCAATAACTTACACCTAATTACACCTTAGTATAGTTTAGTAGAACTAGATGTATCAAGATGAAACGAGGGTCGGCATGCATACAAAAAATTCCAATCAGTAGCTATATGCCACGATTCAGCGTTGTTTCTTTGCAATCAAATTTTTCGATTCACCTAAGATCTCCACAGAATTTCTTATTATTATGTATTTTGAAAATTTCCTTTTTTGCTTCAATTTTTCACGAAATTTCCGAAGGTTTCATAAGAAGGCCAACTTTCTTTGAATTTTCTTGAAAATCGCTCACCTGGCACTTCGTTTGGTTTGATCTACCTGGATCGGAGAATTGAGAATTTGCAGGTGTCTCAACTTTTGTGAATTTCATCTTTAAACTGATACTGCTGGGAAAACTGAGTACGAGGATATCCTTGGTTTCAAAATTGAACAATTATTGGAGGAAATATGACATAATAACCTAATCTGCTAAAATACATGTGTCTAAATGGAAAATGCCGCCAGATGACGTCACAAGACGGCAGATTTTCTCACTTTTAAATCTGTTTTTCACCAATTTTCCATACCAGAAAACAATTATGAAAAATACTGCAAACTCAGCTCATTAGGCTCTGTTAACTCATCAGCTGATGTATTCCTAACCTAGTATTATTAAATAAACTTATAGTTGAATGTGGAATGTAGGAGTCGTCCCTTTCTTTCATTAAGTGTTCCACAGGCTCTCTCAAATGAAGAAATAAAACTTCTGTGTGCAAATTCTCCATTGAGCATATTTTCCTGTTGCAAAAGTCCCTCAGTATGCGGCAGAGAGTGCCATGAAAGTTAAGTGTGACGTATTGATTTGGGAATGATCCCAGTCATGAAAAAGGGAAGTATGTATTTCCCTTTGTAGCTTTATATTTAGAGACTACAATTTACTTACATTTAGAGTCCACAACATGAGTCTAACTTTATAAAACATTATCAAATGATGCATTTTCTGAAAACCCTTGCCAGGCTAGTAACGCAGGTTGAAACTTCATTCTCCTCCAATTCTTCATTTTAGACTTGAAAATCTGCAAAAATTTCATGGATTTGGCGTTTTGGCACGTCCATCCTTCACTACCATGTCTCCAAATTTTTGGGCGGCTGAGAACATTAGAAATAGATGAAGCGTTACTGATTTATGTAATTCGGTTAAATGTCGACTTCTATTTGTGGATTTAGACCTGATTTGCAAGTTCATGTTCACTTAATGTCTCCTTTTCCTTCACTCTGTCACACTTGCAAACGGTTTGTTTTTGCTTTGGAATAATTTATTGGTGACCTCATCATTTTGCATACTTGATGTGATGACATTCATTGTTATAATTTCTACATTGATTCATTCAATGCCTGTCTCAAATTCATGTTAATAAATTTGCTTGATAAATTATATCATTGGTTTCAGAAACTGAGCAGTCATGTTAAGTTTGGAAAAATCAACTGTGATGCTTTCCATAATTTATGCCGGAATGCAGGAGTAAGTGGCTATCCGACAGTTCAATTCTATCATGCACAAGGTAATCGAGGTTATAAAGGTATGGAAATTATGAGTCAAAAAGGGAATATTATCGAAGAGGCAGTTAGAAGTGTATTGGAAAGACAAGGCAAGATTATTGCCCATGATGAGCTGTGATAATAGTTTTAATCCTCGACACAAGTCATGTAGTGAAATCTCGCTAAATCAAACTATAGTTAAGACGAAATCTCACTTTTGTAAAAAAATTCCTCTGGTCCCTAGACCCCGTCATAAGGCGTAATGTTAAATTACTACGACTAAGACGAATTCGTGACTTTTATTGTGGAGGAAACAGTGCTTAAGTAAAAGAAAATTTTTTTGAAAAACCCAACAAAATTTGATTCTACTTGTGAAAAATCAAAGCAGAAGGGCGATTTCAAAAAGAAGTAAAGTAATGTTACAAAAACAGACTCATGTTGACGTGCCTGTATTTTTGAAGGAAGTATAGAAGCAAGAGCTTCAAAATCTGTGACTTCTGATGTACTTCCATGACTTCTTTCATAAAAGAGATAAAATTTGAAAATTAATTAAAACATTTTTGAATTTATAACCGATTTTTGAAAAATCTGCAAAAGCAACTCAAAAAATCACTCGCAGGTTACTTAAATACATAACTCGAATTTTCAAACTCATTTTCTTCTAAGCAGCAAAGCCAATAAAACCAAAAGCTCTTAAGTTTCAAGTTCTCTTAGTCCCTTGAAAAGTTGACTTAACGAGATTTCACTGTATGAAGACTCGAAGACTGGGTGATAGGACATAATGTCCAAAAACAAAAACGTCCAAACGTGTGAATGTCCAACAAAATAAAAAGGCCAAAACCAACAAATTTCCAACTAAGTAAAAAGTCAAAAAAAAAATTTAAGAAAAAAAGCGTCCAAAGTAAAAAGTTCAAAACTGGTAAAAATATGTGAAACGTGCCAGTTACCTGCATCATTCCAAATCATTATCTGAGCCCCAATCATCTAAAGAAGAGTCCGAGTTCAAAGCGCTGCCTGCTGCTGCTGTAGGTGCACCGCGGATGCGAGTATTGTAGGCAATGCCTTGCAAGTATTTGGAGATTTCTTCAGCATTTTTAAATTGCTGGTAGCGTCTCGTTCGCATCTGTAGCTTTTCCTGATTTTGACGAGATTCCTTGCTGACCTGTTGCCAGATTCTAGTGTGCTCATTATCAAGCTGGATGCAAGTTTCCTCAGTATCAAGTTGGTCCTTCTAACTTTTTACTTTTGGACCCTTTTTTTTGGACGTTATGTCCTATCACCGTAGGCTGTAATATTTTTAAAACTCTAGAGTTACTGTTAATTCTTATTTTTCAGTCTATGGAAAATAAATCCATAACCACACATTCAGGGTCCTATATATTCCAGTCATTGATCACTTTAAGTTAGGATCATTCTACTAATCATCATTAAAAATGATTAAATTTGGAAGTATAATTATAGGTATTCGCTTTGTGTTGTCCTTCGAGGGTCCTATAACTCAGGAATTTCAACAGTCCCTAAGGAAAGTTTAGCGTTTTTTTCGTGATCACTGTCTCACCAGAAATAAAAGCTGGGCAATTCATCACTTTCATAGACCATTTTTTATTTTATCTTAGGACTTTGAGGCTTGTCCATTGTTGGTGATCTCTCTCAAAATTGGAACACATTTAGATCAGATTTTTTCATCATTTGCATTGGCTCAAGCCGATACAATTGAAAGCCTCCTCAGTTTTTACTGTTTTGTTTCCCTACGCTACTCTCTTCTTACCTTTACTATAATTTACTAATAATACTTGTGTCTTTTTTTCTTCTATTTTTGTACAATAATCAAATTTCACCAAAATTGATGCATTATGGATCTTCAACCAGGTTTAGGTTTTTTTTAAAAGAAGTTCCTTTGTATTCATGCGTGATGATGTTTCTGAAAATTTTCCCTAATGAATTGATTTTCTAATATACCCCTGTTATAATTTTTTTACTCTTTAGGGCTGGTTCTATTACCTCTGGTCCAATCTGTTTGATTCATAACCAGCGGTCAATTAGACACTAGAATTTAAATGTAACCTCTGCTTTAAATATCCGCCAGGTGACCAAGGTACCTTTCAGGTTTTTCTTGATTTTGCCCTTTATTGAGCTTTTGACCAGGAGTTCAGATCAGCAAGAGATGGGTAGATGACTACCTCTATGTTTTTCCTCTTGTCAAATGTAAACAGCTGTTTGATCAGACGAGATAAATTTATCCCTTATGTAGGGTAAGTTTAAAAGAAAGGAACCAAGTTACATTTTTATGAAACATGAGTTTTGAGTCATTTTAAACGCAAATTGTACATTACACTATCTCACTAGAAAATTTAAGCCCATGGATATTTGGACCAAGATTTAAAAAAATGCACCAAGTGGCAATTTAGAAAAAAGTTAACTCATCCAAGTAAAAAGATATCCAAACTCATGTTTGGATGAGTTTTGATTTCAACTAGTCCTACATTTTCTCTTGTCAGGAATTCAAAGTTGAGCATAAATATTTTGAACGCCCAAATATGTAATTACTAGCAGGAAACCCGTGCTACGCACAGGAAAACCCCACCATCAGCAATCACTGTGATTAGTGATCAGTTACTAATTGTGTTTCTGAATTATTATCTACTATTTCAAAATTGGCGAGACGCACTGGTTTGATTAAAAAGTTGATATTAGTAGTATGCTGCTATTTTGGTCTGTTCTGCAATAAGCTCACATGATAATTATAATAATCAAAAATTCCCGATCAAAAGTTGGTTATTTTCATAAAGATTTGTTACTTTTGTCAGTTCAATGTTTAATTGAAGTTAGCTGGTGAGTTTCAGCCGCGAAATAATTACGGGATTTAACCAGCGGTTTCGTTTAATTCACAGCAATGGCGGGTTTGTCATCTACATCGCGGAGAAAACTTGATTTTTCCTGGGATTTTGTAAAACAAATTAGAAATTACACGANCACTCGTTGGACGCCGAACTCCTTCCATCTTCTTCGCACCCGTTGCGCGTACCAGAAGAACGTACGTAAAATTTATCAGCTGTCTTCCAACGCGAGACGCGGAAATCGCTCCATCTCGCTCGCACTCTCTCTCGCACCCGTTGTCCTTACGGAAAAATCGACCCGCGCGAACCGCGATATCCCGCGAACCGGCGGGCGGATCGCGAAATCCTCCCTTATCCGGCGCCTCGGGGTAGAGAGGGATCCCAGTGCGGAATCTCAGGGTCACACGGCCTCCCGTTCACGAGATCCGCTGATACGTGAGTCAGTGAGTGAGTCAATCAACGTGAAGTCTGCTTTATTAGTATAGATTAAACTTAATCCTTGACATCGAGTCTCACGGTTAAATACTTACTCAGATAACTAACTTCATAAAATTTCAAACCTCTTTCTGGGCTTAAATTTGAAGCAACTTGGTTCGTTTCTGTTTAACTCCATTCAGTTTGTGCTATTCTAACCGTGGACACAATGTTCATTTTTAAGGCGCATGCTATAGGAGGGAAAAACTTTAGATCTCTCTTCCTTATCATAACTTATAGTTTCTTGGATCCTCTCGTAAAATGTTTCATTTCTTTAAAGAAATTTTTCCATTAGGTCCCCATTCCAATGTTTATTTCATTTCCCAAAATTTCTTATCTACCGATTGTTCTGCAATATTTACACCCCAGTATAAGTGCATTGTTGGAATAGCTAGCCAGTAGCCGAGAAAATTTCATCTTGGCTTCAGGGATGTAAGGCTCTACTTTTGTGTTTCATTTTTTGTTTAAAAATCTAAATCTACTGTAGCTTTAAGATAGAAATGATGAAGGTAAATTTATACCATAAGAAGCATACACATACATGTAAGCTGTGTGATTTTTTAAAGTGCTAATTTAATTATGAGCCTATTATTATTCCCAGGTCTTTTGTGCCAGAAGATCCAACTGTTTGCTTTTTGGCCATAGATAAAACCTGGTGAGCTGTATTGGTCATGTTGGAAGTATCGTTTAAGAGAGAAAAATAAGTGAACTTTACTCAAGAACGATAGACTACTTGAGCCTCTCTGTCTTTGTGCGGACGTACTGCTTTTTCAGTCAGAAATGGTACATGGATTACTGTAATTCATAAAAATAATATTTACTAAGCTGCCTTTTTGGTACCATTTCTCTCAGCTCCTCCTGTAAACCAGATAATGGTCAATAACTTTCAATTACCGGAAAAAAGGAGTGAAAATTTAATGCTATTAATCTTTGATTCTGTTTTTATTTTAATTAGGAAGCGATTTTTTCTCCTGAAAGTCTATGGTGCAAATACTTTTTTGTAAAAGACAACAAAATTCTGCTTTCTATTGTTGCAATTTTATGTATATCTTGTATGATCTATCATATTTTAGCCTGATTCTGTTCTTAAGAAATTCATCCTGTTTAAAAATGTCAGTATGAGTTAATGATGTATAATACTAAGTCATCAACTATGATGTGAGGCAATCGAAACTTTTAACTGTGTCATGATATGTAGTAATTTTAGTAGATCAGAAAGAGAAGCATTTTGAAAATGCAAAGCATTTATCTGTGATATTAAGATTTTTTAAGTGGTCATACGTACATATGTAGGTAATTTACTATTCATAATCTTTCAGGAAAAATCTAGATCAATAATAAAAATCCGAAGGGAAGTTTAACTTTTTTTTGCTAAAAAGATGTTGCGATTAACCGATGGTAACAGTTCATCATTAACTTTTTTTTTTTTTTTTTAAATAAACTATATAGATTAATGACACAGCAGGGCTGGGTGTGACTTGAAGCTTTGATCGAATATGTTTTTGAGACTATGTATCAGAAAGTTTTTCGCCTCAATGACTAAAATTTGATCTTTTTTATTCAATCAAAACCGTTTTTTTTCACTGTACTGAACAGTTAAAGTCTCCACCTGAAGCCTGAAGGTACATTTTGCCCTGCTGCGTCCCATGTGTTTTCTGAATTTAAGACTGGGATAAAAGATCTGCATGAAAAATTTTCCTTTTATTTAAAAATACTTAATTTCTAAAATAACAAAAAAGAAAAATTTTTGTTGTAAAAGTTGTTAGATAAAGTGTTTTCACTGGTACAATATACCAGTAGTATTGTGCTTGCTTTATTGAACAATCAAAGGTTATCCCTGAACCCTATATTGGGACACTGAAGTCTCCAATTCTGTAATTGAATAGACTTATACAAAAGCGCTCAATGTACAGTGCGGTGTTTCAGAATTTGCAAGGGCGATTTCATTGTAAATTATGAACATTAAAGGGTTTTAGACGCTAGGAATGTAGCACAATTTTATAGAAAATCGCCCAATTATAATTAATCGTTTACGAAAGATATCAATCTTATTCATTAGTATCGTGAGGGGAGAGAAACCACTGCAGTTCTGAAAAACTGTATTTTACATGGGACGTTTTTACACGAACCGAAATAAATTTTTAGAACATTTTAGAAAATCTATTTTTACCTTTTTTTGTTAATAATCCTTCAGATCCAACCATCTGATGGTCTGATTGTTGAGTCATGAAGAACAGTTTTGTTTGGTGTATGAAAGACATAATGAAATGAAATATTCTGTTTCTCTCTTAAAATTCTTCCTGTGAATCAACAGAATGAATATCTTATGGAGGTATAGAGAGCGTTGAACTTAGATTTACCTTGAGAGGCATTATATTTTTTAATTGACTTTTTTACCAATCATTCTTCAATCTTCTTCACTCTTGTTGATCATATAATAAATCGAATCACCAAGATATATTGGTATGTACCAATTTTGTGCAATAAAAAATGTAAGATGGGAATTTCGACGAATAAGAGTCGTTGTCTTTAATGCATGCTTTTTTTAAAAAAAACATTGTTTATTGATTTTCACAGCTTTTAATGTCACTCAATAAAATAAGTTAAAACCGTGTATTTTCTCTTATTTGAATTCTGATTTCTATCCTACTAGGTTATGTATTCAAATTTAAAATGAACAAAAATCCAAAGAGGAGAAATTACCCAGTACTTTTTTTTTTAAAATTTATACTTCATTATCTTGAATTTTCGGTTTTTCAAAACACCGTTTCAAACTTATTGATTTTTGTCATGTTACTGAATGTTTCGCTCTACTTTGAGGGGAGGATCAGAGCGATTCTTTTCTTTCGTCAAAAGGAGACTCCCTCCTCAAAAGGGGGGAAAAAAAAATTCACTTTGAGTGGTGGGAACATAGAGTTGTCCCTGAACCTAATCTACGCTCCTCATTATTAAAGAAATAGTTTGCCAGTATAAATAAACAAGAATATGTTGAAAAAATGGTTTATTCTCCTTCATCCTTAACTGGCGAGTGTTCCTCTGAAAATTAATTGCAGAAATTTAAAAAAAAAATAAAACTTTCCTCCAGCAAGTAGTTTCAAAAATGTTCACTTTGATAAACAAGCAAGTAGCACGAATGACTTAATGCATTCAGTTTTGATTGGAAAACAAGAAAAACGTAAATATGACATAAAAAGCTTGTTAAGTGCACATGCTTACTGACTAACAGCAAAATGACAGGCTGAGGCAGTGACAGAGAAGAAACATAAGTTAAACAGAAGATTGTTATGCATAATTAACATGCTACTTCAGCGCTCTCTGAGAATTTATCAGTCTCAGGACCATTCATAAAACGATTGAGTTTGTGAAAAAAAAAAAAGGAACTTAAGCTATATAAATCACACTAAACAAGCAAAAAACAAATTCTGGAAAACTTCAGATTTGTGTTTCCTTGACTTCGATAAAATCCTTTTCAAAGGCGTATAGGATAAAAAAGCAAAAATATACTTAGCTTTCTGGGGACAGGAATATTTTTTAAATTAAATTTCAAGAATAAAAAAGACAGCGTGATTCTTCCAAAAATATAAAAGGTGTCTAAAATAAACTTAAAATTTCATCATTTATACTAATCAGAGTTCATCCAAGTTGTGTTTTTTAGTCATTTCACTGTTGGTACTGACATTCACATTCTATACTGGTATGTTGTTCACTCCCTAATACCATGTTATTCTCTTTGGTTTGATTGTTTGCAGTTCATGCACAGTGCATCAAAAAGATAGTAATTCTTTTGTAGATGTTGTAGGTACTGACACTCACATTCTAAATTGGAAAGTTGTTCACCACCCCTTATTCTCTTAGGTTTGATTGTTTCATGCACAGCGCATCTAAAAGATTGTAATTCTGTCAATCCAAATTATAATTAATCATAGTGTCAAGGGAAAAGTGCTCCATAGGTAGTTAAATTCGTCTGTATACTCTTTGATAAAGAACGGATCTGATGTTATTAGTAAACTATCGGTATTTCCGAGGATACCCTTTTCTGTAAAATTTGTAGAGCCATTAATCAAAATTTTCCCATCAATGATGATAAACTTGTGGTGAAGAATGTAGGTAGATTGTTTCATTCTGATCCTTATTCCTGAAAAAATTAAACAAAAGGTTTCAACTTAGTCTCACAAAATACTGTTGATCAGAGGATGAGTTAATCCTGAAAACCTAAATTCACTACAGATACCATCAGAATTTGTTGATGGATATCAACGATGGTGAATTTCAATTCTTAAACTCTTTTACCACTGGCTTATGTACTTTATTCCTGCTGAAGGCAGAAATTAGATTCTTCCTGTGGACCTTGTCAAGGCATGGCAGAGAATAGCTTGTACAATGAGGGTTGTGTTCATTGCTGTCCCTTAAATAGCTCTTTCCTGTGGGAGACCCCATTTGGTTGAAATTGTGATCGATTAGGGAGGCTTAAAGAAGTTCTCAAAATAGCATCATTAAAGGACAATTTTCACCAACCATGAGTTAAATTCATTTGTATAACTTTGGAAATGGACCCACCCAAGGGATTACAATTATATGTAGTTGCTACTGCAAAAAGTACCAAATACAGAAACAATTTTTGTACCTACATGATTTTCACACACTGTAAGGTAGTTTCAGACCTACCTTAAAATTTACAAAATTTGCGAATATTTCCTTTCCTACTTCGTACTTTTTGCAGAGGCCAATAATTTTCTTCCCTTGAAAGGACCGATTTCCAAAGTTGTATTGCTGAATTTTACTCATTGACAAAAATTGTCCTTTTAATGATGCTATTTTGTGGGCTTCCTTAAACCACCCTTAATCATGATGTAGACCAAACTGCTCGAAAGAAGCTGTAAAAGGAACGACTATGGATACAACCCTTAGTCTTAAGTTGGATGATAAACTCGACCTCAAATACCGTAATCTCTGCTACAGGATCAAACCAACCTTGAAAATCAACTTTATTGTTTAATATCTTTGAGGAAATTTATTCATAAGTATGACCCCGCTTTTGACAAGTAGCTATTCCTAGACAAACATCATAGATCATTAGACAAACAATTTTCTATTTTCCTTTTAAAGTCGAAACATTATAATAATAATATTCTAAGGCAAGAAGTTTATTAATATGAAAAAGTTGATGAAGATATATATTTGAAATTAATCTATCAGTACTGCCTAAGTGAAAATAGCAAATTGAAAGCTGAACCTAATTGCGATACTCTGGTTGTGGTTTAAGGTCATTTCAAACTATTTTACTATAAAATTTTGTAAATTAGGACTTGATACATAATTCAAGATTTTAGATTCTAACATTCCTCCAAAGACCGATAGACTATGGAATCATTTCCATCAGTAAAAAAATGAGCTTTGATATGATCGCAATCTTCACCTCAAGTCATGATAGCTACATTTATTCAAATGAGATCAACACTTCTCCAACTATTCTTGTGGAAAATTATTTGGTAAAGAAACTAACTCACCCTTATGATGAAAATTCAGTATGGAGCTGTCTTCCTTTACAGCCGAATCAAAGTTAGCCACTACTCTCACTTTGACATTTCTGTCACAGGCTTCCATTATGACATTTGCAAGTTCTCGATAGGAGAATGTGTAACAACAAAGTAGAATTTCCGAACGAGCAGCTCGTATTAAATCAAACAGGTCTCTGTATTAGAAAGAAGACTCTGAATTAGTATTAAGTTTGTGCTATGCCCAGGTATGATATGAAATCTGATTGGAATTGGCAAGAGCATAAAAAACAAATCTCCAATTTACTTTTTAGCCATAGACTGATTTGGGGACTGCATCATTCAATATAGTGTTGAACTCAGAAGTTCAAATCAAACCGAATACATACCTCAAGTGCAAATTCCATGGAAATTAATTTTGAAAATCCATTACAATTTGGTCTCTGATAGGTCATAAATCAATCAAGGACTCATTAAAGACAAGAAATTTTGATTGCATGACACTTTAAGACACACTCTACCATCATGGCGCCGATCAACAGAATGAAAACTGAGAGACAAGGTTATATGTCTGTTTACTTTTGAATCATGACATAACACTAGACATGAGATTCAGCGAAACTTTAAAAGAGGGAGTATCATTTAGTTCTGTTTAGATTTGGCACCTGATACCTACCTTTTGACTGAACAAAGGTTAAAATATTTGATGTACTTCAGACAACAAGGTGCCTCGATTGGGTGAAATGGCATACAATCGGGGCAAAATTATTAATATGTGAGATGACGAAACTGGAGTACACAGAGAGCTACATTCTGCAATGAACACAGAGATGGGAAGCAATCAGGATGGAGTGTTAAAATAAATACCTTAAATTTTTTTTCAAACAGCTTCTATCTTGACAAAAATCTTCCGGATGCTGTAAACAAGATGATCGTTTGTCTTGAAAAAACATGCATTTTGCTAGCGGTAGTTTGAACCGTCCAAAATACTTGGCTGTACCTTTACTTGTCAAGCGATGATTGGTTGACTTGAGACGCTTTGATAAGGTTGAGTAAAATACAGGGGCATGGTCACAGGCTTTAGAAATAAGGTAACTGAACAAGATAAAAGAGAGGAGATTTTCAGAGACGATAAGTTTGCAGAGAGTTCTGCTCAGTTGTGTTAACATTTTGCTAACTGGTGTAACGTCGTAAACTAAAGCACAAGATTGGGAAACTTTAACACGTGCATGGTAAAAATATTATTTCAGAAATTTAAACATGAACGACAGAAAAGAAAAACCTACAATTAAGAGAAATAATATGTACGCAATGCCGCAATGCCAATTGCCATGCTCGTTTTTCACCAATGTAAACAAAAACAATAGCTGCGTTGTCGATTGGTTGTTGTCGTTGGTTGCCAACAACCAACACCCACTAGCATCATAAATTCAAACACAGCGCGCGAAAAAAGTGCGGAGCGTACTTTCACCCCGTGCGTGCTCTTACCCCCACCTACCCTATATCTATTGGCTGATAGAAAATTTTACGGTCTTTTAAAAAATCCTGCGAAATTTTACTCCAAAATGAATAGATTAACAAAAAAATAGGAGAAAAGGTCGCTGTTCCGAAAATATTTAGCCGTGGCACTTTTTAAAACTAGTTTTTATTTGGTATCAGAATTGTTTCAAAGTTATTTTTTGGATTTGTCTGAAAGGAAATTTTACGTGCTTTAAAAAGAGTATGATACATTTCGGACCGGTCCCGTAGGAACAAAGAGGTTCAACATCGCCGCGTTGCCGCTAACGCAAGCGCTTGCGTTCATTGGAAACCAGGCTTTCAATGCATCATTCTCATTCAGTTCGCATTTTTCAGCAGTTAAGCATCGGATCTTGGCATCTGATGCTTTCAGCAAAGTTGCTAATGGACGTTTCATCAAAAGAGAATGAAAGACCGATCTAATTAGTAAACTTGATAAAAACTGCCTAGTATAGATCACTAACTTCATTGGGAGAGCAAAAAGAGCAAGGAAAAAGAGGTATCAACAACCTCCTAAGGATATTTCTAACCATCGGATTTGTAACTATGATAACAGCATCAATTCTTCAAAATTTATCTGCAGTTCATTCAGCTTTTTTTTTTAAATTCCTAAATTTTTTCTGCTCGGGGGCAAACTATCTTCACTTTTGAGGGAGGAGGTGTTGAACAATTTTAAAGTGCCCTTAAAGAATTTCTCATAGATGTTAAAATGTGACTAAAGTTTGAATTTCGTGAAGATTTTTTTTTTTTTTTTGAGGATACAGTGTTGTATACAACTAGTCAAGCAATGGCTTCCACATAGGACGTCAATAACGACTAATCTCTTATAAGAATGGTACAGGATTGGCATGACGTGATGTGACCCTGAGGTCAACAGAGGGGTTTGGAAAACAAAGTGAGATAAGTGCAGTTTTTAAAAACTTGAGATATATTAATCATTTTAACTGAAACTAGTCTTAAAATATATTCAGAAGAAGAAGAATTCACTAATCAAATCCAATTTTTAAGTATCTAAAAGTATGAGTTGGAACTTTTTTTCCGCCATGAGGCTACATGTAATTTTGAAACTTGAAACACAAAATTGAAATAGCAAAAACTGCACATATCTCGCTTGCCCTCCAAGCCACCTAACTGATGTAATACTACAAATAATAAGAAGACGCATTTACTCAAAACGTAAAAATTTTACTTAATAAGTATCTCTATTTTAAAACTGACATTTTCTTCAGAAAATGACTGAACTCAGCATAAATATAATTTTTCACACAGCACCTTATAGAAAGAAGAAGAAGGAAGAAAAGCACACACAAATTTAAGAAACAAATGCTCCACACTTCTACATTCTAAGATCAACAAAGCAAAATGTGTGACTGGATGCTAGTGAGACTCACTAGGCTTAAACTAAGATGCTTCATAGAAGCATGATTAGAGATAGTAAAATTTACCTAATCTAAAATTTGACTAGAGAAAAAACAACAGAAAACATTTTTCTATACTTTCAAGAGAATGATATACTGACTGATTTCTCTTTGAATTTTACATAGAAAGGCATTGGCATAAGTAGCTAAGCAAGAAAAAAAAAAAAAAAAAAAAAAAAAAAAAAAAAAAAAAAAAAAAAAAAAAAAAAAAAACGAGGAGCTCACAATCACTGTTACAAAAGATATATTCATTACAACCAATTTAAAGGAACCAAGCTTAAAACTTAGTGGAGCAAGCCAAGAAACAAGGCTCTTTAAAAATGCTTTTGCTTTATAAATAAGACTTCCAGTTCATTAGGGAAGTTTTATTTTTTTTTTTACTTGCAGAGACAGGATTCCCCATCTATTTCTAACTGTGTTATTAGAGCTTAGTAGAGTACCTTTATTAGCATACTTTTTAATCATGAGTTACTCCAATGAAACTCAATTCTGGGACATTGCATCAAATTTAAGTCCAAGGTAAGTTGTTACTGAACAAACTAGTTCCGATAACGCAGTACAATAAAAAGTAATATTTTACATAAATTGGTTTTGAGTTTAGTGGCTGCAGTTCCGTTAACAACAAAGAGTTCCAGACATACTCGAATGAATTATTGGAATCTATCTTTCCTATCTTTCTCCGCAAGACTTTACTATTGTTCACTAAAATTGAGGATGCGTACCAGTAAAGTATGGGGCTGGCAGAGGCTAACATTCGCGTTGCTATTTGAACATGGGCACAAAAGAAACAAAATACTGATAGGTACAGGATGTGAACTACGTATGGGAAAAGACGTAAGGAATAAGGGCTTAGCTTCAAAAAGGAGCCAACGCTCATGAGAGCATTCTTATGATTGAAAAAGAATTTAAGACTATTGTAAAAGATGAGAAGTAGAATTGGAGAGGCTAGGACAAAGTTGGGAATTTGTTTCAATTCAAAATACTCCATAAAACCTACATTCCAGTACTTTTTCTGGATGTGGAAGTATGAGACTGGTACAGAGAACTGGCACCAAGGGAGATCTGCTCCTGGCATGACATATTTTTCTTTTATAGCTAACAGCTGGATTTCGATAGGTGGGGATGTATCAAAGGCCGTGCAGAATTTGAGATAGGCATAAACCTGATATAAGCAAAATGGTGACAATATCATGACAGCTGATAGTACTATTTGCAGAGTTTCACGGAAAATACTCGCTGATCTGGGCTCACGAAATCTCAGTAAAATTTTGTAAGCTACAAACCCTAAATTGACGATCCCATTAGACCGTACAATGCTACCCTCAGCAAACAGAATGGAGGCTAGTAAAGGCGAAACATTAAGCTCCAATAAAAGGAGACCAGAGAAAGTGCAGAATGTATAAAAAGACTCTGAATATGGTGCAGTAAAGAAAATACTGGCAGGATTAATGCAAAATAAAAGTGTAGAATAATAAGCTAAAATTTGGTTCATCAATACCACAGATGTTAACTTATACAATGCGATTGCTGACAGTATAAAAAATATTACATTTAATATTACAGCTGTCAAAAGAAGTGCTGAACTTTCTGATATGAAAAAATGTAACGGGAAAAGAAAAAATCGATTGAATTCTCGCACAGCTATTGGAAACGCAGGGAAGAAAGCAAGATTATTCTCGTATGTGTAGCCATACTTTGCAATGTGCAAAAAGTGTTGAGCATCCCATCTTCTCAGCCCTCCAAAAAATTTTTGAATCAGGACATCAGCTGTACTGGGAGTGGCTGCATTCCCGATACCCTGAAACGCATCTTCTGATTGATGATCAGGAATCAGGCAGTTTGTGACAAACTGAATGACAAGCACCAAGAAACGGCTGGCAAATGCTATTACGGCTATTTGTTTCATTTAGGAAAACTGATGCTCCAATCCTAGTTAAGACTTTTGTTGAGTAAACAAAATAATTCTTATATCCTTACATACGGAGTCTGATGAAACCCATGTAGTGAGTAAGTTCTGTCTGATAACCCCAACACAGATGAGCACATTATGATATGATCCATATTTCGATTACACTTCTGCAACAAACAAGAGGAAAACATGATTACACATATTGGCTGAGGTTTTCCAGAGGGTCCAATAAAACTAAAAACAGTAAGGAATTAAATGCAGCATCATGGATCTCAAGATCAAGGATCATCTATGAAAAGGAAGAGAAAACTGGGAGAGCCTTTGCAAAATTTCAAGAGGATGACTTTTTTGCGGCTGTTTCAGTACTAGTTGTTACAATTTTTGCACAGACGCGAGTCAGCCATCTGATGCTAACACTCATTAGCTAGTATTAGGCGCGCACATATAGTATGTCGACGGTGTAAGTCCGCAATCACATAACTCGGGTTGCAAAGTTGCAGACTTCCTGTCATACTTCATTTTTTAAACGGAAAACTACTCAACAGCAATTCTTTAAAACTGCAGTGATTTTTTCTCTCTGTACAAAGAAAATTCTGCAAAAACTTCAAGGAATGATGTCAGTTTTTTCTCCTTTAAGAAAATAGAGGTGGAGATTTTCAGACACCGCAAACAAGTTATGTGATTGCCGACTTACACCGTCGATGTGCCTCTCTGTGCAATTACACACACTAAAAAAACAGTCTATAAAAACTCTAGACTCTGACCAATACCTTGAAAATTAAGTTTGAAATCTGGTCCTAAAGGTGCTCATTGATCTGAAAGCTGGTTTGAAATAGATCACGCACCTTTGATATGGAAAAATGCCATTCTGTTTACATACAAATTAGGTTTTAACATTTATGGGTACCTCATTTTCACCGTAAATCTTAATATACAACAAGCTTGGTAATTGGAATTGTATCAAATCAGTATGGAATTAAGTACACACATTACATTGACAGTCATACAAATGTTTTCAATTTAATCCAGAGACATTTGGAAATAACATCGAAAGTACGCCCAAAAAAGTATGAAACAATCGGTGGTAATCACTTAAGATGTTTTAAATCCAGAGTAATTTCAAAATATTTTTGGGTAAAATCTTGGGTGCAAATACCTGATGTACTTCAGTGTGACGTGATGTCCAAGGGTTTACAAAATTATGTCCTAAAGTTCAGAAATTATTAATTGATTGATCAATAATTAAATTGCTCTCCAAAAAGCGATGACAGCACCTTCATTGCAAGAAACATAAACAATGCTGATTACCTGGGGGGTAGAAATTTTTCATAGCAATTTATGGTTCACTAGAAATGAGATAAATCATTGAAGGGCGTTTGCCTTTATATTGTATGATTCAAGATAATCTGAGAAAAAAAACGAAAGGAAACTCATCAGACTTCGAGAGTTTCGGTTCGAAACTTTGAGCTTTGAAATAACATAACCTAACATTCGTAGGTAAACAAAAAATTCACGAAATGCATCAGCCATCAGCCCCGAAGAACATTCATCAACATTCCACGCTTGTGTTCTTTTCTCGTGCTATTTGAAGCCTAAAACTTACAAATTCTGAACGTCAACGTGGTTCATCCCGTTGAATTAAATCCAGCATCTCTCAAATTCTTTAATTCCAATCATGGCAGAGGTATGTACGCTTCGAATTTCATTTTGGTCGTTTTTACCTCATTGATGTATTCGATTTTTCATTGACAAGTTTCCCCAGCTGAGCCATGTGTACCTCGAATGGGGAAATGTCCCTTCTTTCACAAATAAATTGCCTTTTGCTGTCCTTCTCTGTTATCTGGCAAACCCGTCAGCGTTCTGTCTTTGAAAACCCTCAGCAGGTTTCAGTTTACATAATGTCCAAACCTAATCAACGATTGACACACTAATCAGACGGGAACCCTGGCCGTGAGGTTATACGGCAGGACAGATTTCCCTCCTTTGTTCAAATCAATTTATACCTTACGTAGATTAGGTAAAACAAGTCACACCTTAAGATAGATTTTGCATGAACAACTTTGCTAATAATGAAGTTGATTAATGGGTATTTGCACTGCCAGGGCTTACGAGCCGATTGTGTTGTATTTTCTCTTGATGAAACTAACCCACATGTCTCCCCAGGATTTTCTGCTAATACTGTAAAATGGGTGAAAATAATTCATAGATTATTTGGAAGGAAACTGCTGGTTAGTGTTCTTTGAATTTTATCAAGAAGCTTGAGAGGAGATGCGCAATGCTTTAATCAGGGATACGCATTTTCCTACTTCACCTGCTGTTATCTAACATTATATCTCAGTTCAATTTTAGTTCTATTAGACATTTAGGAGGTACATCTAGATTAGTACAGCCTCTAATTCTGCAGGATACAGTCAGATCTATTCTGATTTGTGAACGTGCTGTAGAATTTACTGACCCTTTGGTCAAATTTGGATCCTGCAGATTGTGTGAGGCTCCTCGTTCACAGTTACGAACATTCGTCTTCTATAAAAGAACATCAAGTACTAATATCCTAATTTATTCAAGTTTTTCAAATCTTTGATTTTCTAATCAGTTGTGTCAATATTTTCAGGCTGAAGAACAGGCGAAGAAGAAAAGGACTTTCCGTAAATTCACCTACCGAGGTGTCGACTTAGATCAGCTCCTAGATTTACCACAGTATGTATATTTTCATTTGCTTTACCCAACTTATTGGAATTTTCCAAAATGAATGGACTGCTGGACTTGAGGATAATCACGCTAAACTTAAAAACAAGTTGAAATTTTTAACTTTCCTTCGTCATTGTTACCAGTAAACTTTATCTTGTTCATCATTTTTCAGATTTTTTATCTTTAATAATCAGTTAAACTATCCTCCTATTACCAATTTCTGGTCAAGACTCTACAGGTTCAGTGAGGTCCATCCTAAAAGAATGCATGTACTTCCTCTTCAGCCTGTCTTTAATTTTACATGTATTCATTACTTTTCAGGGAACAATTAGCAGAATTACTATGCTGCAGAGCTAGGAGAAGGTTTTACAGAGGATTGAAACGTAAGCCAATGGTCTTGATCACCAAGTTGAGGAAAGCCAAGAAAGAAGCGCCTCCTAATGAAAAACCTGAAGTTGTCAAAACACATCTTCGAAACATGATCATTGTCCCTGAAATGGTCGGTAGCATTGTTGGAGTATACAACGGCAAAGCTTTCACACAAGTTGAAATTAAGGTAATGAAACATTCTCAAAAATAGCTAATACAGAGTGGCCACAGTAAGACAATACCTAGAAATGTCAGGGGATTTTAAGAAGTCAGAAAAAATGGTAAAGTGCCAGAAAAAAATAGTTAAGTTACCCTTAGCAGCCTCCCAGAATGAGTTTGATATTTTGAAGGGAAAAGATTGCCTGAAAACCATTCAAAATTTTGCCTGTTTAACTATCTGGGATATCGTCATTTGCCAGGGAATTTTACCTATATATGTCAGGGAAATGACAGGAAATTTTATTTTTTAAATTTTGTGGCAACCCTTTCAACAAATTCAGTTCTGATTTTACTCTTGTATTGCTGGTTAAATCAAGTCCCAACTCTATAAAGACAACAGACTGGTCAATCCCAGTCTCTGACAATGGTGAGTTTTGTACCCTATTAGAAAAAAAAGTTGGGTCAGGGCGGAGGTAGTTGGCAAGTCCATGGTTCCTAAGAGGAGTCCTCTGTTTTCAGCATTTTTCAAAGTTCAAAGAAACTATCAGGAAATCGGTGTCCAAATATTGAACTTGGGCTTCTTTCTAGTGAATTTGTCATGACTTGTAGGTCAGAACAAAAATAGTCATCTCCCCTCTCTATTAAGTGACATTTCATCTCAAGGGGGAGTCATTGTTTCCATGACTCTCTCGAAGACCCTGTGTTAAAGCTAAAGCCATGTGAATACTTGATGTTCTATCCTAATGAATTATAATAATAAACAAAAGGTTTGATTTTCCGCTCTCTAATTTGGTGCGCTTGAAAAAGCAAGAATATGTGAATGACATCAGCTGAAATATCATTTTCAGGTTTTTTTAGTGCACTGCATTTAAAATTAAATTTTCACTCCAAGAAATTCCTTCAGCAGTGGAAAATGAAGTGTTTTTTCCCCAGGAAATTAAGGATGTATTTATTTAAATCAACAGTTGAGTAAAATAAATTATTACAAACCTGTAAATAGATTCATTCTGGAGGGTTATAGGGTGGAAAGTCCTCTCCAAACAACATTAATTGTGAAGCACCCATGGTGTCCTTATTGACATCAACATCAACAATAGTAGGCATTTTGAATCAATCAATTCTGGCCAGCATCTAACTAGGTTCAAATTCAGATGTGTAGTCTTACCCTATTCATTTAATCATTTCTGTTCGTGCTCCTCTCTATTTTGTCATGAATTCAGTTGATCAATTTTATTCTTGCAGCCTGAAATGATTGGACACTATCTGGGAGAATTCAGTATGACCTACAAACCTGTCAAACACGGAAGACCTGGTATTGGAGCTACCCACAGTTCACGGTTTATTCCTCTGAAGTAAAAAATTATTGTCAGCTTTTCTTTAATTTTTAAGTTTGTAACATGTTTTATATATTTTAAATAAAACTTGACAATGAAATGCATTGTTTTACTTTTTTTGATCTCTAAATGAAGATAATGGCCCAACTGTCAACTGGAAGAAGCAAGAGGCCATAACTAACTTCCCATGATGTCTGGCTTTTGCCTGTATTTATGACTTCTGAATGTATAGCCAAAGCCTCCCTTATTTCCAGTGTTCGAAACTCACAGGCGCCAAATGCGCCTTAGAAATCGATCATGGCGCCTAAAAAATGAAGACTCCGCGCCAAGGTGGCCCCTCCAAAATGAAGGCTCACCAACGTGGCTCCTGAAAAGTGCCCCCCCCCCCTTAACAAAAAAAATTCTAATTTTTCTGTTCGGTGATTTTTCGAAAGTTACAGCTACTATTTCTGTGTAACTTAAACATCTTTCGTCTGACTTTTCACAAAATGTGCCGTGATATATAGGCTAAAAGTCTTCAATAGCCCCTAAAAAGTGAGCTTGATGGGCCACATGGCTCCTAAAATTCTAAGGTGAGTTTCGAACACTGCTGATTTTGTATAGTCAGTAACACCAGCCAGCAAATAAACCCTTAAAATTGACTCATCAACTGTTAAAAATGAGAAACTTGACTTGATTTGTTGGACTTCATAAATATCTTAGAAAATCCCCGAACAGCATGTATACTGTATTTTACATGTTCACAATGTTTCATCAAACCTGAAAATACTGAATATAAATTATATTCAATGAGGAAGGAAGAGTACTTGGAGATCAAAACTAACAGACAAGCACCAAGTTACACTAAAGAAAAAAGTAGGAGAGGCTTTGAATTCAACTACGTAGTTGTAAATTAACTCCTGTCAAAAATTCAAAATCTAGAAAACATTTTTTGAATGTGAAAACAGTGGTTAAAATTTGTCTGAAACATTGAGTTTCTTGAAGTAACTTCAATTCAAACCTCCATTTCGTAGTTCATACTTAGTGCCTCTCTGTTGAACACTGTTCATATCATACCCTTAAAATGTACATAAATGAATTTATATCTGGGTGTCATACTTGAGGAAATCAGATGAGTCTGCTGCTGTTTTAGAAACACCAATTTACTGAGATTTGAAAAACCGAGAAGGTAAAGGTTAATAACTTTAAGTCAGAACTTAAATTTTTCAGAAAAAGATGAATTCCCCCCCCCCCCTCTGCGTATTTTATCACTAGACATGGTTAAGAAACAACATCTTTTATTCAAGTATGATCTTGTTTTTTGAGGAACAGAATTTTCCTGTTGATGGGCAAAAGAAATATTACTCACAAATCCATTTAGAAAAATTCTCAATTGCCTGCTGCGTTATCATGGAATCTAGTGAAAATCCTTACTAAAAGAAGGATCGTAAGTATGGCTTACAATGAAACTCATTTTCCAGGACCCTACAGACCAATTAGCTCGGTCAGTTGTTTGACTTTTTTAATATTTTGAGTGTCATGAATTTCAATATTCTTCATTGTGCTTAAACTTTTTCAAGGATCGACTCGATTCCAACTAGTTTTGATTTTATTAGCGAGCAAAGAGTAGTTCAACTAGGACTTTTCCTTGTTGGTGTTGCTTTTAGAAATGAACATATTAATGCCAAAAATAATCCATGATCGTAATAAACGAAGCGCTCACTCTGTTTCACCAATACCATGCCTGTTATTTGAGTACCTATGAACCTGAATAAATTTTTTCCAGATTTTTCCAAGCATTCAATATTAACTTTATTTTCCTGGGGTCATAATCATGCCCCCCCCCCTCAATTACCATTCGCCGGGGGTGCATAAAGAGGTGGTAGTTTTTAGCGTTTTGTCTTGGCTCAAGATTACTCAAGGGGGTTTGTCCTAAACTCCAAATCAATTTTTCTCATTAAATTGCAAAAACAGCCCCACTCCTCCCATCATGGTTGCTTTGCTTATATTCCATCCATTTGTCAGCAGGCCTGGACTGGAACACAGTCGACGGTCGAACCTCAGACTTCGCAGATCACCACATTACCGTTTTTATCAATTAAAAACGGTCCTTACTTTAATTCCTCACTTTTCGGGAGCTGATAAACTGAAAGCCCTCTGTTACTTATCATTTAGAAGAGAACTCATCATTTTAGAATTTGGCGGCTCCAGTGCCGATGCTCTATGATTGGTCCATGAGCATCAAGAGGAGTGGTGTCATAATTGGCTGCTTTGTGTTTTCACCTCATACGTAGGACCAGGAGGTTGGCTTGACTTTTCCATTTTCAGTGGCTGGCTGTTTATAATTTTAACGTTTTTGTCGGTGGAATCATCTTCTTTCGTTTAGTTAATGTATGAGTGATTAATTTATACTTGTGGCTCGTCCACACTTTTTCCAATTTATTCGTTTTGCCGGGCAAACATGTACTCAGGACCAGCTCGCCACTCATCTGCTACCGTAAGTTTTATAGGTTATATCAATCTTGGCCACAACTATTTTCGTACTTTTTCAATGCTGCTGATAATGCTGAGCTAACTTATTGAGATCTCAAGCTATAGCAAGCTCTCTACTCCATCCTCAATCCACATGTTTCGGCCTTTTGTGAGATTTTCTCCCAGAATGGGTCGCAAATGACTACCCCAAACCTCGTTCGATTACTCACCGTTGAAAAGTTATAACCCACGACAGAGTTCAAATATTCATCCCCCAATCGTTTTATTTTTGCCTCATTACTACCAGAACCTTTTACTTACATTTCTCGCCATTCATAAGTATGGTTACTGTAGTAAACACAATCTCTCGCTAATGAGCGCATCAAATAGGCTGTTGATGTGTAATTTTCTTAATTCTGTCTTAAATTGTGCGTAAGGTGCTCTCGATCCTCCAAATTGTCACTGATGATTAATGTGTTCACAAAGAATGAGATAAATGTTCCTTAGAGAGCTTAGTTCAACATTTTAAATCACCGCAATAGTGGAGCTTATTCTCAATGATATTGGTCATGAGATACTTACTCATTACAAATCTGGTACAATTTTCTTACCGTCTATCCACGGATCTTCTACTTACCTCCTTGAAAATTAGCTTGTCTACTTCTACAAGATGTCCTCTACCGCTAGTTCATCTCACTTACATAGCGGTTCGCGAAGATGTCTGTATCAAATCAAGCCAGCGATGGCAAGAATGAGTTATTGGATATAGCTTAGATCTCCGACTGTTACAGCAGTATCTCTTGTGAAAAATCTAACTGAATCAGAGAAATGATCTGTACGGTCCATGGAAGTGCATTTGTATTTCAGCCTGCAATCTTGAGGTCAGACTACAAAATGCCCCCAATCCTGAAAAGTGGCAAATTCATTTATTTTTATGTTTGGAGCAGCAATCAATCAGTATTACTAGCAAAATGATGTCATTTGCTTGTAGTTTTGACAATTTTATCTTCATACTGGTCAAATAGCTTCAAAAAAGGGCATGATTTCTACGTTCACGCTTTACAATGGGTCAGTTGCGCTTGCAGTGGAAGCCTGTTTTGATACTGCAAGCTTATAGATCAGCAAACATTAATAATACTGGATGTAGAAACTCGCTGTCAAACAAATCTTGTTATTTTTTGCCGATCGATGAACTCAATTCATGGGATCACAATTGATCACGAATAATAGCCTACAACTGGAAACCACGTTGTGAGGAAATTGCATTTAAAGTATTGTATATGGTTTACTATGCCGACTGTGCTTTGCAGGTACCCTGTTTTTGGGTGGCCCAACCTTTTTACTGAAGGATGCCAGGTTGCTATTGCGATACATTTTCGGTTTTCTTAGAAACATACTTAATTTAAAAAATCAGTTTTTAAGCTGTTATTGCGTCCAACAATTATTTTTGTTGAAGTTAGAAAGAAAAAATCATTCTAATTGCTCAAAATTAATGCGAAATGAACGAGCAGTCACTATCAGTGATACTTGCGAACTGAAAACAACGTAACCGAGCTGATGAACGCAATAAAGGCCCTCACGCGTCAAGGCTGTTTTTCCACCCATTACTCCAGGAGCCTGACCTAACTTGGGGTAAAAAAGGGTTTTTGGCCTCCAACCGGTACTGAATCATGTTCTACCTATACCACGGTATAGTCCACGGTACGGAGAATCTGAAAAGCTAATGGGGGTAATAACGACCTATACGCGCATAGGCTGTCATTAGTGCGGGGTCCTGAATTATGTGACCGGCGCCACTGACCCATTTTATAGAAGTTATGTTATGAACCAATCTGGTTTCCATCTTGGTATGGCTTTTAGATTCTCTGGATCTGAAAACTAAAGGTAAGCTCACGCAGTCAAGTTTTAGTTAGAGAAAGTCAACTCAGACTCAACATTAAGAAGCACCTGCTTAAAATATCTTAAACCCAAACACTGATTGCAAATCATCTACAGCCAGCCGTGGCTTACTAAGTTAAGGAATTACTTACAAATAATATGGAGTTAGTCAAATTTCTCATCATCTCCACACCGCCAGACACATGTGCAGAAACCCTTGGCCTCACAAACTTGTGTCTTGAAGATTTTCTCACCAAGAGCACAAATCTTTGCCAAAAGACCTACCCTCCTGCAAGAACTTGCTTAGTAAACCAGCAGGTCTTGGTGTTGTTCAGCAACAAGCTCTGCTGAATTACCTGACATGTTTATCTACTTAAAAATTTTATGAGGACTCTGAGAGTAGGTTGTCAAATTAGTATTTCCTAACTCTAATGCACCTCACTTTATTTCTGTCAGGGTGCTGGACCACTGGGTACGCAGTTTAAGTTTACAATCGCTGAAACTTGTGAAAAGATTAAAGAAGAATTCAACTATCTTCAAGCTCAGTACCATCAGTAAGTAAAATTTACATTTTATTTTATAATCATCTTGGAGCCCTCAAGTACCGTGTATCTTTTAGCGGTCTTGGATCGTATGAGAACTCAAAATAAAATTGTCCTTAACTGAATCAGGTTTGGCTAAACTATTCTGCATAATGCATAAAGCAATAAGCTTGAGAAATAGGTCATATACTGTAGCCTATAATATAGTACTCTCCATCTAGGCAAAGAAAAGACAGTGAATACTATCATCCTGGGCCTAAGTAATATGTTCAATGAATAAAAATTCCTTTGAACACTACACAACTTACAAACAAACACAGAAGGCCAAACTTACACAAAACTTGTTCAAACATAACTTCAGTATAACTTTCTTAAAGGCAGGCATTTACATCAAGTACTTTTTGAGTAATCCTCTGGAATAAATAATGAAATTATTTTACTGTTTCCAGGTTGAAATTGGAATGTGAAAAAATAGCGTCAGAAAAGACTGAAATGCAGCGGCATTATGTCATGGTACGTAAGCAATGTGTTCTCCTGTTCCATCTGATGACTGATTTTTTTTTTCATCTCTCTTTTTTCACACTCCTTTTGAATTCAATCGAAATTTATTTCCTTCTTGTAACCACTTGGCAATTAAAAATAGTTCTCTCTTCGAAGGTTAAATTTATTAAGGCAGTAACTGTAGAAATTTGTATGACCATTACATTGAGACTTCTTGTCTCCCTACAAGAATATTAAAACGTCGAAACTATTAATGCCAACAAAATTAGTCATTAAATGTTATGTCAAGGAGAATAAAATGAAATTCCAAGGAGACGAAAGGAAAATTCTCTATCATTACATTGAGAATGAACGTGGGACACCAGGTGGACAAGAGATCTGATGACCTTCCACTATTTTCTTGAACTTGCAAAATTGTAGTTGCAGTGAAGATTTTTTATTTAATCATGCATTCCCTTATAAAATGCTTTAAAAAAGGAGATAGCACCACTGGCTTTCTCTGCAATCAACTCCTGAGAAAGCACATCAAGTTGAAGCAGTCATCAAAACAACAGACCACTCCTTCTAAGAGAGTCTACCTTTGTTGTGCAATTGGCTGTTTTCAATCCGAAGAATTTTAATTCTTTTTGGCTTTTTTCCAAGAAATGCTTGAACGTCAGAACACACCTGTCTTAAATTCTCAGATAGTGAAAAAAGGAAAGCTCACCTCGATGATCAATTTGGTGTTGCATTATTTCCATGTACATGTTATAGTGCTGGAAAATTCACTTTTCAGTCTTTTTTTCTCAAAGTTTGCGCTCGGAAAGGTCCAATCTTCCGTCTATCAAGCCTTGGGGGTTGTGTAAAACATTATATATTTACAAAAATAATGAAATTCACCTGGTCACGTATTCGTGTCCCTGTGTAATTCATGGAATTTCATTCCTGGCAATTCTCTACAGTCTCAGATAGCTGATTGTTGGTCCCTGGTTAAATGAGATCTGATCATTTCATTGCATGTAACCTATCTTAAGGTTACTTTCAACTTGTATCGTATCTGATATCATTATCCTACTCTTGACTTTTTTGCTTTCAGTATTATGAAATGTCCTATGGATTGAATGTTGAAATGCACAAACAGGTAAGATGTGGATTACTTCATTCTTTCATAGCTTCAAATATGCCATTGATTGATCCATTTATTAGGCCTCTAGCTATTTTCAATAGCTAGAGGCCTTCACCACCCCTCACCACTTTCCTCTTCTTACCATGCTGTCTAACCTCCAATACTCTGCAGCAATGAAAACCTAGGTCATGATAGAAATTTTGTAAAGATACATGAAGAGATTCTGAGAACTACTAAATCTTAAAGTAAGTTCACAACTGTCAAGATTTGAGTATAAATAGAGCAGGAGATGGAGGAATGGTGCTAGGTCCACACCTTTTCACTGGAAAATCAAAGCCAAGAAGTTCCAAAAATTATAATTAGAGTCGAAAATATTTTTTTAACTCTATTCTTGGCTTTGATTTCCCCGCGAAATGGTGTGGACCCAGCACCATTTCTCTACCTTCTTACATACAGTATTTGGGCCACTTCTTAGTGTTTTTTTTTTTTTTTTTCCTCATTGGAGCAGGAGATCGATATTGCATGTTAAAAATTTTAAAATTTTGTTAAATTATGATAAGTAGAATCTGTGGTTGCAATTATTTTCTCAAAGTTACCCATGGTCATCAATTTATTTGCAACGCATGAGATTTTCACCTCCCTGGATAGGAATTTTCAAGTTCATTAATGTTGGATTCTTGAACCTCCGCAGTTTTCCAAGTCATCTCTACTAGAGAACTAGAACTCTCAACTAAAGAAAGACGAGTCATTTTTTTTTTTGAATAGTGTGACAGCTGATCAATTTATCCGGTGCCACATAGAAGAGCATAGAAAACTTCTGAGTGTCTTTTCCCATAATTAGATTCTCTATAAGCAGAAGGTTTTTCAAAAGTTAAGCAAAAGTTAGTGTTAATTCTAGGGGGGGAAATCCAAGTAGAAGTTTTGTTTGAAGGTTAAGGCACTCGAAATCAGGAATTAACCTAAAAAGTAAGAGAACTAGAGAATGAAGAAATTAAAGGAACCCTGCACATCTTTGTAGAAAGAGAATGATAGGTCCCATTCAAATCAAGTTTGTGAACATTTGCAAGTTCTGTGAATCGCTTGTTTATCTTTTTATTCCTAATGTATTTATTTTTCTTTTCAGACTGAAATAGCGAAAAGATTAAATGCAATTATTGGTCAAGTGATTCCTTTCCTAGCATCAGAGGTAAGAATCTTGTTCAAATTAAATTGTTTTCTTCTTGTAACATCTTAAGCTAGTGCGCAAAGGTCACAATAGCAGACAAATTTTAGGGTTGACTTAAAAAAAAATCAAAATGACACTGCTGAAACATATACAGCCATTTTAATTCAGGAATGACAAAAGTTCCCAGTTGCTGTATCTTGGGATTCAGCTCTTTTGCTGCAAGGCCAAATTTCTGATATGCTTTGCAAAAAACCTCAGTTTTCATTTGTGTTTCATTTCAATGTGAGATTCACCCTTCTGCTTGAAAGTAATGATGGAAAGAAAAATTCACATTCACCTTTGAAAATTTTCTCACGGTTGAATATTAACCTCAAGTTTGCGACCATCTGCAAATTATGAGTTTGAGAAATTTTTGCAAGCCTGTTTTACTACGCCTGAGAGTTCTTATGCTGCTGAGAGCCAGTGCCGTTAACCACACTTGACAATTTTCATTTGTCATAGATTTCGCAAGTTGTTTATTGTAGGGCCAAAATTCCGTCTGTTCAACCGTTAATGGGGCCAGAAGAAGAGCCCCTCGACAACTTGGGTTGGATTCCTCAGCCTCACAGAACGTACCAAAAGTGGTTTTTGCGCAATTCATCAGTTCATTGGACATTTGCAGCCTTCCTACAGATGAAATTTTCGCCTGAAGAGTCAGGAATTGACTCATCGCTTGCCTTATCTCCTGCTTTAAAGCTTGCGCTCTTTAGGGGGCGTAAGCGACCTCAACAAAAAATTTCAAATAAATACTATATTTTTTTTATAAAGGTGACTACCTATTTTTACCCCTCAAAGCACACATAAAATCTAGGAGAGTTTCAGATTTCTTAAGAATAAGGGACACTTCCCCTGGTCTGTGGCTTTGACCATCCCAAAAAACTGAGAAAAAAGCATGGCACCAGTTGTTTGGGACACCCTGAACGGAATACTGTGATAGTTTCTAGGTTAAAAGTGTGAGCTCAGCTTTCACTGAATCCACAATAGGCTCCTATTTTCCCCTCTTTGAAGCTAGCAGTATATCTAATTTTGTTTATCTTACCTTTTTTATTCCAGCATCAGCAGCAAGTTGCCACAGCTGTTGATCGGGCCAAACAGGTTACTATGTCAGAACTGAACGCAATTATTGGGGTGAGTGCCAGTGGAATACAACTTGATACAGAAAAGTAGAAATTTTTTGGGTTTTCATCTCCAATTCTTATCTTTTTTTATCCTCAGTCTTACTTTTATCTATTTTGAGTTTGCAAGTAGGTTTAAGTATCTAAGAATTTTTTCTCTTCACTTTTATTAGTGCATTCCTTCTCTTACAGTATTACAAAATTTTCCTTTGATTTGACAATATTTCTTAGCGGCAAACCTAAGCGACTTCATTTCTTTCTTTCTTTTCAAATTTGAAGAGCAAAAAAACCTAATCGATTGTTTATATCAAGTGTTTCAAACCATACTAGCAAATACTATATCCCATAAATAATTACATAAAGAGTCAAATTATCAAACATTTAACCTTTTTGTATACATCCTAATTTTATAAATGAGGCCTTAACTGAAGTGGAAGACCGTAGTGCAGAAAAATGTGTAAGACAGAGACAATGGAACCACCGTTTGGAAGAGTGCTCTCTGAGCTTTGTGTGTGAGATCTTCCAAAAATGCCAAACCAAACATCGGTAACAACAGTTTGAAGCTTTAGCTAAGACTCTAGCATTATACTATTTGGGATCAGCACAAGGCTAAAATGCAAATTGTGGGACAGCTTATCGACCATCAGGGATCAAAACTAGATGATGTGTTTGTGTGAAAGGTATTGCCTTAATGATGGCAGAACCAAGTCGGCAGCCATTCAAAACAGCGCCTCCTAGGTGCATGTTTAAACCATTCTTCCTCCATCTTACACTAACTTATTTCGATTTCCTTTCGCTGTTTGTAAGACATTTTACAGGAAACGCAAAGAAAGAGTCAAATTTTCATACTTTAAAGAAACAAGGTAGTGTGTATGAAAAAACTGCTTTTTTAATGATGCAAATAATGTTTATTTCACAATAACTTTGAACCTTGGAACTGTGGGTATCTAATATTTATTCAGAACGAATGAGCGCCATCTCAGCTTCACAGCGGTTTTTAACACTAAGGGTCTGCTATTAACGGTGTCAATGCTACTTTTACGCATTCTAACGAAGTTACCAAAACTAGATTCCATTTGGTGGTTTCAAAATCTCATCCATATTATATGGTCTCAGCTGCAAAGATAACGCTTACCTATATAAAGTCTCAGCTCAGAAAATTTTTATGATGGGTACTTAGTTTAATCCATAATGAAATTAAAGTTGCATTCCACATTCTGATTTAGTCTCCAATACAATGTTTACTAGATTTACTCAATTTCGAGGATTGCCAACTTTTCTTGATGTCGAACTTTCCTTGCCTAACCTGTGTTTAAGTCATTGCCTAACGGAAATAAATATTAAAGTGTATTTGTAAGAATACAAGTGCTGAAAAATTACAACGTTGAGTTTCATCTTTCAGGGAAGCACTCAGGCCTCTTTTTACTCTTGAATCTTGACTTGAGTAGTAAAAGAGCCACCAGCCAGTATCCTTGAACTGATTTTGTGTTAATTTAATAAAAAATGTTATTTTATCCATAACTTCATTATCCCACAGGGATATTTCAAACTTAAACTTATACCATCAATGCATCACGTCATCTTATAACTTCGTAGATGACTTTACTTTTTTCGAGTGAATCTGGCTGTGGCTCTGATTTGATTGAATCTATTGGAAGTGGATCCATTTATATATTCTTCACCTCTATTTTTGCCTAATTTTCTAAGTATGACCTGGGTTTCCTTCCGGCATTTTGGATACAACTCTAAACTAACAATGCTCTAGGAGCTCATAGTAGTTTCGTATATTTAAAGTTGAGTGCACTTTTCTCCCTTTTAAATTCTTGAATTTAATCACTCCTCTTCAGTTTTGGAACAAAGAGTACCTTTCACTGTCTGGCACATTAGTCTCTCTTTGAAGTAATAAACACTGTCAGGTACACCTTAACTGTCTTTAAGTGCTTTCACCGATAACAGGTCCTTCGCAGAATTCAAATTTTTATTCTTATTTCTTGATAAAACTAGAGTTAAATACTGTTTTAGTTAAGTTTTTGGACTTAGGGAGTATTCATAAACTATGCAATGCACTTTTTTGGCATTTTTGACCTCCTGTTACGTTTTTGTGACGTAGCTCCCCATCCTTAAGCATGTAAAAACAAAATAGCGTAATGCTCTCCCCGACCCCCCCTTTTCCTATAAATATATTATTGAAACGAAAAAAGAGGAAAAATTTCATAGAGTTATAGTACCTACATTGAGGATGCATGAGACTTCAGAATTATGTTTAGTTCATAATACAGAGCAGGTTAATTTAGAGAAAATTGTAAATTGTATAGGTAAGCTCCCAGTTGTAAGGCTGGAATCTTTTCTTGCACAAGAATTGTCCATTTTTTTAAAGCCCATCAATCATTAGGACCAATTGAATCAATTTTTTGCAAAAAAAAATTAGTTCTCAGTAATGTTTTAAAATTGCCAAAGATGGATTATTTTCACAGAAATGGGTAACTGAAAGAATTTTAAAGGGGAAATTGGAGAATTTTCTCCTTATGATAAACAAAGTTTATGGACCTCCCTTGGGAGATTTTCTTTGTTGCCCATTGATACTAAGTATTAACTTTACACAGTAATTTTTAAAAGTTCCAACAGACTTATGTCCTTCTGCGAAAAAACGATTGAATTTACCCATGACCTCAAGAGCTCTGTCACATGGAATAACGAACGCTAATTCTTTTTTCATGCACAGTATGGCAACAATTACGCTGTACTCTGCCTCAAGGCTGTTAATTCAAAAGGTGTGATAGCTCACTTTGTGAGTTCATATTTTGAAACTCAGCGAGGAAAATGTGCTGAATGAGTAGTGAGTAATTGGTAAAACTGAGTCTTTTGGGCGAAATAAAATACCATCATGAACTCTACTATATTAGGCATTGTACTGTGCATCGTAAGTCAGAGCGACTTTTTTCATCATGAAGCCTTGAGGGAGTGGATTTAGGTCAAGTTAAAGGCATAATGAAGGGGCCTTAATTTTTCAAGTTAAAACTTTGGCGTAAAATCCTTGGAACATGAGCAATTGGCGAATTCAGCATCTTGTAGGTTAGATTGTGAGAAGTGAAGCAGTTAGTGAGTATCTGGCTCCAAAACTTAAAGCACCTGGTTTTAGTGGTAGTGGGTGAGTTAATAGTGACTGAAGTTAGAGTTTGTGGGTGAAAAGAATTTGGTGAGCAGTAATGAACATCAAAGTATTCAAAGTGAGCATTTCGTTTGGCAGCCTTGCTTCTTCTGTAAACCCAAATTAGATCCCAATACTTGTTAGAGATCACACACCTTCTCTACTCTCCAGGCAACAGGTCGTTTAAACCTGTTGACTCCTTTTCTAATATAGGTTTATTTTTTATAACCTACAGCTGCTCTTAGTAAGCACCGCAAAAATTCCACTTAGTTTTTGGATTAGTTGATTACTGGATATTGGCTTTCGCATTAATTTTGTCGTATTAGCTGTTTATTTCTGGTAATTGAGTAACTTTTTGCTTGTTTTAGCAGCATCAGCAGCAGGGCTTGCAACAACTCTTGGTATGTTGTTATTCCTCTTCATATCGTACATGTCTCTTGGCCTTCCATCCCTCCTTCAATCCTAAGTGCTTTTTTTCCTCTATTAATTCCTCAGCTACCCTAGATGTCTAATTTAATCCTCAACATGAAGATCAGTCCCACTTTTTTTTTTTTTAATTCAGGTCCGTGGTATTGCTTTTCCTTGATCCTATGAAACACTTTCATTATCAAAGAATTTTGGATTTCTAATAACTATTAAAATTTTTCCGAGTCGGCGAAATGGAGCTGTTGCAGGGCAGCAGCCTTATCGAAGTTTATCAGTATTAAAAATGTGGAGTGTACTAATGACTTTCCAACAAAGATTCCTCCCTTAACCAACTTAAGGACCATATTTTTTTGAATCCTGTTATATTTAGGTTGCAATGAGATAAACTATGGATCACCTCTGTTCATCCTTTTCCCAGCAAAATATCACAAGTGCCATCATTAAGAAAATAGAAGATAAAGATAAAAACAAAAAATGCATACAATTTTGCAGTTTAGGATTGTCCCTGATTAAGAAGAATAATTCAGCGAACAAATTGTAAATTTTGGATAGCGTAAAGAACAAAATTTAATCAAATGATTAGTCAACGAATTGTGGGTGTCATAATGGAGACTATCGTAAGTGCCTGTTATGAAAGTTCTTCAAGAATGTTTTTTAAAGGTCTAACAGCTAAAATGTCTTTGGGATGAAACAATTTCTAATGATTAATAGTGAATTCCAAATTTTATTTTGTCTCTTAATAATCCTATTGCACTCTTTATGTTGTACTTTTGTTTAAAAATGATCAACACCTGTGATATTTTGTTCTTTCATGCTTTATTGTTCCCCTTTGCTACTAAACAATGACGAACCCAGTTTCCAATGTGATTACTTGCTCCATTCAGTGTCAATTTTCTGCAGAATTGTTATTCTCCAACCAGTTTGCTAGTCTCTTCTAAGGTGTGAAGATGTCTCAAAGACTAAAAAAGAATGTAAACCCTGCGCTTGTCTCAAAAAAGCCAGATCCATTTCCCTAGAACGCAATTCTTTACTGATTAAAACTGTCCAAAATCTAATCATAATGATTTCCTAATAAATGTTACATCACCTTAACAATAAATTTTCCTCACGTAATGTAACAAACCTACCAGCAGCTATTAAGATATGCCACTAATTTTTTACTGTTTGGTTTGGAACCTATTTGCATGTTGTCTTGTGGTTTTCTCCTGTGGAAGCATGTTTGCCCTTTGTGAGTCATTTACATTTGCCCTCCAACTAACTTCCCATCAATATTTTCTGTTTCTTTTGCACAAACGTATGAATATTTGTTTGTCTTTGCCTTTTTTTTTTTTTCTTCTTTTTAATGATAAATTGTTAATATGTACTTCATTGATCTAAGATTTTTGCCGTAGAAAAGATTTTGTTAAACCAATTTACCGCAAAGACATGTAAATTCATAATTAATCAATGAAATCAGCTGCGAAAAGTAAGTTAAATTATTTTTGTATAGGCCATCTTACTGAACAATATTTTAGAATGATAGGTTTCTCGACACCAAGGTTTTTTAAACTATGTATGCAACGTATTCTACATGCAATATTGTTGAGAAACTGAAGAAAGGATCTATCTCCTCTCTTCCCTGAAAAATGGCCCTTCTAAGAAACCTATCCCTGAATACAATTCAGGAAAATGAGTACAAAAAACGAGAAGACTGTATCAAGTTACATTGATGTCAAAATGATTGCTTTAATATTCAGATGCATTTACTTGAAAATAATAATAATAATTTGCCTTTACAGGGAAACAGTTGCAGGTGTACTTTTCTTATGTAAATACATACATCGAATGTTATCTCTTTTATCATTTAAGTACAACATGTTAGTTAAATTAATTTGGTGTTATTCCTTACTGCGAAAGTAATTAGGAGAAGTATTTATCTGTGTCAAGTGTTTAATTTTCACCCTTCTGGTAGCAACAGATTCATGCTCAACAAGCTCCACATGGCGCTCCTGGAGGAACTGTTCCATTTTTGCCACACATGGCTGCACCTGGAGCCCTCCTGGGTTTACCTCATCCGCTCTCAAAACCCATAGACCCTCGTGAACCGATTCCTCTCAAGCGATCGTCCTCTATACCCGAGGACCGATTAGTGAGTACAATTGTTTCTTATTTTTTGTGTGTTGCCAAAAATTTGTACCATTCTCTCAAGAATTTCTCCTGAAAAAGGAAGAGATCAAGAAAAAAAAATAACTTTCAGTGAATAAAATTAATAGGTTTCCTTACTTCCAAACAGCATGATCGAGTTTTGCCAGTTGAATTTTTCACAGCAAGCAGAGGTCCTCTAAGTTTCCTGCCAAGGATTGATTCATTCTTAAGTTTCTCTTTATCTCAAGAACATTTCAAACAGATTGATTTTATTGATTTTACCAGACTAGTCTGTGCAATGGGAAAGTGGCAGGAAATTTTTGCTAAGTTGTAGAATAGTCGTTCTTACACACAATTTTGTGAGAAAAATTAATGAACAAGTTGGAAAATCATTTCTAATATGGAAAGAAAGCTGATCAAAATCCGACCAATCATAAACCAACAGTCAAATTAACGTAGCAAGACAATGCCTGAAGATGATTTCAGCCAATCAGCAAACTTTGTTTTCCCTCGCCTTGCTACATCATCAGCGCCTGCCGAAAATATCGTTTCAAATGGGTCCCATTTTTGGCATTTCACTAAGTCTCTTCAGGTTAAAAAAAATCTGAAAAAATTCCTAGAAGCTTAGTTCCTTCTGTACTTTCAGAAAACGAATTCAAAAAAATGAACGCCACTGACTCATTTAATTAAACAGAATAAAAAAAAAGGAACTTTAGGGCATCTAGAGAGTTGCATCATCCTATTAAGGCAATCACTTTTTGGCCCTAAACTGGGCCCATTGTGATGCTGTTCCCAATATGTCTGTGTCCATGGTCTCTCCTAGCTGGCCTATCTCTTATGACCAATGCCCTCCACTATCAGGCAGAGAAAAATTTGCCAACCAATTTTTTAGCATTAGTAAAAAATGTTATTGTTCCTTATTTCCATGATTCAGATTCAACTTGTAATCCTGATGAAAAATAAGTATAATTACGATTAGTTCTGTGATAAGTTAATATACAAAGAAACTCATGAATTTTTGCAGTGCTTTTGAAAAAAAAATCCGTAATTTTTTGATAGTATAAGGTTACAAAAATAATTAAAGAAACTTTTGTTTCCATTTTACAGCGGAGTCCCGTATCTCCAAGTGTGAACAAGTATAGATCTCCGGAGCCTGACACTAAACGTAGAAGACCTGAAAGTAAAATCCATGCTCCTGTAAGTAATTTTTTAATTTAATACAAATAATATTGATATTTAATAAAAATGGTGATTAATGAAAAAGATTTCTTATTCCGAACTCTGTTATTTTAATTATCTCCAAATCATTATTGGTTCAAAGATGAAATCATGACCAAATTTATTAGTCGCAATTGAGTCTGGAGTTGTAGAAAAGAAGAAGAAAAAAAATCCCATCAAATCAACAAATATTTTAACAATTTTCTCTGTCAAAAGTTACTAAGGGGCTCCTAAAAATTTAATCAATTGCAGAGTTAAAAATTTCATAGAAAGTCTCAATTCTGTAGATTGACCTCTCACTCAAAAGTATCAGAGCATGTTAAAAGTACTTCAACTGTAGATTTTCCTCTCGTCGTATTTGTCTGGTAGCATTTACCTCATGAACTGATAGGTTTTTGACAGGAGAGGGGAGGTAAGAAAGGAGGTCTGAAACCCAATTTTTAGCTTGCAAGTCACACATGTAGAAAGTTATCAAATTGAAATAAAAAATCTACAGAATCTGTAGAAATTCAAATTGTTGAAGTAAATCATATTTTTTGTTTTTCCTCACCAGTCTTTCTCATATCATTGTATTTTGTTTTCAGGAAAGTGATGGTGATAAGAGTGATCAAGAATTAGTTGTAGATGAAGCAAATGAAGTAAGTCTAAGTCCGTTTGGTATTCCTGGATCTTTTTTTTTTTTTTGTTTGTTTGTTATTGGGATAGGAAAAAAATAAAATTCCTGAGAGTTCCCAAAGGAGAAAAACCCTGTATTTATCTCTAAAACTGAAAGAAAATTGATGATGAATCTTAAAGCCCCCACTGCAGCACTGCCAAGTGGCTGGATTTCACCTGACGCAATTGTCAGCTTTATGCTACAAAATATTTTATGTACAGTGCATTTCAAAATGAGTAAATGTCAGTTGGCCTCCAGTGTTTGCTCCCCTCTTGTTTAATGCCAGAATAGCCAAATATAAATTATCTCTCTCTTTGATACTTGGTTATGATGAAACCACCAAGAAATGTATAAAATTTGAAATTTTGTAGATTTTTGCTCATATTTTATTCTTAATATTAACTTTCGTCATACATATCATGTGTAATGTTGGAGAAATGTCAGACAGAATTTTTGCTAACGATAAATCATCTGCAATGGAAACAACAGTAAATCCTCTCTTTCCATTTAAAAAATTTTAATTTAAGTTTTATTGTCTTTGTTTCACAAAAATAGAGATATCATAGAAATTTTTAGTTTTGCTACCCATTTATACATTCGCATGATTTTTTACTTATTTTGTATATGAGGACTTATATGTAACAATGGCGGATGTGGAAAATTACCTTTTCGAAACACATGCAAAAAACTGTTTTGGCATCAAGAAAATTTTGAGAAAATCTTGAGTTATGATCTTCGAGATCTGCACATTATGCCAGAGCCAAACATATTAAATTTTTGTGTGAACAAAACAGTTTTTTAAGCGTGTTTTGAAAAGGTAATTTTTCACATCCGCCATTGTTACATGTAAGGCCTCATATTATTTATTTATCAAATTTTTATCGTCATTCATCAGAATTTGAAAAAATTAGTAACAATTTGTCATATTTATCATTTGTAGGAATCGCATTCAGCTCCTAGTGCAAGTAATGGTCCTCTAGATGCCTCTCATGATAAACTGAGCGGGCTTGGAAGCAAATTGGATCGGCCAACAAGTCATAGTGGTTCCTCCGGCTCTAACAGTCGTACACCCACCCCCACCGCAAAGAGCAAAGATGTACGTCTATTCAGTATCAAAATTTAGATAGAATTTCTTAGTGAGGCTAAATAAGAATACATCTGAATATTACCAAAATTTTCTATTAATTTTATCTTGAAATGCTGCATTTCACAAAATCTTTACTCCAACAGATTTTATAGAGAGGTGCACCAAGCAGAATTTTAGAGAATTTAAGACCCTAAACTGTGAGTTGCACCTGGATTAGCAAGGAAACTGTAAAATATCTCCTGTTCCTTCATAACACCTCAGCATTTTTCAAAGTATTAACAAATTTACAGCACATGGTTTTTGAATTCTTTAACTCATTTCAAATTGTTGACCTGTCTTTGCCAGATACCATTCTTATTTTTGGGATAATGTCAGGTGCTGGGGCCTGATCCCCAATTATGTGTATCTCTAAGCACTTTCATTGGAAAAATATTAAAGGACTTCCTTCAAGTCTCAGTAATCTCTCAATGAAGTTAGAAGAATGTAATTACCTATTTGTTAAGTTAATTTTAAGGGTCAATCGCAAAAATTCGGGAGGACGACATTTATTGAACCCATAGCGCTATTGCTGTAAATTTGGCAAAATTTTACTACTCATGTGCGACATTGTATTTCAGCATAGTTGTTTATCTCGGCAATCCTCACTTTTCCAAGCATTAGGCACCAGTATAAGTGGCACTGAACGGATCTCCAAGATTGAAACATTTAATTCTGTAATTCTTCTTTTGCACGTAAACTGCTGCACTAATTTGTTGAAATTTTTACTGATTCTTACCACCCTTTAACAGGAAAATCAATGAAATTTTCAATCAAAATGCCCACCAATACTGAGTGAAAATTCAAATTACATTTTGTTATTTTGCAATGTGAAGACGCCTTTACATACGTTCTTTAACATGGAGCACAAGGAGACTTTCGTGCAAAATCTAAAAAACTAATTTGTCTTTGATTCTAGCCTTGTTGAGGCACTGTCATTACTCATTTGGCCATGAATGGCAATAGAGAATTTGCAGATGTCTAAAATTTGATTAATTTCATTTATTAGTCAAACTCACTGAGCAAACTGACTACAAGATCATGCTTGGTTTCCAAATTGAATAAATATCATAGCAATTCTGAGGGAATGTTCTATTCTGCTAAAATACATGTACTTCAATGAGAAATGCCACCTTTTGATGTCACATGGTGGTAAATTTTCTCACCTATAAATTTATTCCCTCCTGTTTCCCATATGAGAAATAAATCCTGTGAGCCAAGCTTTTGCTTTTTCGTAAGTAGTAATACAATTTTCCCGCGCAAATTCTCCATTGTAGCTTCGTGTAAAAGATTCTTTCACAAAATTACTTTTTGTATCATTTCAGATTGACAAACCGCCAACTCCTCTGTCGAAACCAAGTACTCCAGGATTAGGAAAAACTCCTCCATCAGCAATTCCCCCAATGGGTCTCGGCTATCCTGGAATGCCACGAAATAGTCTTCCTCCAGAAGTACATCTTTCTTCCTCTGTTGGGTACAATGCCTCGGCGAGAAATTCATTGGTAATATAATTGTTCTTTGTGTATTCTATTATTGTTGCCATGTGAGTTTCAATGGTGTTAGGGTATAAATTGAACCTCTACCAGCCATTTTCTCATCAAGAGGCCCTGTAAAAGTGACATTTTGGAAGTTTTCAAAATCATGTCGGTTTTCAACTTGGACATAGTGTTACATTGAAACTAGCAAATTTAAACATCTCATCTGCTAGAACCAATACTTTTCAAGAACAGTGCAGCACTTGGAGAACCTTATTTTGCAGTCTAACACACTGCAATCAGTTCATTGCCCATTTTAACTTAAGTAGATTTTAGTTTTTTGTTGAGCGGAAAGTTTAAATTAACAAAAAAGAAAAACATCAATTTCTTGCAAGTTGAAATTATAAATTTTCCACCAAGTTCTAATTGTAATTTTGACAACAGCACAGTTTTTTTCACCATTTTGACTTATGACATATCAAAAATTCAGCTTTATCATCCGAGTTCAATATTCCCTTAAAGATGGGAACGTCATCCTGTACATATTATGTATACACATGTGTAATTGCGTCCTTAATTACATTTTTCAATTTTTTGCAATGCTTCATTCATTCTCACTGTTATGTCTTTTTTTCAGCCATCTGGTGAACCGAGGTCATCAACTCCTCTGAATCATGCAAGTGATCTGAGTCTTTCAGCAACTAAATTGTAAGTATTTTTTCTTGTGATGAATATTTTTATTAAATGATAGTGGACGCCTAGCAGAAGGGTGGCAACAGAAGTTTTTACATGAAATATAGGAAGTGCAATGGGCCTTGGGAGGATAGGGTACTGTGGCGGCGAGGCTTCACAGAACGCGGGAGAGCACTGTGAAAGCGGCTCATATGTATGTTTATTCAGATCATCCCGCTAAAATTTTCAAGGTATTACAATGATGGGAAATTGATCTCATCTTCTGACCCTAGATCTAAAAATAGGCCACGCCTCTTAATATAAACAACATCAGAACAAAACACGGTTGTTACGAGATGCTCAAAGTTGTTGCGTTGAACAAACTATGTCTTTTGTTTAGCGGCCCACTGGGGAGGAAAAAATTAACCATTTGAATCCAGCAGTTTTCTTATTTAAGGATCACTGGGAGAAAAAATTTATTTTACAAATGGATGAAATCCATTGCATTATATTCATGTTGTTCATTCCAAAAATCTTTTGCTGCTTCATAAATTTCAGTTGTTTTCTTCTGTGCTTCATTCGTTGTAATTTGCCGGCTTCTCATATAAAACAAAATTTCAGCCTAAGGTATGATAATACCAATATTGAATTTACTTGTTTTTTAGACCTTATTCAATGCATTTAAATGGTAACGGAGGCCCTCCTGCACCTGTAGTCTTGCCAAACGATGGATTAGTATCAATGGGAGTGCCTAAACTAGCCCGACAAACGGTGTCGCTTCATCACGGAGAGGTAGTTTGTGCTGTAACTGTGAGTAGTGTAGCAAAACACGTGTACACAGGCGGAAAAGGGTGTGTTAAAGTTTGGGATATCAGTGCACCCTCAGCTCCCCTGTCCCAGCTTGACTGTCTGGTAAGATCACAATTTTATTATTTCAAATATAAGTTGTGTTTTTTCCCCAACTGCAAAAGTATGTAAACATGTGTAAATAAATAGTAAGCTATTATAAATTTTCGATGACTCATTGATATCTTTAAGCGCACTGGTAGCATATATTTCTGGAAACTTAAAGGTTTGATGTTATGATTATTATTATATTTCTGTTTATTTCTTAATGCTGTAATTCTCTCCTCACTCTTAATTTGGTTTGAGGTAATGGAGGTACGGCTTTATATTAGTTTTCCATACTTAAAATTGTATTAAAATAAAAATAAAAATTAGTAAGACCTAAAAAATATAAATTTTACTACAATAAACTCGATAAATGTATATTATATCATTTCAGTGTCCACTATTTGTGAGGTATAATTAATAAAACTAGAAAAGTAATTTTTCTCTTTTTCTTGTATTAAAGTAATACAAGAACATTCTAGGCCGGTACTTTTGGTGAAATGAATAAAATAATTGGTGTGTTTAAACTGCAAGATATTTCAGGTTCTCTTTTCCTGTAAACTTTTGAATAAAATTAGGTAGACACTTGACACCTATAATCTCAACAGACGTTTTTTCAGGAGAAATTTCTATTCTCTCCCCACTTTCTGGGAATCCGTTCAACATATTATTCTAATTACATCAAAAATCCAATTTCATATAATTTTTGTATATTTTTCAGCAAAGGGATAGCTATATCAGGTCAGTGAGACTCCTGCCCGATGGACGCACACTAATCGTAGGTGGTGAAGCCAGTAATCTCTGTATTTGGGATTTAGCGCAACCAACACCACGAATTAAAGCAGAACTTACATCAAATGCACCTGCTTGTTATGCCTTGGCAGTTAGTCCTGATTCCAAAGTAAGTGGGTTATTATTTATCAAGTCCAAAAAGCTACTTATGTCTTCTGGACTCTTACTATTACTAAAGAATACTGACCCCTCTTGCCTAAAGGGCTGTCTCTTGGAGAAAATATAAAATAAATTCCTTATCAGACCTTATTCCAAGTTCACCTTATGGCTGAAATGGCTTCAAATAAGGTCTGGCAAAGAATTCGTTTTATATTAGTGCTTCAGTTCATACTTTGTCCAGAGGCTCTTCGTGCAAAAGAAAGAAATTAAACACATCTTTCTGAGAAATGGATTGAAGGATTGAAATTTGGAGGCTGGGTCGGGCAAAATCCAATACCAACACTACTTTAGCTAGAAGACTGAGCTGCGAAAGGACACTATGCAGCCTGCAACAGTTAGAAGGTTTTTCTCCAATTTCATGCAGAGACTTGTTTTGTGTGATGCAGCTCCTAAAGTGCAAAAACTGCTCAAATGTGAGGGAACCCACGTCTGTGTGAAGAAATTTTTTGGTGAAATTTATTTTCTATCTTCTTTTTGTTTTTTTTTTGCAAGAAAGTAGGAAAGACAGGAAAGGGTGCTGATATTTTAAGTATTTAGGCTGGGCATACTATTAGAAATTAAGAAAATTAAGGCTGAGATAGCAATTACTTTTTGTTTTAAAGAACTTCCCAACCCCCCATGTAGCTCTCAGTGAGATTTGCAGTATGTACACAAAATAAGTCAACAACTAGCAGGAAAGTTGAAAAGGGCCAACTAGCTCTGGCTTTGTTTTAGTTTCAGGTGGTTTTCATTATGCTCCTTGTCTCAGCCTGGCAGCATCCCTACCTTGACTTTCTCCCAATCGCGTCACATCCCTATGTAGGATGTGTAACCAGCTTTTAGCTAATGCCCTATGTCTTTTTTCAAAACTGCCAACCTGTTCGTATAAATATGCTCAATTAATGGGTTAAGCTCGAAATCTCTGGAAAGATTTATCATAGCAAGGAATCAAAGCCCGAAATCCGTCTCTATTTCAAAATTGTACAAAATTATATCTTTTTCCATTTTTTGTTTCAGGTTTGTTTTAGTTGCTGCTCGGACGGTCATGTAGCAGTTTGGGACCTTCAGAATCAAACTATAGTACGCCAGTTCCAAGGTCACACCGATGGAGCGTCTTGTATAGATGTAACGCCAGATGGTAACACTCTTTGGACAGGTGGCTTGGATAACACCGTGCGCTCATGGGATCTTCGACAAGGACGCCAACTGCATCAGCATGATTTTCCCTCTCAGATCTTTTCTTTAGGGTAAGTCAGGTTTGATTTTTTTTTCTTTGCTTCTTTTTATTATTATTGTTGGCATATCTAATAAACTAAAATTAAACAAACAACTTTGCTAACTTTTTTCAAATGTTCTCGTAAGTAAATCATTTGTATTGTTTTGAAGCAAATATTTTTGACCTTCTCCCTTCTCTTTCATCAAGGAGAGAACAATACTTGAACTAAGATTAAAGTTCTGGCAGAGGAAGGAAACTTGAAAATGTGCAGCATAAATTTCGCCATTCCTTAAAAAGTTATTAAAGATTTTTGATGCATCAGTTCTAACTTCCTACTCATGGAAAATACAATAATCTACTCAAGTTAAATTGGACACTAAACATTCTTGTGACAGTTCTTGCAGTAGAAAACCATGACAACCTTAATATCAACACTTTGTTTCAGCTGTGATACGTTGTTTACACTGTGAACAACTCAGGGTGGAGAAGGAGCTTTGCCTAATTGAGAGACCTGCTAAAACCGCTGTAATGCGCTATGTAGTTCAAGTAGATTCTTGTTTTTAATGTGAGCAGGAAATACAAATTATTCAGAAGCAATGCTAAATACATATATATATGAGTCGCTTTTACAGCGCTCTTTGGCGCTTTACGACGCCTAATCGCCACAAAGCTCGGTCTTCCCACAGGTCATCAGGGAGTTGACAATCTCTCATCTCATTTACCACCCCCTGTCGCCAACCTCTCACTGGGCGTCCCCTACGTCTCCTTAACATTCATTGGGCTAATCGTTATCCATTAGAAATTTTGAAGAGGAACATATGAAAATGCTGAAATTCGTACTCTATCTAGTGGTCCATTGTGAGTTTAAAAGAGGGGTTTGGATTTATACTATATGTAATTTTCTCATGATTTTACTTATTCAAAGTCAACTCAATTGACTGTATCTCTTGCGTGTTGCAAACTCATTGCATATGTTACAATCCAAAAACAATCTAATGATAGGAAATGCCAAAGCTTCCTTATCCGCTCTCAGAACGGTGGATTACCATTGCATCGAAATCCGAAAATTATGCATCATCAATGTATCCCCCAATTTTGCTTTCAGTTACTGTCCAAGTGGAGACTGGCTAGCCGTCGGAATGGAGAATTCGGCTATCGAAGTATTACACACAACTAAGACTGAACGATATCAATTACATTTGCACGATTCGTGTGTGTTATCTTTGAAGTTTGCCTCCAGTGGGAAGTGGTTTGTTTCTACAGGAAAAGACAATCTTTTAAATGCATGGCGGACTCCTCATGGAGCCTCTTTATTCCAAGTAAGCCCCTCCTTTTTCTCTTGCTTTTCAAAATTAACGGAAATTTTCTTTTTTTCTGTTTTGATTAATGTTTTCTCTGTTGAGTTCCTTAAATCTCATTCATTCATTCATTCATTCATTTAGAGGAAATGCTTACTCTTTACATAAGACAAGTCTTTTGTTGCTGCATTGGTTTGATCAATGACCCCAAACCTGTCCTAGTCCAAAGGAGGAGTATTGACAAGGGGGGGGGGGGGGGTTTGTTATGGAATGATTTTGTCATTTTCGGTCTCTATTTTAGTCTAATACTGGCTTAAACATGTCAAGTCATTGAAGATAGGGCATCTATGTCAACTTGGACCTTCAAAATGTACCACAGTGATTGTCCTTAGGTACCAAAAATCTTTTTCTTAGACCAACTTCCTCACAGTTTTTTGTGTCTCTGGAACATTTTCATTTCCCTGAGTTGTGTGATTTCACTGATTCAGTTATAAATCGTTGATCTGATTTTTCCAACAACAGAAAAATTTGCTCGATTAAGTATTTTATTGTTTAATTGATAAGGCCAAACGTTTTTTCTATTTGATCAATAAGTATTTGACAAGTTATTGAGTTTCATTTTTTGATTTTTCTTTTCAGTCAAAAGAGTCCTCATCTGTTTTGAGCTGTGATATTTCCTTGAATGATAAGTACATTATCACTGGATCTGGTGACAAAAAAGCCACTGTCTACGAAGTGCACTACTAACTGACGCATTGCTCTATGTAAGTATGATTCATCTTTAATGTTTGGTCTTACAATGTCACACTTTATTGAGACACAGTTATAGAACAAGGTCACTAGTTTTATTCGAAGACGGAGAAAGTCTGTTTTTTCGGTATTTTTGGAAAGTTAAAAGTTGTACCAAAAGACAATTCAATTTCTTCAAGGTGTCACTTTAAGTTTTTTAGGAGACAGTGGAACTGTCGTAGGAATGAGATCATAATGGATTCGTTGCGCACAAGAGGTACAGTCGTGTGATTGAATTTTTTGGGGTGGAATGGCACAAAAACTACAATGGTCACACTGAAAAAGTTTGAAATCTACTCTTTAGTGCGCTATTTGCGTAGTTTGGAAATTGCTTTTTCAAATTTTCCACATCTGGGGGCAGTTTCCAGTCACTGTAATTAGAAAAAAAAGCATCAATAAATTCCAGTTAACGAAAACTAACAATTTTTAACATAGTTTTTATCAACATAACCTGCAGATTGATGAATTAGAGAAATGGTGTACGTGCGATAAAAGTTGATTGATTTAGTTTTTTTACAATTTAAGTTTTCTTTTTTTAGAATGTGTGTCACTATCAAAGATCATCTTTTGCTTGTAAACAAAACACACATGAACAGGAACAACAAATCGGCAGCTACTGGCATTTAAGGACAATCGCCAAAGCTACTTGAAGTTACCATTTGCTCGTTTCCAGTGACTATAAAACTGCCCCCAGACGTAGGAATTTTGGAAAAGCATATTCCAAACTGCACAAATTGAGCACCAAGGAGTGCATTTCAGACTTTTAACGTGACCGTAACAATTTTAGTGCCATTTACTCCTCTAAAGACTTTTCATAGGACTGTACCTCTTGTGTACAACAGACCCATTGGAAATGAACCAATGATGAAGAAAAAACAGTTTACTTTTGCGAGCTCTTGGAGAGAGACATTTAATATTACCGATTCGATTCTTTAATACTGATTCTATGCTTTATTTCTTTCTTTGAACATTTGGCTTTGTTTCCTTCTCCAAATTTGTATTTTAAAGATTAAAACCCTCTTAACTTTGAAAAACCTAGAAGGAAAGTCGAGAGGTAACATCTAAAAGTTTGAGACATGATTTCAGGGGTCAAAATACAACTTTTTTGTCTTTAGAAAATGGTTCAAAACATCAAACCCCTGTAAGAGTTGCACAAAAATTGTGTTTTTTCTTAGTGAGCCCTTCTCCACATGGATAATCATGGAGTGTTACACTCCTCAGTGATTTTTTCTACCCATTCTGAATTTTTAGTGGGCGAAATTGTCGTATTAGTACTATAGAGGAAGCAGACTTCTCAGACGTATTGAAAAACTCAGTTTTGATAGCGGATTTTTAATGCTTGAGTTCTGATTTACTCTCAGTTTTTTTTATGTGAATTTCTAGATTCTGATTTAATCACAAATTAATTTTGATGTTTAATTTTTCTGTTTCAGTTTACGTAGAGACAGTTTCAGTAGGTTTTCTTAGGACCTGATTAGTTATAATTTTCAATCAGACTTGGGTTTTTATTTTTTTAAATCAGTTCTCTTTCTTTACTATTGTGAGGGTTTTGTTGGACCCATCTTTCATGTAGATTTTTAACAGAGGCGGCAACCTTGAAAGCAAATCGTGCTGAATCAGGCCAAATTTTTTGGCGCCCATCAATGAAATGTGTTTTCAAAATTTCATTCCTCAAGTGGATACATCTTTAGATCTTTAGATGATACCAGTACTGATGCAATTTTTTGTCTCCTGGTTCCTGAAAAAAGAAAAAAATGGGTAGTAAAACAAACAGGACGCTCTTTCCACCACTAGAATTTGTCAATGACTTCAAATTTTTGAATTGTCGTGGTGGCGGTTTTGACTTTCCTTTTTTCTACCCTCAAGCTGACCAACCCAAATCTTGGGATCCATTTTTAGGTTGCCGTACCTTTTGCAGTGATCCTTCTGTACTGTATAATTACCATGTAAATACTGTGAATATAATGTTTTCAGTTAAGATAAGTGCTTTGTAAAAGCTCTTTTTACAAGTTGTATGTATTCCTTTTAATTTTAAAAAAATCGCAAAGTTCTTTGCTTCTGTTTTGTATTAATGAAAGCATGTTTCTTAGTTGACTCATCGATTGTACAGCATTTAGCGAAAAGGAACAAACTTTTGTGAAAGGGAACGGGTCTGCTCGTTGAAAGTGGTCAGCAGAATTGCACTCTAATCTTCATTGATAGAAGTTTTCTACCCAACACTTAAAGTTATTTGAGCTACAGGATTTTTGCTCTATTTATTTATTTTTGATCCATGATTAGAGTTTAATGAAAAAATCACCTCTTACTAGAATTGTTTCCAAAATCTATCCTTGCCACTAGACTACCAACTGAATGGATGAGGTTCCAAGGGATGTAAACTGATGATTTTGTGTGTGTTCTAAAGATGGTAATAAATTTTGAGACGGGAAATAAAAGCAAGGATTAAGATCCATTTACATGGGAAATTCTGCTTATCAATGAACTAATTGAATCGATGTATGCAAAAATGTCCGATGTCTAAGACGGTGTTTCAAAATTTGAGTGGACAATTTCGTCGTAACTTAACGACACAAGATGGTTTAAGATGTTCGGAATGTGGAACAATTTTATAAATAATCCCCCAAGTGTAATTAAACATTTACAAAAGAGATCAATCCTATTCATCAGTGTCATGGGACAAAAGAAACCCACCGCAATTATGAAACCCTGTATTTGGACAATGGACGTTTTCGCATACGTCGATTCAGTTAATGAGTGTACCCACTGTTTTCCAAAAAGCTGGTTTTCCTTTCACTTCGTTGAGCTCTACTATTTTTCCAATGAAACCAGAACATTACTATTCATCCTAATGAATAACTCTAATTCCGGTTTATATGTAAGTAAACTGATGTTATGTTGATTTAACTGGTGTAGGTATATTTTAAATCTTATCTAGAGTGTTCAAAGATTTTAATTACGGGTCAAATCAGTGAGATGACCCTGTTCAGCAAAAACTGAATTTTTGGCGTCACAATATGATGGCCTAAGTTCGAAACCGTGTATCTCCATATCAGTGTTACAAAATGTATGCAAGCGATTTAATTTGTTGAAGAAAAACAAGCCAACCTATACCTTGAAATTTAGACGGAATATTCCGCTAACAGAGAAGAATAATCCAGGACGTTTTAAAAAACTTGCGTTAACTGGGTTTCCACAGATAAATATGATAGGAAGTCTTCAACGTCGCCAACAGAGATACATGGCTTTGCTTTCAGCCATTAATTAGTTTCTTACACACTAAACATCACTTTTTGTCATTATCAAGTCAACCATTAACAACATTTTGTGACATTCAATAAAGAGGAGGGTCCTAACTTGACAAAAAAAAAATAAAAATACATTGATGTTTCCTCTTATGAGTTTGGAGCCCTTAATTCTTTATGACGCTGCTGAAGTCGATGCAGATTTATTTCAGTCGGAACAAAGATGATGATTGTTGTAATGAAAACTTTAAAACTAAATTTTCCCAAATTCCCAAAACGTAAATTTGGCTTTGATTGATAAATTTGATTTTTTATTTTTTTTTTTTTTACTCAAACTGTTTGCTGAAATGTCCTTAGTGCAGTTGTATCAAAATTTCAGTTTAAGGCTCCTAAATATCTCATATTCTCTATGTATTCCTCTTCTACTAGAACACCTAGGTTATTTTCCTAGCAAATTGTTACTACTGCTGTGTAACTACAGGGTTGTATAAAAATCTCAATTTTAACCATCTGGGCATCTCAGTTGGGACACCTCTTGTCTCATCATAGTAATACTTAGATTATCCAATAAATTGTGGCGGAAGCTCAAGCCAAATAATGAAAAAGGCATAAAAATACATAAAATTACGTATAATATGTACAAAAAATGAAGAAAAAAATAGAGAAAGGATAAACAATACAAATAATTTGCAAATTGGCTTTAATGTCGAATATCATCGATTAGCAATAAGCCGTTGATTGAGGTATTACTGTGCTTGTGAAAAGTCTCCTTTTGTTTTTAATTATTTTTAATGAGTCTTGATTTGATTTTTTGCTGAATTTTCTTCCCGCTCTCTCAAAATTGCTTCTTTTTATTTTAAAAATTGACAATTTTTTTAAGTTGAATGAGGGTTCTCTTAGTTTAATCTGCATACTGTTCCATAGTCTTCTCTCAATTTACTCTCATGCTCTGAGAGGTTGAAATTTTTGACAGGACACCCTGAAATTTAGTGGAAAATTTTGTATTGCTTGCCTTTGTCAACTCATGAAAAAAAGAGAAGAAAAAACACATCAAACTTCAGATAACTGTAGTTGATTTCTATCCTCAATTTCCCTTGAGGCTAGTTTGTTTTATTGCGAATGATGTTAAATCTATTGTTATACTATGTTATATTTATTTATTCTCTCTTTTACTTGTGATTGTTAATTAGTATTTATTAGGTGAATTGCTTCGATGTTCCAAGAAGGAGCACTATTGTGGAAAATTTCTCCACTATGTCTTGAATTTCCTATTTAGTTTTGTAATTTAAGAAGGTTCTCAATTTTTTTTCCTTTTTTTTTGAAGATTTCAGTATATGGTGCTTTGTAGGTAGTCGCTTTTAGGCCTTTGCTTAAAAAGGGAGCCTATTCAGATCAAAAATTATCATCATATGTAGTTTCTTCTGTATTTAATTTTCCTAACAATCAAGAAAGGTGCATGATATTTTTCCTCAAGGCTATTTACTCCTATCTCTGTGCCCTTTCTTTCGATATCCATATTATGCTTTTTACCTGCTGAATAATTATGATTGGCCAATAGGCCAGCTTTTAAGGGTGGCTCAATTTAAGAAATCAGTAATTTAATTTATGGACAGCCCTCAATTACGCCCTTTATACGTGGAAGAAAAAGAAAGCACCCGTTAAATGTTCCGCTGTTATTTGATTTTGGGTGCTGGTTGATTTTATGCAGTTTTTTCCTTAAGAATACTGAAAGCTTTTAACATTTTTAAAAAAGTTTCATCAGATTTTAACACTTATTTTATTCTTGTTTCTAAGCTCATTGTATAATTTTACAATCGAGACTATTAGATTCTTGTTTCTTTACTATGCTAAAGGACTATGCACAAAAGAAAATGAAACAATAAACAATGATAAAGAAGAAACGACTGAAAAATAAATTAACAGTGCACAAATGTACAACAGCTGACAAATTCAGCCGATGAAAAATCGTGTATGTTCGCTGTTGGAGGCCAGGTCTCTAAGGTGATGGTTTCCTTTTTGGTTTTGCACGGAAACCATCCTGTTCCAATCAAACTAACCTGCCAACTGTAAAATCCTGTTAGCGATGAAGGTGCAGGGAGGTGGGATTCAACATTATCTTGATGGAGAATCGACTAAAAAGAATAAATTCAGACTTAAGATGAGAATGTCATCTCTATCAATGCGTTGCAAGTAATCTACCCAGTCTGTTATATGAAATGATATTCTCTCGCTAGTTTGAATTTATTTTAATCACACAAGGAATATAACATTTACCTCTTTAAAATGAGAAATTATGGGGGAAAAACAGAAGAGTTGTCTTGAAACGATGATGACACTGAAGAATTTCCATCATCGGTAAAAAAAAAAGAAACATATATAGACCTCTCTTCATTTTATATTCCCTGTTTAGCACCAGGAACGGTTCAAGTATGTAGAATTTAGATAACTTGTTTTAAAATCAAACGGTATAAAAAATAAGAAATAGAACTATTTCATCGTCCCATTTTTGAAGCATTCTTTAAGGTCTTTGAAATTTTTTCCTCTACTTGGGAGTCCAATAAATTCTTTGAAAGTCCTTAATTTTACCAATTTAAGTTCCTTGATGATAGCTTTGAGAAGCTGGTTTGAGCCCTGATCAGAGTTTGCAGGATTGTTGCTGCATTAATTTCAATTTTCTGATTAGTCCCTCATGCTAGGAATCCCATATTAAACCTCCAAGGTTTTGTTGGGAGTTTCTTTTTTTCTTTCTTTTTTTATGAGGTACTTGTATAAAAATGTCAATGATCTCAATCTCTTTATTAATTTATGTATGCCTTAGAAAATGTCTCTTATCCTCATTGTAGTATTTTCTATGTTACTTCTAAAATTATCGGTCAAAATTTAGATGCTTTCAATATTCGTTTGTTCCATGAAAATTGCATCTTTAAATCTAGCGTAAAACCATAATTTACTTCTTCAATAGGTACTTTTGAAGTTTCATAATTGGACTGCATTTTGCAATTTGGAACTATAAATTCTGGCCCGGCTTAAAAACAACGTATGTACCATTAGTTTCCCTATGCACATAAGTGTTTTTTCAGATGAGCCAGAATTTATAGTTCCAAATTGCAAAATGCAGTCCAATTGATTCCTTTCCAGTTTTTATTGTCACTATTATCATTCACCTATTTACTGTTCATTACCGGTGCGTAATAAACCTCTTTATCCTTACTTGACCTCTTTCAAAAAGCATAAGTATCTCTTTTAGAGGGCATTAATATTTTGTAAAAGAGGTAAAGAACAAAACAAAGAGAGCTTGAAGATCCACACTTTTTTAGTTCTCAAAAAGGGAACTCCCAGAGCTCTTTTACTCGACACTCATTCCTCCCATGATAGCCCTCAAGTCATGTTATGAACTATTTTCAATATTGCAAGAATTAAAGTAAAAATGAAAGAACCAACCATGAAAACTTGCCAATCCTCTATAAATTGGAGGTCTCACTATTGGTCCGATCATTAATTTTTCTCTTTTTTTCCCCCCATTTGTCTGGTTCAGATTTTTGGTTGAAGTGAAATGTTTTACTTCCATTACCCTTTCTACTAGTTTTTTATCTAGCTTAGAATTGTTTCAGATCATCCGCCAATGTTAATACATTTTATACAATTTTCAGTATGAGGCAATGATTTTTGCCCTGTCACCTCTGTATGATTTTACTTTTCATTTTCAATTTACGAATCATATTTTGTGAATATTCAAGGTTGTACATAAGGTGTAATATTCTCTGTTTCTCAGATTTTTTCCTTCCTTTTTTTTCTTTTTTACATTTTTAACTTATGTAATAAATACATTAAGCTCCTCAGCCTATTTGCAATGAAGGTGCCTGATGAATTTGAATTCTACCAGGTTATTAATTAATCTTGTGTAATTGTCTTGTACATACTGCAAGGATAGTGATTACTTTGAAAAAGATTGAAATAAAAGTAATGTCTTCATGTAAAAATGTATGGAATAAATAAATGTATAATTTAATTGCGATTTGAATTATTTTCAAATATTTCTGATTTTTCCATTTGCCTTGATGTCGTCCTGAAGGTAACAGAATTTTGTTAGTGGCATCCTCATATTTTTCTGGAACCCCTTTAAAGTCAAGATGGCGTTCACCATGGACACCACATGGGTGAGCTTAGTAAGTCAACTTACCCAGTCGTTTTGTAGTTAATTTTCTTTATTTTCAATAACTTTTAGTCGAATTTAACGTGGTCTAGCATTGACCTCTAGAATACCCAGAGGGATCTCTTTCAGGGATCACCCGATGCACCTTGTGGAGTTTAACGCACTCAAGAAAAAAAAAAAAAAAAAAAAAAAAAAAAAAAAAAAAAAAAACACTGTTGATTTGAATGTTGATCCTGTAGCTAGCCTACAAAAATAAATAAAAACCGGCTAACATGCCAAGAAAACCCAAAGAATTTCTCCAAGCGAGACAAGTTATATACTAATTTCCTCTCAAAATCTCTTTGGCTACGCTGTGTACCTAATCACGAAGAAGAGTTCCAGATCAGGCAACATTAATTTCATTTGACTACTTTTTACTAATAAGTCCTACCTCCCCCTCCCCCTTCTAAACAAGTGGCTAATTCCTTCGTATTTTTGACAATTCAATCTCAAACCGACATAGGTTTTTCTTTATCATGCACCTATTTTTCGACGAAGCCCGATGAATTAGGAAAACATTCCCATTCCTTATGGAAAATTATTCATTCTGCACAACTGCTAGAGACCTCGTCTGAAATAGTCTCTACAAATCCTGCCGAAGCCCCC